GCAGTTGAGGTCGCACATTTACAGAGAAGTACATGACGAGTTATGAATTACGACTATTACATGATATTCTAATAGCACGGAGTTGGAATGGCTAGCACTTTGATCATTACGATCTGATACCCTCGTTACGCCGCAATATTATCTTTATTATACATTCATCCTGCTACGACATTGATACTGGGGGATGAGAACGAAGTGCAAGTTGCAAAACGAAGCGAACATGAGTATGAGTATCATTATGTATGCATTAGATCTATGGTATCAACTGCGAACCAACCCCCAAAGTGTTGTGGCTTGGAGAACACCAAAGTGATCCCATTTAGTCGAGCGGCCAATATTCATGGATGTTGTGTTGTGTTTTCCATCCTGTTCAATGTTAGTATACGAAGCAGCCGCAGTATGCAGAAAAAACTTACTCATGAACCAGCAGCAGAAGGGGAAAAACAACGTATTGACTGCTCCCCACGCAATCAGGATACCGAAGTCCAGTCCTATCCTTGAATGTAAATCGAACAATATCGATCGACTTCCTTCCACAACTGTGCATTTGATGTTAGTATTTTGGCAATGTAGAGCGGCGGAGTGCAAATGACTTACTTGAGTGTAGCGGCCAGGCGTATCCCCACCTGTAGAACCCAGGCGCGATCTCGATATCGTAGAATGCAGTGGAAACATTGCTGATGACCCAGAAGATCAAAAACAGTCCCATCCACGGCATGCCCACTACCATGGCCACGTTCTCACAAGCCAGTCCCAGCGCGATCATACCACAGAAGTTGAGCATCCAGTACACGACAAATGTGCCACTACCGTATGCTACTGGATTGCCTTCCATCATATTCGTGACTTGCGTTTCGCTGGTGATGGAGTTGGTGTGCCAGAAGTTGATTTGGAAAGCCATGGAAACGAAGGAGTAGGCGAGCGAAAGCATGAAGTAGGCGCATATCGTGGCGCACCAGCGCCATACGATGAGCTGGGGGAACTTCAGCGGCGGGTGGTTTTCGGGCTTGAGGTATTGCATGTGGATGGGCATGTAGAAGGAGAAGCTGAAGAAGGATATGATGATGAGATCTGCAAATGTTGTTAGCCACACCCAATGTGGGGGTTGTAACGCGTCTTACAGATCAGTCCGATTGACACGGCGGGGATTCCAGTGTACGGATAGAAAGGCCGCAAGTTGAACTCGGAGAAGCCAATCGCCGGGTTGATGGCCTGGGGAACGTTCTGCATGTTTGATAGTACTGCCGGATCGCTCGCCCTCTGTATAGCCATCTGCGCCCATTGCTGTCCTACCATGCTTTGGGCCTGCGTCATGAATTGGCTGATAATGGGGAACATGAAGTCAAACCAATTGGTATCGTCTCTGGCGTCTTGGTAGATCAGTTGGCATGCCCCCAGAGGATCGTAACTCGTGTTCCCGTTGGCAATAGCAGAGTACAACAGCGCGCTCGCGTTGGGGTTGATGACAATGGCGGCCCAGGCATCCCAGTTATAAACAGCTTGTCGGACTTGCAATGGATCGTTGTTGAAATCTGAACCGGGGCGGACACCCCATCCCAGCGTCGGCTGACCGCTGCTCAGTTGCTGTTGTACTAATTGCGTGATGGTTGATCCAACGAATGGCGCGTTTCCAGTGTTGTCGTAAGGCGCTGCTCCATCCATATCCACGACATACACCAGCAAATGGCTCAGCCTGTTCTCGACCTTGAAGAACACAGCCCAGTACAGCGATAGCACACAGAGTATGAATGCCATCAGGAAAGCCGTCGTGATGATCCATTTTACGAATGCGCGGTTGCGCACTTGTCGAAGATCGGGATGCCAGAACCCCACCGGTTGCATCTCAGACTGTTCCGATTTCCCGTTGCCATTCTCCGCTTCCTTGGGGGCTGTTTTTCCGCGGTTCGTTTCTGGGTGTCCATTTGTGCCTTCTTCTGCGTTGATTTGGGCTGGAGGGCGAAAAGCGCGTGGTAAGCGGATGCGGTTGATTAATTGCGACATGGTGAGTTGGAAAGGACCGACACGCCACTAACGCTTCCGAGTGAAATTACCCTCCACAAGTCCTGCTTGGAAAAGCTTGCTGTCCTTGGGGAATCCATGGCGGCCAATTGCTTTTATTTGTTGTTGCGAGTCTTTTCGCTAGGGGCTTTTGCTCGATGGTAGGGACATCTATGACGTATTAGTAAGTTTTAGATCGAAGCGTTATGGTGACGTTTGCAGCCGCGAGATCCTAGCTCCTCCCTTTAGCTCCGCGGCAACGGGTAAGTTGTCTAGATTTGCTACTAGTTTTATATTGACTGTCGCAGCGCATCGATTATGAATGCCTTTCTTACTTATGCATGTCTGTCACATTCGGACTAGTAATAGTATCTCTTGTGGCGCTCGCACGGTCGCCCCGTTCCACATTGGAGCGAACAGCGCGCTCACTATATTGTATCATTGCCTCATCCCATCAAATCTCCGGCGTGGCTACTACTTCGGCACAGGCGGGCGCTACATCCATCCTGTTCTGTGCTCTTCATCGCATCAGCATCGCTCGAATACTCGGTATAGACCTTTCAGATTCGCAACCTCCATCACTCCACCTTGAAGTAACCCTTTTGTGCCCACAAGTCTAGCCTTGCAAGCCGGGAAGATGGTAAACTCGATTGCTCGCAGAAGTTTCTTCCGCCTTGCTGCAATTTCGGGATCTTCCTCAAGGACCTTACCTTTGCCTTTGCCATCGTCACCGGCTTGTGCTGAGGGCGGCAGAGGCAGACTTTCTGGTACATAGAAAGAAGCAATCTCGCGCAGCAACGTCTGGAAACACCCCTTCTCCTCATTCCAATTAACATGCGGCCCAAGGCGCAGCAGAAACTGAGGAAGTTTGGCCATAGAAGGCGTGTAGTCTTTCATCAGCAGTGGAATAGAGCAGAGTTCGCCTTCTGGGGTAATCTCCATGGAGAAGTATTCGCTCAGCAGCGCTGCCTTACTGATCAACTGCTCTTTTACTACTTCGACAACCTCTTCCCAGTCTACCTTGTCTGCCGCATCACCTGCATTTTTCTTTTCTTGCTCTGCAGCAACGTTGAGTAAACCGTGTAGCGGCAAGGGTGGGTTAAAGCGTATCGACCCGTAGTTGGCAAAGTCGGTCAGACCGACCTGGTAGAAGTACTCGTTACAGAGCATACCGTAATCGACAAGGAAGAGCTTTACGCCGCCTTGTATAGCCGCTATTCGCTTCTGCTCGTCGACAATTCCCACAAATGTATGCGTCGAAATAATATCGGTAAGCTCGTTGTGCATTGCATCTCGAACCTCCGCACGGAGATCTTTGACGGATGTGAGACGACACGCCATCGGTTCCTTTTCTGCGAACTCATACTCCATCTCTTCTTCGTCGTTCGCGATCTCTTCGACGGACTTTTGCGGTTGCAACATCGACGTAATTTTGCGTGCTGAAGAATCCGTACGGACAAGGTTGGTTTCGTCTCGCTTTTTGGTCGCTGTATGCGGCGCTCTTCGGCCGCTGCGGTCTGATGCATCGCCTTTCGCAGGAGTCGAAGGCGTGATCTGCTTCATGGGCGTTGCGAAAGGAACTTTGGGGTTTGAAAGCAATGACTGCGTCATGAAAGACCTGCTCGTATCGACCTTGGTCAAGTTTTCGCGGATCGAGTCGCATATGACAGCAATGATCTCGTCTTCATTGAGGAAGTGAACCTCGCGTTTTGTAGGGTGCACGTTTACATCTACTCGCTGTGGTTCGATTTCGAGACTTAGATAGAAGAATGGATGAGCTCCTTTCGGTAGAAACGTGGCGTAGGTCTGCTCAACACTCTTCTTGATCGCGGGCGACTCTACCGCTCGATGGTTGATGAAGAGCAGCATCACTGTTCTCTTTGCAGTATAATTTGCGTTACTGACCCAGCCGTCGCACTTGAAGCCCCAGCGGTCGTCTTCGACGTTTAGGGCTACCAAATCGCTCGCAGCAGAATTGCCATGGATCGTTCGAATCCGGTCCTTGACGGTAGCAGAAGCAGGCACGGTTATGCTATTGTTTTCCCCCGCCTTCTTGCAGGAGAAAGCAACGCCTGCGCAGTGAACAGCATAACGTCCGATGAGCTCGAGAATCTTGGCGTACTCTTCGCTAGCGGAACGGAAAGCTCTCCGCCGAGAAGGAACATTGTAAAAGAGATCCTCAACCTAGCACTTGATTAGTTACTGCCGTGGCGCTGGGAGGAGACGAACGTACTGTAATAATCGTGCCCTGTCGGCCGGCCTTAGGCTTTGGTTCGGCGCTCTGGCCAGGCTTCGCACTTGCGAGTTTACCATCCGCAAAATGCGCTTCCCACGCGCAGCTCGATTCCTTTGTTCTCGTAGTAACCTTGAGATGAGCAATGTGACTGATACTCGCCAGCGCCTCACCACGAAAGCCGTACGTGCCAATGGAAGTCAGGTCCTCGAAAGCCTTGAGTTTGGAAGTAGTAAAACGTTCGCATAAAATTGGCAGGTCTTCTTTCTGAGGGAAGTCAGCATATGATGACTCTGAGAAGATCGAGACATACATCGATGCCGTGACCATTGTCGGTGATCTGGAGCAGCTTGAGGCCGCCGTCTTTAACTAGGACCTCCAATGCAGTCGATCCTGCATCAACAGCATTCTCAATCAGCTCTTTGAGCGCGTGTACCGGTGCGACAATGATTTCTCCGGCCGCGATTTTGTTAACGACGTCTTGCGATAGTGCCTTAATTCGGCGCGGCGCGGGAAGTGGTAGACTGTCATCACCTTTTCTTTTCGTCCCGCGTGGCGACGACGTTGACACGTCCATGTCATCCGCCATGATCACACGCTGCGTTGCGCCTTCGAGTTGTAGTTTGTGCCGATGTGGATGGGTGACGCACGACTGAAACATAGCAGGACGGGGAAGCGCGATGAATGGTGTTCCCGCGCTGTCACGTGCCCTAGCTGACACAGCTCTGAAGGCATTGCCACGATTCCACCTCCAAACCTCAAGCAGTATGTGTTAACAACACGCTAACTATACGAGCCCTTGTGAAATTTTGAGTATCAGAAATCATACCATGACAGCATAAGCAAAAAAGTTGATACTAGTGAGGCCGCCCGATATTTGAGCGGCACGGTCGCGTCACGGCTACTCTTTCTCATGCACATCTTGTAGTGCGACTTCTGCTTGGTTCAATAGCGCGGCAATAATTTGTTGAAGAGATGGCACCTGCTTCATATGCCCGCGCCACAGCCTCATCTACATCCAAGGCCAGTCCTAAGCCTTCGAAAACCACCCATGTTGTCGACGAGTCGATCATATCTTCCCTCAAAGAAACGCGAATCGCGACATCCCCAAAATCGAATCAAAAAGCTCCAATAACGCCAAAGAAAGCTCTCAAACGGCCATCCCTCCTCACACCACAAGCCAGAGACCAGCTCATCTACAACCGCGATCTATACGCCATCAAAGCCAAAGACGCTTCAAAGCCATGCCTCTTATCAGATCTTCCATCCGAGCTACGCAGTTTGATCTACACATTCGTCCTTCCCCCAACACACCATATCTCCGATAACTGGCCCGCAATCGTCAAACGCGCACAACGACGCCTACCTCCCCTGCTGCATATCTGCCGCGCCATCAGGATTGAAGCAGCGTACGACTACTACACCAGCACAACCTTCAGCTTCTCAGTCCGGAATCTGAATTTCTATCCTGTCATGAGATGGATCGATGAATTGCCGAAGCAGCATCGCGCTTTACTTTTATCTCGGAATCGACATCTTGAAATCAACGTTTTGCCGAGTGTAAAGAACTCCTTTACATATCCGCCCAAAGGCTGGCTGATCGACGGATATATGCAGGATCATTGGAAAGCATGCCAGCCTTTTGGTAACATCTACACTGTGCCTTCTGATTTACATAAATCGCATTTCCTGGTCTTCTGTCGGCTAGCTTCTTGGTTCCTTTGGTGTTCCAGGTCACCATATAAACCTATCAGATGGAGTTATACATTTGAGCAGTCGCCATTTCATAATCCGTTTGGTCTGCCAGGCTTACAGGAGCAGGCGGTGTTGGAGTGGTTTCTCAGGCACCATGTTACGGTGCTGACGATGGAATGTGTGGGGAAGGCGTGGAAGAGGACTAAGAGTGGGGCCGCGGCGATGCGAGGGGAGGTAGTGAGATTGTTGGACGCGTTGGATCAGTGGTACAGAGAACGCTGGGGCGAGGGCAGAGATGGAGGCGAGTGGGAAGAAGCGATGGAGGTACTCAAAAAGGGTATTGAGAAATGGTGAATAGTCAGGAGGATTACAGCAGTGAGACATATAGAATGGCATTGGGTATCATCGCTAATAAAGAAGGGAAATGCATGTCCTTTTACATCTGGAAATCCATCTCCGTGCCACACATCATACATACGTGTGAATCTATTCTGGATACCGTTATCATTACCCATCGACCAAGGCTGAATTTCGCCGATTGGTCTTGGACAGCGCAAACGGTCGTTCCATGCTCGGCATTGAGCTGCCCTAGCAGCGCACGCCACTTGTGTAGAAGCCGCGCAAGATACCTCGTGACAAACGTACACTCAGCGGTTATTGAGGAAGGGGGGCTCAAAGCCGTAAATAGGGTTACCGAGCTATCACAAGTCTTAGCATTCGTACCTTGCCTCTGAAGATCAAACTTACTCGTCGAAGGGTAAAGACAATGTCGGTGACCGAGACGGTCTTGCGTCCACTGGAGTCCACGATCGCACAGCAGTCTTTCAGTATCTGATAGGCAGTTAGTCGTCGCATGCAGCTTCAACTTCCCGAGCAACTGACCCTTGCTAGCCGCTCTCTGAGGGCCAGGCGCACGTCGTCGTAGATGGTTGCGGAAATGCGCTTCACGCCGCCACGCCGAGCCAAACGTCTGAGATGTGAATTAGTAGAATGTTGTGGAATCTTTCAAAGTTGAAGGCGGTAGCTTGCTGCCCATGTCATTCCTTTTTCGTAACCAGGGACCACTTACCGGATGTCACCTTTTGTAACCCCGTAAATATTGTCCTTTCTGGTCTTGCTGCAACTAGTTAGCTCTCGGATTGTCCCACGCACAACCCGGAAACTCACGTATGCCTCTTGAGATTGGCTTTCCCCAAGCCTTTCCCCTTCCCGAGACCACCGGAGCCCTTGCCCAACCCGAGTCCAGGTCTTGCGACTCTGGAAGCAGCTGGTGAAGCTGAGACTGTGGTTCCTGATGCCCGCGGCCAGCCCGCCGATACGGGGCGTGATGGGCCGCCTGACTGCCTGGGTCTTTCATTAACCATGTTGCGTTAATGGTCATGTGCTTGAGCAAAGAGAGTGACGGCGAGGCTGTGTTGGTGATGCGGGTGCACGGGCCGCAACGTCACGCGTTCAGACGCGGTCGCGTTGTTATGTGGATATGAGTGCGATGAAGGCATGCGGGGTCCAATGGCGGGGTCGAGTCGTTTGCTTCTCACGGGTAGTAAATTGAGAGGAGAGCACGTTACAGTAGCGGTGAATGCGAAGAGTAGCAGCTATTGTATTCATCTGATACTAGGTCATTGTAGGTTACAATTTACAGTTCAGAGGTTGTATGTGGGACAAACGTTATTCATTAGTTTCCAGGTGCTAGCCCTGATGCATTAATACTAGAGTACGTATCCGGGGTCGTAGGTCCTTATATCCAAATTTGAGACCATATCTACGAGATGAATGTAGCTTCAGTGAACAATGTACCCTCCTCTTCCTTGACCTCATCGCCGACCTTGACCTTGATGGTCATCTTGGGCGCATACTGGTAGATGTATGGCTTTGTACCAGCTGCGCTTGCGACGATGGTCTTGATGAAGCCCGGCACTTCGGCCATGACATCAACACGGTCAATGTTCTTTCCCAGAGCACCGGCAAGGTCTGCGGTGACTTCCTTGCCATCTTCGGTCTTTCCCACCCAGTGGTAGCTTGCCGAGGTGGGCTCCGGCCAGCCGGTCTCGTCTTGCTTGGTCTCGGTGTGTTTCACATCGCCTTCGGTGTTGGCGAACAGTAGCTTGCCGTCAGTGGCAATTCCGGCGACTCGGACGACAGTCGACGCGTAGGAGGCGGGAGTGGTGAACTCCATCAGGATGGCGGAGTATGAAGGCGACTGGAAGTTGACAAAGTTCCACCTCGCAGCTATAATTGTTAGTTTAGAGTATCCACAGACGTATCGAGGTGCTTACCAGCGTGGTGGGGCTTCATGCCCTGGAGGGCGTGGCTCAACATGCCGCGGCCCTTGACGTCAACCTCACCCTCCTTGGTGATGATGGACCCCTCGACGCTGCAGCGCGGCCAGAAGTGGTGGTGCATGGAGCCCCACGGCGCCTTGGGGTCGGTGCCGTAGTTGGTGGTGCCGTCCTTTCCACCCATGAAGCCGGGAGCAGTCCTGGTGAACTTGACGTTGACCATGCTGTTGTCGTTCACCGCCGCCTTGATAGTATATGCACTCCCATCTTCCGAGAGCTCGATGGAGACGCCGTCGGCGTAGAAGGAATGTTGGTCCTCGTCGAATCCGTAGTTTGAGACGGGGTCACTTGCCCAGAGGAAAGGCTTCTCGTTGTTGGGGTAGAAGAGCTTGCAGTTGAACTGCACGGTTACTCGTAGACCGCTGCGAGCTGTGAGTACTATGGCCGGCTAAATATGGCAATGGTTACTTACGCAATGTTGTTGTAGATGACCTGCAGGAAGCCCTTGTGCCCGGCATCGGTGAAGAGGTAGAAGGTCTGCGTCTCGACGTTGGTGTAGTCGAGCGTCACCCACTTGAGGTCCTTCTTGGCCAGCTCGGTGTAGGCGGGCTCACCACCCTTCTTGCCCACGGGCTGGATGGCATCGGGGCCGTATTCGGGCTCTTGGGTGCCGGCAACCGCGGCTAGTCTACATTTGTCAGTACGCGTCCTGTACACTGCATTGCGCCACGGTCGCGCAGGCACGTGTGAAGGCGAGGGTAGCACTCACGTTGACTTGGCCCAGCTGAACATGTTGTGGGCAGATGGACGCACTTTCCAAAAACAAACAGCGTGCGTAAGTAAAGGCGGTCACGGGCTTTGATTGGAGGAGGGCAGAAAAAACTCTGGACAGGTTCTGTTCAACAGGTCTGGATCTGAAATTTTCGGGGAGGCCGTTGACGAGAGCACGGCCGGGAGCAGGTAGGTACAGCGATGGCGACGTCAGGACAAGCAGACGGTCGGGACACTTGCAGGGCGATGAGATGCGGCGGGGGTATCACGGGTGCAGCTGTTGGGATCCGAGGGACCTCGGGACGGGACAGAGTCTTTGGCGTGTTTGGTGAAGATGCCAAAGCTGCTGTAGACATGGGAGTTGAGGCGGCGCCGCATGGGTGAGGCTTAGCCGTAGCTTCCCGATGTTGCTACGAATAGGGCAACCCGCGCGCCCTGTGCCTCTGAGGTAGCACCTATCGTCGACCCCTCCCAGGACCAATTTCTCGTCGCTCTTCACGCCCGACGCCGAGTCTACTATTTGTCCCGCCTCTATATACGTAGGATTACTCCCCCGGCTGCGACCCCTTCCAGATTCCGAGCATCCGCGGTTTTACGGACGAATTGATTGCACGCAATCGTCGACTAGCGCGGGGCTTCTTCACTCTAGCTTCCGATGACGATTCTGGATGCTTTGTAGTCAGGCACACGACTCGAAACTTGCACTGCATTCCTCCCCATCCACCCTCACCACTGCACGCATCGCTATAATCATCTTGTCCGGCTGCTCCGCGCGCATATTTGGACCCTAGATTCTCGGCTGCGAGGGAGCTGGGACGCATCTCTGGGCGACGCGCATCACGAACCCACCCAAGTAAGCTAGAGCTGTTCGACCTACTTAGACATCTGCGGATTTCGTCATGGCCTGGACTAGAGGAGCTGACCCTCTCTGACAGAACATTCACCCCACACCCACACCCACACTCCCAAACTTTGCCCACCATGACGTCGACACCGCCTGCGCAATCCGTCCGCTTCAGCGAGATCAACCAGGAAATTGAGCCCGAAGAGGCTGTAAGAGATGTTGCGGAGCTCACGGGCACCGACAAGGCACAGCCCGATGGCCCATTGAGCCCCCAGGCAGAGGAAGACCTACGTAATCTGTCGTCTACTCTACAGAAATCACGAATGCAGGCAAAGCGCATGGAGAACTTTTCCTTCGAGCCTGTCTCACTGCCGCCCTCGCGAGTAAGCAAGCCTCAAGGAGTAGTCCACTGTTTGAACACAAAGCTAACAACAACAAGGCACCTTCCCCATCTCCAGCCTCACGGACAGCTTCAGCACACTCAGGACACCGTTCCTCCATTCCGTCGTCACCTGCATCCGCCATGCACTCTCCGCCGCTAACACCGGCGGGCACATCATCCCGCGAAGAGAGGGCTAACGCAGAGGGACACAAGAAGCGCCCCAGCGATCCCGCCATGATGACGCCTCAGGTCTCGCCCCCGCACGAAGCTCCGCCAACGTCAATGGACTCGTCCGTGCAAAGTCCAAACGAAAGTCAATCTGCCTTACCAGTTCCTGGTTCTCCTAGGACTGCACCGCAGTCGCCTCGCCCCTCGTCCGATCTGTCCGGCGTAGTCCAGCCGCACCCAAGACGTGGGCCTGCATTTACAATGGGCCCTACTGGCGACTCAAATCCGGCTTCCCGGGATGCTAGTCCGGCAGGATCCGGAGGAGAGCGTACGCCAGGAACGTCGACTCCAGCACCTGGCTCCCGGCCATATACACCACAGGGAGACAGGGACGATACCTATGCACGCTCCAAACGCGCGGCGCAATCAAGGAACCTGGATTCGCTCGAAGCCCGGTATATTTATGGCGGACGCGATGGGCGCAACTCGGCAGCATCATCTATATATCAGCTACCCCGCTCCAAAGGAACTGAGTCTGATAAAGAAGAGAGCAAAAGAACGAGTATATTTGGAAAGAAGAAGACTCACTCCGATGCAGAAGACAGCAAATCGCAAAATGGCAAACAACATCATGGATCCATGTCCGAACTGAAGCGCTTCTTCAAAATCGGACACAAGAACAAGGACAAGGATAAAGAGAAGGAAAAGCGCAAAGAATCCCCTGCGCCGTCGGTCAAAAGTGCAAAAATCAAGTCAAACAAATCAGGGACTATGACACCACCGATCACGAACGGGGCTATGAGCGTACCATTCGCTGACGACCACGGCCTCCAGAGCAAGTACGGCAAGTTCGGGAAAGTGCTGGGCTCAGGAGCGGGTGGGTCAGTTCGACTCATGAAGCGAAGCAGCGATGGCACCACATTTGCAGTCAAGCAGTTCCGGAACCGACACTCCTACGAGTCTGAAAAGGACTACAACAAGAAGGTGACTGCCGAATTCTGCATAGGCTCGACGCTGCACCACGGAAACATCATCGAGACTATGGACTTGGTGAACGAGAAAGGCGCCTATTATGTCGTGATGGAATACGCACCTTATGATCTTTTTGCTATCGTTATGACGGGGAAGATGAGTCGCGAAGAAGTCACCTGCTGTACCTTACAGATCTTGAACGGAGTGACATACCTCCACAGCATGGGCTTGGCACATCGGGATCTCAAGCTTGACAACGTTGTTGTTAATGAGCACGGGATTATGAAGATCATCGATTTCGGAAGTGCTGCTGTGTTCAAGTATCCATTCGAAGACGAGATTGTACTTGCGAGTGGTAAGTCTGTCGTACCTTTCAGTAAAGCTTCTTCTAACCCCTCCAGGTATCGTTGGCTCGGATCCATACCTCGCTCCGGAAGTTTACGACCTTTCCAAGTATGATCCGCAACCGACTGACATCTGGTCTCTTGCCATCATGTTCTGCTGCATGACGCTACGTCGATTCCCATGGAAAGCACCGCGCGTATCCGACAATTCATACAAGCTCTTTGTATCCCCTCCCAACGATGGGCCGAGATCGATCACAGGTCCCTCCAAGTCGGCCACTGATCTTCAGCACAGCGCAGGTGACGATCGCCGCCAATCAGGAGTGCAATCAGAACCTGCGTCTCGGCACCAAACTTCAGAGCAGTCCACCGACCATCGCGCCTCAACGTCGTCAACGAGCCAGCAGCCACCGCAAGTGATAAAAGGGCCATGGCGCCTTCTCCGTTTGCTGCCCAGGGAGAGTAGGCATATCATAGGCAGAATGCTCGAGATCGATCCTAAGAAGCGCGCGACTCTTGATGAGATCCTCGAAGACAAGTGGGTCACTGGTAGTGCAGTGTGCACACAAGAAGAGGGTGGGAGGGTGCTCCGATGTGACAACCACGACCATACGCTCGAGCCAGGCGCAGGCGTCGCCTCGGCACCAAACACGCAACAAAAGAAATGAGCTTCGTCCTGGAACCCGACGAGGGTCTCTTGTTATTTTTCCATATTGATGGCGTTTGGACGATTAGCAGGCGGGTGTTTACAGGCTTTTCCTGTCCGCCTGATATAAGGTGTTCCGGCCCGATTAGAAAGGCGGTTCTTCTCCTCTTTGATTCTCACGCGTTTCGTGCGCTTTTTTGTAATACCTTAAACGTTGTCATGTCAATACAAAAGATTGACGAAACCAGTACACGGGAGCTACGAGCCAAAAAAGTGTGATGGGAGTTTGGCGTATGTAAATAACTGCGAGCCTCATGGACAAATGTACAAAATGCGATCAACAAAGCTTCCCCACGTTTGTTTATAGTGCTTATATGCGGATACCGATGACGAAGGACGAGCTCCATCCAAGCAGGCCATCTACTTCGAACATCGAACACCGAACGACGCAATGCTGGTATAGTGTTTGTTTCTGGACGATTTCTGCTTTCCCCAGCCTTCGCTTGGCGTACCGTGCGACGATCCTGACACTTCGAAACAAGCACCACGCAGCTGACAAGCCCGAAACGTGCGCATTCCCCGTTGCTCGAAACGAGCACACGGTTCAGTTCGCTCGATGTAGGATTCTCCGCACGTCAACATCAAACAAGCCTTTATCCTGATCCAACGGCTTTACTCTGTCTGGTGGAGAAGCGACGCGTGTTTACGCAAGACATGCATGCAATGCCTCAGGTGTGATCTTGTTGATGCTGCGAGTGGATGACTGATGTGGAGAGCACACACGTCAGATCGCAGCATTGTTAAGCCAAGCCGGTGCCCAGAGGATAATGTACACACTGTGGTTGGCTAGCAGACTCGAATATGACGCGCGATGTGCGGGAGTTTAGTAGCAGCGATCTAGGCCGATTTCTGAAAGCTGAAATGTGGAGTTGGGAGCTGTTGGTTGGCGAGATGCGTGGGTGTTATACCTCGAGACCTCATCACGGGGGGAAAGCTTATCGCACTAGGTCGCCATACTTGCCGGGAGTGGACTGGAGTGTTTGTCATTTTGGTGGTGGGGTGAGTCGTCTTAGCAGAGAGAAGAGGCATGCAGCAAGCAAGTCTTTGCTGTAAACAACATGCGCATCCCACGCCTGTGTCACGATACTCGATGTCGACAAACGCCCGTTCGGCGTCCAGCAGCAACGCGCAAGCAAGTAAAGTGGGTCTTTGTGTATCGTCAATCGAAAGCAGGGGGTGTCATGTACAGCCGCTGGCCGTGGCAAACGAACGTGAAACGAACTACGGTAATACAAGACGCATGCTTGCGCAGTCTCAGCTTGTCCGCTTTGGACGCGCGAAGGAAGCGTTTGAGATTGATGCATGAGTGGCCGAGAACGGGCTGGAGGGGTTGTTCAGGGTAAGCGCAAGCGAGCCCCGGCGCGGGACTCGCATGACGAAGATGGAGTGACGGCTGTCATCATGACAGATTTTGGGTATCAAGCGAACCGCGGATAGTAGGTAGATCTGCCTTGGGGCGAATTAGAGGCGTAGGAGGCAGAGTTGCATGAATTGGAATATGCCACGGTTTGAAGAGGCTGGATGCTTCCAAGTACAACTTGGAAGAGCCTATCAAGCATAGACTCACTTTATGCTTCGCAGCAACTTGCCATCGAGGCGCACGAAGGTGTACACCCCCAGGCTTTTGTCACAGCCCAGAAAGAACAAGCTTCTTCGTAAAGGGCCGTGTCTTGCATGTGTGCCATTTTGCAGATAGCCGCTTGTACAAGGCCAAGCTAGAAAAATAGAAACCACCACACCTCTCATCAAAAACCAACAAAGACGCAGACGCACACCAAAACGGATCCGCAGCCTATCCAATCCCGCTACACCGCTCTGGCCGTTGAATTGGTCCCATGATCCAGGTCCGTTTGTGTGCAGTCTTGTTGGCCATCAAGCGTCTTATCTCTATTGCAGCCCCCAGCCAATGGCCATCGCATACACTTGTCCTCGCAGCTGAAGCACCGCGGACCAGGGGGGGTCAAAAAGGTGAGCTTAGGGTGGGCCTGTGAAGATCGTCGTCGCAGCCGGGCAGCGCCTCGACTCCTGCGCTTCGCTCCCACCCGCACGTACGCAACCAAGAAAGTGCGCGGAACGTACCATGACATGGCTTGTGCGTTTGTGTTGGACCCGCTTCGTGCGAAGGAAAGACCCCGTTAACGCGGGAAATCGTGTGTCTGAAAGGATCTGTGTTATAGGTGTCTTGGCTTGTAAGCCAATACTTTAACGCACGTTTTCCCACTTGTTCACGATCTGGATTTTCTGGGTTGTCTGGCTCTTGCTTCTAGCCTCTCGTAACCTTTCCACATCTACGTACCCAATTCCCGCCTTACTTCGCACCTTACTTCATTTAATTACTCTGTCTTCCCTTTCCTGGCTGGTCCGCCCACGTGTTTGACATACGCTTGTATATGTAATCGAATTTCGGAAAGCATTGAGCCTCGGGTTATACTATAAGAAGGATGCGTCGCCAACTTCCCCCAAGCCATCTCAAGGTTCCGCCGGGTCCGCATGCGTTTCCAAGACAACAACACTTTTTGGGTCAGGATACGGTTGTCGTGAATCACTACTCGGGTTTTGAAAAGGCGATTCCTGCGATACCGTCTTTACCGGGATTTAGGACAAGTGCTGGTATGTTTGGCTCTATTTGGTTTTCTTGGGGATGGTCGTGTGCTCGGTTGCCGCGACTGGGGTTGTGATGTCAACCATGCAGCGACTTACGACGCGCGAGATATTTGGGTACAAACACGAGCTAATGCGCAACAACAGCATTCTTAACGTCGCTGAGCGCAAACCTTAGAATTGATCCTGATCTACCATCGCCGTTACCCACACCAACCTCGTTTCGATTAAACAACTTCGTCCAAGAACTTCCCTCCACCTCGCTGTCCTACTCAACATTGCCTGCACAGTACAATTCGTACCCTTCGCCTGCCGAATCCCAAGCCATGTCGTCGACCGAACCGAACGCGCCGGCCAAGTCGCCTGCGGATGAACTGCCGCAACTCTCTACCTACACTGCTGAGACAGAGGAGGACCGAATCGAAGGCTTACGCTTAGTCGCAGATTCCGTGGCACAACAGCGCCAGGTCGCCAGCAAGGTCATGCTGTTCCATCCCGTTTCACTAGCTGCGTATTTTGTGGTCGTGGCTTTTGCTGCACAGTACATGCTACGCTGGTACGAGGACAAAACGATGTTGGCCACAACCATTGGAGGCATCACAATGACTTTCCTCATCTTCATTCGATGGATGACCGGCGGCTACATCGGTATGGCCGAGGACATCAACATGGATTGGCTGGGCGATGACAGGCTCATCGTGGTGAAGTGGGGTGAGGACGTCATCGGATCCTTGGTATTGGGTTGGGCCGACAATGATGCCGCGAAGAAGCGTGGCAGGAGAAGGCGAGGCAAGGCTGTTGTACGCGCTTGGACTGTAAAGTTGAAGTACCGTGGCAAGGGTGTTGGTGAGGGCTTGTTGGAGGAGGCTGTCAAGGTGGCAGGAGAGCGAGGCGCAGATGGCATTGTCTTTGATGCCGACCATGCCAGTAAGTTCACGTCTACTCACATCCTTATTCCATCACTAACAGTAAATCAGACTCGAAGCGTATCCTCCCTACCATCTTCAACGGTTACCTCAACAAGCAAGACGCCAAGGCCGAAAAGGCTCTACAAAAGGTTGCAGACGCGAAGGGCAACTTCCGCCAGCGTCAGAGCTCGCCCACTTGGGGCAGCAGGTAGACACATACTACACTTTTTCATTTCGGGGCAGCAGATGGGGTGGTGTTTTGCTTTCATTATGGCGCGGCGACGAGTTTGCTTCTGGATGATACCCCATTCCTCTCGTTGATGATACCCCAAACGATCGTTATCGTTGCTAGCATCAAGCTTTCCGTACTTGCTTTTCCATGTTGCCGTTTCGGTATCGAGTTCTTGTCGTTATCGTCAACATACAGATCATTCGAGTCATAATAGACGATTGCAGAGTAGTCTTATTGGTAGATCTTAATGACAGTGTCTAGCAGATCTAGTTGCATGGCGGCCAACTCCGGTGACCTGATGGATGGCTTGCATCCCGCCTGAAGCCCATAGATTAATATTCGCTGATATGGCCGCATATCCGGCTGTTCCGCACACCATCCTCAAACTCTGTGGTTGTAAGCCGGGAAGCTCTTATCGCGACATGTTTCCTGATCCATAGACATGTGGGAAGAGAAGCCGCATGTACTGATAACGGTGCATTAACCTTTCGATATCAACACCTTGGCGTCAGATTCCGGTTCGCTGGTAGATTTGCCCCGCGTTGCTCGCTACTGCCCCTCCATGTACAAGGGGAGATTAGGCTTTCCAGGCTTTCCGTCAAGGTTGCATGATGCATGCCAAGTATGTACATGCGGAACCGTAGGCGATGGCTTAGCAACGCCGATCTGTAGGGAAGTTGGATGCTGTACTGATAGCGTTCCAGACTCTCCACGGGAAAGAAGGAACCACCGCCGCTACTGGTCAATCTGCCTCTTTCGCTCTCTTGTCGGTCTGCATGTGAAGTTGCAAGCTGACACACCGAACCGCCGTGCAAGGCCGCACAAGAGCAGTTTCGGACTCCGACTCTAATCGGTTCAACGCGCGGCTGCACCGGCCTCTGTGTCACCGTCGACTGAACTCGTTGGGTATTCCTCGCGTAGCTGCAATATGACTTTCTGTGGCACAGTCAGTATATTTAGTACTTGGGCCAAGAAAGCCTCAACTTCAAAGCGACAGTGCGAACCGCGCGCGAGGCGATCTGCTGTTGCACCTTGCTGTGCCGCAGAGGCTACGTACCGCTAATGCCTCCGGGTTCGCGCCGTTCTCGATGAGCGACACGCAGTAAGACAGTTGCTGCCGATCAAGATGGGTGTTCTGGGGCTGATGTCAGATATTGGGCGCTTCAGTAAGGCGCGGTGTTTCGTACTAGCAGTGTTGCGATTTCATGGAGAATGTCGATGACTTCACGAGCGGCCTTCCGGCGGGCGTCGGCTGTGGTTTGCTCGGCGGCTGGCATCGTTGGTGTACTGTGTACGTCTGAGTTTTCTAGAAATAAGACGAGTTTGAAGTGCTGGGGTCTGTTGTTTGTTTACAGTCTGTGGATTTAGCAGTTCAAGTCGCGTGCAGGAAAGAACCCCACACGCGGCGCGTTCCGCACGTGAGCTCCTTGGCGCATCTTGCCCCTCCAGGTACTCGATCGGTCCTCATAGCATAATTCCTTCACACCAAGATGGTGTTCTGACATCACCATCATTATGACGACAGATGGCCCACTGGTGCTCAGGCACGCAATGACAGAGCTACATAATGATGGCTCGCGTGCTTGCTGGAAAGACTCTCTTGCTAACACAGCTTCATTTGATCACCTGAACAAGTCCAAGTTCCTCGGCGTCTACAAATTTCAAATCAGCTCTTGCAACCATATTCAGATCAGAAATCATGGCACCCGATCCGCACCAAGGAGGCCGTCTTGAAGACATGGCTGCGGAGGGCACGACCATTCCTGGCGATGCTGGCAAGATGAACGTGGTAAGTTTCAACACCTGATCTAGATGTCGTATGCTTCTGAAAATTACAAGACGACTAACCAAGATTCAGGTCTCACCTTCTGACCACCCGGATCAGACTCACACAAACCTCGCACATGCAGCAGATGACGCCTTCGACATACCGCGTAGTGTGAACGACCGCGGACAAACAGGCGAAGTCATGACAGGTACTGGCGACCAGCTACCGTCAAGTATTGAGAAGAAGAACCTGGACGACGCGGGCTTCGACCCAAGAGCCAAGGGTCACGATCAGTATGCGAAACATGCTAGGCAGGATAATCCCATGGACAGCTTGAAGCATGGAGCTGGTAGTCATGACGTGGAGGCTGCGCCTGGCGAAGAGGAAGAGAGTCAAGACGCTCTTCTGAACAAGCGCGGCGCGAAGTAGGTGATGCAGGACATCGCACTTCCTGTATATACAGTATGACGTTAAGACCGAACAAAGGCCAAGAGGCGCAAAATCAACAATCTGAGAATCCAATGTTCACTTCCGAGTTTTGATCACTGTGATATGTTACATGCTCTGCTACGGACCCTTACATAACCTTGGAAGTACCTAGGGCTGTGGATACCCCGCTAGACCCCACACGTGCCTGCCAATTTCACGACCCTGGCAACTTTCCCAGCTGCTACTTGACCTAGCCACTCGAAAATCAGCCTTTATATCTGCAAGATGGTGTACTACTTCTCGTCCAACACGGTGTCGCCGTCGGCCTTCATCTACGTCGGCAAAGACAAGGTTGAGAGTATGTAATTTCTGACCTGCCGGCGTGCTCCCGAATGTTCACGGAACTACAACCGCACATACTGATCGCTTCAACAGATGAAGAGCTTATCAAATACGGCTGGGACGAAGATGTCTGGTTCCACGCGGACAATCTTTCCTCAGCCCATATCTACGTCCGATTACCAGAGGGTGAAGATTGGGAGAAGATGACTAAAGAGTTGCTGGTGGACTGCGCGCAACTTACCAAGGCGAACAGTATTGAGGGCAACAAGAAAGATAACGTCACGATTGTGTATACACCTTGGAGCAACCTGAAGAAAGACGGGAGTATGGCTGTAGGTCAAGTTGGGTTCAAGGATCAGCGAAAGGTAGGTGCATTGCTATGGGGCACCAAACACTTGCGTCACGTCCCTCGGCTCGACCACAACTTACTGATCGATTTACTGATAGCATCTTAGGTGAAGCGCATACATGTGGAACAGCGAGAGAATCCTATCGTCAACCGCCTTAACAAGACGAAAGTTGAGAAGTTCCCTGACCTGAAAGAGGAGCGAGAAGCAAGGCGGGCGGAGTTGAGGAAACGCGATCAGAGTGCTCTGCAAGCCAAGGTATGTACATCCCACCAATCCCGTGACACTGTTTTGTTCTGCATGTAACATGTTCGCGTGACCCTTCTTTCTATCTATGTCTGTTCTCATGATCTATCCTGTCATTTGCAATCTCTCCGACGCGCTATCCCCTACCACTGGTATTCTGATTCAAACACACCCTTTCGTTTGGTGCATGCAATCGCGACTCGCCGCTAATGAGTGACAGCGCAAAGAAGAGGCCCGTATAGCCAAGGAGCGCAAGGAGCTCGCATGGCGGAGAGATCATGCCTACGACGATGTCATGACAGAGGAGAACCTGGAGCAGAACTCCAACGAGAACCGCGATGAGGACTTCCTCGACGACTTCATGTGAGGTCTTTACTCGCATTTGTGCATCCCGCAGAGGACGAGGGTACCACAGTAGCAATAGTGTCGGCACAGCGGGGTCGCTTCAACTGGGGTCGCGAACAGTCATGGCTGGAAGGCACAGTCCCATGCTCTCATTCAACATGCGGATATTATGGTTGAAGGTATCGTACGCGGTGGTCTTGACCTCGAGCTCCTCACGCGTCCTGAAACAGTCAGCTGCATGGCATTGAAGACGGATGAGAGCCGGCTACATACATGGCGTTCTTCGGATTGTGCTTATTGCGACCTCCATGATTCTGTACCCACCATACGAACAGGAGATTCTTCACTATCTTGTGTTCGAGACCGTTCTGTCTAGTCGCATACTGCAGGAATTCGAGCGTGTTCTGGATCCTCTGTGGCTCATAATCGGTCGCGGAGCCTTTGCGAAAGGCTAGACGAATGCGGTCGCGCAATGTATATCGAGCCGGCTTGGAGAACTGAACAGCTCTGAGACTGTGTCGATATAGGTGCCTATACGCGTGGAGAATTGCTTGCTGTGACATGTTCTGGAGCCCTGCCCTGGCACCGCACTTCACGCTGAGGCCTCGGATGCAGGGTCGGAGGAAGGTAACGCCGACGCGCGCAGCCGCCACCTGCGCTTCCAGTGCCAACCTCGCCAACTCTTCTACACCACAACACGTACCACCCAACACCCCGCCTGTGCCTTTGCATCGACCGGGGCTTGTAGAAACGCAATCCGGATTCATTCTGGACAATTGCACGCCATCGTGACTGTTGCGCTTACCGTATTGATCGCTGAATACGCCGTGTCAGGCCACATAGGGTGCTCAGTCATCCAGTAGCGACTCATATTGCCCTGGTCCGCTGTGGGATCTATGAACATCATCTGCATACCAGAGCCATGACCAGAGTATATCATCCGCGTGCGCAACAGGCGCCGCAGCGCGGCACTACGCTTGATCAGTCGCGAGCCGCCATCAGGAAGAAGAAGCCGTACAAGATCGTGCTAGAAGCGGTAACCCAAGAGAAGAAAAAGCTACATTCCATTGTCCGTCGGCGACGCGATTTCATCGTCACATAACACCACTGACTGTAGAATAGCTAACATACGCGTCAAACGCTCCCGCTGGCTTCGGTTTCATCCCAGCTGGACACCCCGAATTCACAGAATGGTGCAAAGAGCAGTGTCGACAGCGCAACCTTGACGTACACATCGTCTCTGTGAGCATCATGTCCCTCCCAACCCAACAGGTTATCCACTGACAGCATCGCAGGCCAAGCCGAAGAACAAAACCCACTCCGATCCCGAGAAGCTATCTCACCACGTCCACCGAGTCGGACACCACTTTCCCATTCACATCATCGAACTTGCCTGCAGCAAGTTCGGATATCTCTACGATGAGAGACGCGGCCTGCGGAAGGATAAAGAAGGTGACAGAACCAACTGGATAGCCCAAGAGTTTGAAGACTACTCTTCGCGGCAAGTACAACGAGGGCATCCCGCCACTGAAAAGGAGACCAAGGGCTACATCCATGGCGCCGTTCGCGAGATGTTTCCCAAGATACCAGAGGCAGATCTGCAAGCCATTGTTTCTCATGCCTTTGAGGAGGGAACTAACCGGGTAGGTAATGCTAAGGAGCTTTCGTTGGCTCGTAGAGTGCAACTTGCAGTTGTCGCGCATATCCGCCACACATACACAGACTACGATAAGCTGCTCAAGACTGACGGCTGGTCGGAAGCCCGCGGTCAAGTCGAGAAAGTTTCTCTTGCGAAACTCAAAGAGTGGCGAGATGAAGACGGAAAGCAAAGCAACGAACTCGAGGAAACCTTCCGTGAAGTCATTGTTCTCGACGATGATGATGAAGCTAGCAGCGATGAAGGTTCCATGGCCACGCCTGATGAGCGCGAGCAAAGCATGGAAATTGTTTCCAGTCGTGCTACTGCGCGCGATTTACAGCCGGAACTACATGCTAATTACCCGAGTGGAGATGTTCACAACATGAGACCTTCATCAAGAAGAACCATTGTCCTTCCGCGTTATGCTCCTCCTCCACCGCCACCTGTATTGTCTGGCACCTCACATTTCCAGTCACATTTGCAGCAGCCTTTCCAACCAGCGCGAACAAGGACAAACGATCCGTAAGTACATGCGACAGCTAACATCGAATCTATCACTCACGACTGTAGGCGAGCGAGACCAGCCGAGGCTGGCCAGAGTATTAGAAACGCACAGCCGATCGTGCGTGAGATCAACGGCCAACTATACCAAGTGAGTGTTCGACAATCAAGCTCTACGAGCGAGAGAAAACCGGTATCCTGGTCCTTGGCTTCTTCTTGAGCTAACACGCATAGCTTCAACCCATCAAGGAAGATCGTGGTGCGTCAAGGTTACAGTATAACGATCCTCCTTTGCGCGCTGCGCCGCGTCGCGTACAGGAAGGATATGTTCAGCCTCCATCACCTCGTCACAGTGCCTTTGACAGACCACTAGCGCGCCCAAGGCGCCCATCAGACCAAGATGTTGTGCTCCCTTCTGTCGAGCCTGAGACAGTCGATCTGACATCACCACAACATATTGCAACTTCTCAGCAGCCTGCCTGGAATCACAACGCGAATCAGAACAGACCGTATAATGAGCTGCAATCGCCAAAGCGAAAAGCGCTCCCTTCTTTTGCGGATGACAGACAGTCTCAGGCCGAGCAACACGCCAAGCGTCTAAGGCCCGTGTACCGTGAGGAAGCTCGCCCTCGGACTTACGGAGATAATCAAGCAGGATACCATATGAGCCAGCGCATGGCGCCTGACTATGGGCCAAGGGCCCCACCGCCTAGAGAGCAAGTTATTGATCTGACTACTAGTCCTTACAAGCCACCTTCTAGTGGTGGCAGAGGTTACGATGTCTCTGCACGCCCGCTTGCGCCTGCTGATCCTCGTGGATATGCATATGCTTCTGGACCGTCTCATCGAATGCATGTGCATGAAGTGAGAGGTGCACAGTATGATGTACATCCTGTTGATCCGTCTCGTGCTTACGTGCCTGACAATAGGATGTATGAGAGGCGCCTCCAGCCGAACCATGACTACATTCCACTCCGAGAAGATGAGCAGCCACGACGTCTTGAAGATGAGAGTGTGCGATACTTGAGGAGCGGTGTACGTTATGGCGGATGATTGCTTTGACATGCATTGGTAGCAGGACGGGCGGAGTTATACGGTTTTTCCTACGGACGATACCCTTTTCCTTCTGTTTATTGCGTTCCCGGAGTCACGTATCCTGGAGATTATCGGTTCCAGTCACTCGCGTTTCGCGTGTCGTATGATCTGATTGCGACTTCGGTGGCATACCATCGTGAACAGCGAAGCGAATTTTGTGCATTGGAGATCATGGTCGGGCGTTTGCCACATACCAGCATGACGACAGAAGGCGTTTGTCAACTATGGATGGATACCAACAGCTACTGGGTTGGAGGTAGATGTACGACTGAAAAGAATTCATGTATGATAATACGAAGCCACCGAAGAGGTGCACAATAAGAAATAACTTCACGAAGACACTGACTACACTAACTCGAGTGAATAATTGCATTTGTCTACACGTTCATTCCATCCTCACAACTACTTATGCATTTGCGCATACTTTTCCATGACGCGCTCAACCACTTTCTTCACCTCAGCAGCGTCTAACTTTTCTTTGCGGTCAGGCGTGTACACTCCGTTTACCTCTTGCTCGATATCTGTAAGCTGCGTGTACACGAAGCCACAGCAATGTCCCCCGTCTACAATCCCGACCATCATCTTCTCGATGCGCTTGAGCAAATCCTTGGGATCAGTAGCAGTGGTGTAGCCCCAGTCCCTCTTCCTATCCTCTTCACCCGCAGCCGATCGCGCAATATTGACGCCACCAAATTCTGTGCAAATGACTGGTGCACCAGGAGTATGTTTCGATCCAGGGTCCGACAAGCTCTCGATAGGTGCAAGGAACGTCGGTCGGTTCGACTGCTTCTTCATGATGCCGTCCAACGTCGAGCAAGTCTTTGTAAGCTCATCCGCGTCGGCGTAGTCATGGAACGTGGTCAAGTCAGTGATGACGTGTTCCCAGCCACAGTTGTCGTTGATGGGTCTCGTCGCATCGAGCACCTTGGTCGCATAGTATAAGCTCCTGATGTGGTCCCTCTGCTGCTTGCTCGTATGCAGATCAGTGTACGCCCACGACTCATTAACCGGCGTCCAAGCAACGACACAAGGGTGGTTTCGATCGCGCAAGACCGCTTCCCGCCATTCTTGATCCATGCGCTCTACATATGCCTCGGAGAATGCGTATGCGTTTGCCATTTCGCCCCAGACTAGCAGTCCGAGTCGGTCGGCCCAGTAGTGGAATAGTGGGTCCTCGACCTTTTGGTGCTTGCGGCATCCGTTGAAACCCATCTTCTTGGTCAGCTCGATGTCTAGCTTCAGCGCATCGGAAGATGGAGGTGTCATGAAGGTCTCGGGCCAGTAGCCCTGGTCGAGGAAGAACGCTTGGAAGTATGGGCGGTTGTTAAGTCGGAAGGTGGAGTTGTCCCAGTGGAGAGAACGCATTCCAGTTGTTGTGTGGACCTGATCGATGACTTTGTTTTCGTTATCGTAGAGACAGATAGTCAGATCGTATAGCGTTGGGTGCTCCGGAGACCAGAGGGCTAGATTGTTAAGCCATGCTGTTGCGTCCGAAAGTGGGGCAGTCGATGTGAGGCTTTCAGGCAACTGCTCAGTCTGGGAGTCAGATAGTCGCATGTTGGTACTCAATGACACGGTATCTGAGTCTCGTGGAAGAGTAACCTTCTCAGTCTTGCTGACTGACACGCCTGCCAGGCTAGCTTCGATTTCTACGCTGTATGCATGTCCGGCAGGCCTCCCGAGGATTTTGATGCTGGCTTCCAGCTTGCCCGTTTCAATATCATTGCTCTTGAACAGTGTGCCCGCGCTTGCATCTCCAATTGTCACAACTGGCACTGACTCAAGCCACACACTTTGCCAAATACCGCCACTGGGTGTGTAGAAGATGCTCTCTGGCTGAGCCTTCCAGTACTGCTTCCCTCGCGGCTGAGTCAGATCGTGCGCAGAATCAAACACGCGAATGGTGAGTCTTTGAGCCTTCTCCTCCGTGAAAGCATCCGTGACATCGACGTCAAAAGGCACATGTCCACCGCGATGGCCACCAAAGAAGCGCCCATTAAGCCAGATCTTGGCTTCGTAGTCGACGGCTCCGAATCTCAACACCACACGGTTTCCAGCCGCCTTCTCTTCCATTGTTCTCGGGTCTGCAATGACCCTCTCGTACCACAGTACCTCATGCACGCCTTTCTCTCCGATACCAGAAGCAGGACATTGGAACACGTAAGGAACCTGAATGTTCCTCTTTTCATGTACAGTATGTTCATTTTTGAATGAGTTCCCTTGCAGCAGCTCTTGAGTCCCAGCGGCTATCTTGGCTGTGATGCTGTGCGCTTCGGTGTTCTCGGCGCTATTGGTGTTGGTGGGGTTCACGGTGATCTTGTCCGGGAGGGACGTTAGATGCCATCCTTGGGTCAAGCCAACGTCGTTGTCATCAAAAAGGAATGACCATGGACCGTTGAGGGGCATCCATGTTAGGTCTTCGCGAAGGAAGTCAGGACGGGGGTAGGAAGGTGGGGGTGCGGGCGGCATGCTGATTCCGTGGATCTTGGGAATATATGGGATGCGATGATGGGAACAGCAAGCTGTTAAAAGTGAGGACGTGTTATAAAAGTCAGCATTCACGTGAACTTGATGCAGCGTGGTGGAGGTGTGGAGAGAACACTGGGTCGAGTGAGCAACTAAGCTGGATTTGGACTAGACTGTTAGGGTACATCATCGCCCCGGATCGTACTCTTCCTCTTTTCATCTTCTTTAGAACGCTGGTGATTAACACAAATACTACTACAAAATAAGTATATTACTAAAAGTTAATTAAGCAAATAAGTTGATCTTTGTGTATCTAATCTAAGACCCGACAGGTATTGTACTAATCACCGAGCTCTCAGCTCACGATACGAACAATGCGACTGTCTGTAACAGATGTGTAACCGGTTCGTGAATACAATAATTCCTAGCATGTGCGAACCTAACATTTCTGGAGACCCGATTCGGGTACTCGGCCACTAAATTGAGCGAGGAAGGGCATAGCCAACATGCTCTCCCTAGCTACCTACTCTTTAGCATACCTTTTCGCAGTGGCTGTAGCTGAGGCTTGACAGTTATAGGCTGCTGGAACAGTCTTATGTGACTCAATTACAGGATTAATTCGCAATCTATCAATGAATATCATGTACAACGATGAATAACGATCAGGAAAGAGGAAAACTAAACTTGCTATCTGGCAGCATAGCGTCAGCAACCGGCACGTCCACCACAATTGTTTCAGCATCATCCACCCGCTCAATCCCATATACGGCCTCATCGTGGAAATAACCAATCGGCTCAGCTCTCTTCCTGTTCACAAATGCTGCGCCGACAAAATCAATCTTGCACCCAAAATATCGCTGCCGCAAAAAATGGGCGCTGGCTGCTGGGGCTGTAGATTGGCCATCCCAGCAGTAACCGTTAATGTTACCCCTGAACTTGAACCGCTGTTGTCCGCGCACAGAGACAGCGCACATGATCCATGCCGAGCCTGAGATGACTGTAGTCACCGGCCTAGGGGGTTTAGGATTGGGGATAGAGCCAGAGGCGAAGTTGCTACCGGGGAAGTTGACGTTGTTTGCGGTTGTGTCGACGAGGAACAGTGTAAAGTTCCTCTTGTGATACCAGTCCCTGTGGTCGTCTGCCCTGTTCTCGCCGTGTCGAAGGTATGGCCGAGTATCTGGATATTTCGTTAGGCGCTGGCGGCCTGGATCTCCGTGTTCCTTGAATTCTTTGTCTCGGTTCCATCCTGTTGCGTCCCAGGGGATCCATGATGGGTTGTCCTCGGTGGGTGCTTGGTGATCGTTGAAGTATTCTACATTTGTCATCACGTTGCTTAGGAGTCCTGCGTTGTGTATTAGCTAGTAGTAACAGGTGGGATGGGTAGAAATCATGAAGCGGAGGGAAACAAGGTAACTTACTGTTGCAATTGCCCTGCAAGTTTTGCTGCCAGACTGGGACACAGGTTCTCGTGGTTCCCAATGGGTTCGTCGGGTTTAGTGCGTTGTCTCGGAGGGCAGACTGCCAACCCCATCCTCCTTCCTCGGAAGAAGCAAATGGAAATTCATCACAACTGACAAGCGCAGAACTGATACCGGTTGCAGCTTTGTAAAGTGCGTTCTCGCCGCTGGTACCACTGCAAGGGCTTCGTGCCTCACTGCATGTCTCGGCGCGGCGCTCGGAGGTATAGCTGGGATCCCAATGCAACGGATACTGGTCTGTGTTGATGCCATGTGCCATGAGGTATCTTCTTACGCTGCTACAGATACCTGGGATTGTGACAGTACCGGACGGGCCTTGGAGATTGACATTTGCGAACGATATAGATGCGCAGTTGTAGTACAATCGTGGCAGCTGCCCTGGGCAATCGGTTGCAGCACGTTTCTGAAGCTCGGGAATAGATCGTACTGCGAGACCATGGCCGTGGTTAATTGAGGAGTAATGTCCGTGGCCGCGAGGCCGGAATTTGAATGTGTTGGGAAGGCTTGCTGAGCATGGTGAGTTGCCGGTAGTGCACTTGAAATCACCAAGCATGAACTCTTTCTCACTTCCATCAGCGCGTGAATGAAGTGAGTGCACGGCGTGCCCTAGCCCTTCAAGTGTCCGTACACTAAGGTTGGAGAAGGGAGGCAGATCTAGATCTGTATGATTGTACAGGTTCGCGGAGACCATGATCGAGTCCTCTGCAGAAGAAAGCTCGTACAAGGAGGTGAGATCTTTGACCCCAAATAGGGCGTTGGGTAGAGGATCCTCGGATAACTCCCATGGGCTCGTCGAGTTTGTGTCTCGAGCACTGATGGACGGTCCAGACTTGACTACGATGGGACCATAGATGGGGATATTTTGCCAGGCTACAGCTTCGAATTCACCTGACTTCCAGGAGCCGTAGAGATAGATTGCTGCAACAGCGTTCATGCCAACACGCCAGTGCAGCTCGACCTTGTACCCGTACTCCCAGTTGCTGGTTTTGCCGTCAGTGTCAGCAGTGGCGTGTGCTTCAAAGTAGATGGTCGTGTTCGTATATACAGCGACCTGCGCTTGAACAAGAGGCTCTTTGAGCGGCCCAATCTCGCCGCCGACTTTGATGCCGCAGTTTATCTCTGGTGTGATGCGCAACTCAACGCCCACGGTCGCTTTGACGCCCGCTTGGAAGACGGGAGAAAGGCCTTTCTGATCTTTGTCAAACTTTTCCATCTTACTGCTGGCCTTTTGTCGTGTATTGTCGTCATTTGGCATATACATCTCGATAGGATCCATGGTATATTTGGCGCCAACCTTCATGTTTCCAGAGACGGTGATGCTGCCCGCAAGCTGGCCCCACAAGTCGAGCGATGGCCCAACAGTTGCAATGCCCTTGATTGATAGACCGGGGTATGTGACCGTCGAAATCAGTTTCTTCCTTTCGCTTTCGTAGCCAAGCTCAGCGTTGCCGCGGATATCGACACCAGCATAAATGCTGGGCTGCGCCCCCAAGAAGACGTATGTGTCGATGACATCCGGTGGCACGATCGTGCCCGAGAAATAGTACGCGTATCTCGCACCCATCTCCATTCGGACTTCCGCTGTTATGTCAAGACCAGCTGTGATCGTGACTCCGGCGTCGTTCGCGCATTGCAGACGACCTGAGTATATATTGAACATCTTTGAAAGGCTCATTGGAAGAAACCCAGCATCCTCCTTCGTGAGCGTGTTCAGTTTCTTAAGCCAGTTGGTGAAGGTACCCCACCACCGACGTTCAACATGATTGGATTCGCCAGAGTCAACGGACCGTGTGCCCATTGACGGCAGACCTTCAGGACTAAAGTCGGCTTTGCCCTGGGTCGCAACGTGAAACTCATCATGTCCATTAGTATAAGAAGCATTTTTGGCCTTGTCAACCCGATCTCTCCAGCTGGTGTAGTTCATATGGTCAGAATCTGAGCGTTTCTTCCTTTTCGTGGGCTCATCGGTAACAGTGTCCCAGTAATCTTTTAGGTTGGTGTAGTCCACGCGCATGAGAACTTTCTCATCATCCGCTCTCTTGATAGCAGCGAAATTGTAGTCGATCTTCAATCTGTAGATGCCATTCTTTGGGATTCCACTTGTGTCTCGTTTGCGTATAGCCCATGCTGGCAGGCTTGGTGGCGAAGACTCAGGCGTCATGGACACGACTCTAGCATATGGACCTTCTCCAATGTGACGTGGAAGCTTAATAATCGTATCGGCAGCGCCCTTGTGAAAGATTTCTTTGCAGTGCTGTGAGTCGTGCGGGTGATTACAAAATACTAGATGACTTTCCTCAACGTGATCGAAGGTGGCATCAATGACTGATTGGTTTGTCGTAACAAATGACCGGGAGACTATCTTCTTCGGCTCCTCGTCGGTCAAAAAGGTGAATTGTTTGCCGAACTGTTTGGCAATCGACCCGGGGGGCCCGTCTAGCATGACAAATCCGTACGGGTCGTCACCATGGTCGACTTCCAGATTGTCCGGGGTCGTGTCTTTGTGATTGTTACCAAAGTTATTAGACCATTGCCAGGTGACATCGTCGTTCTTGTCATCGTACGCATCGCTCCAAAGGTAGGCTGGATTCACTGGCCAATTCTTCGTCAATCGTGATGGAGGCGAGCAACAAAGTGCGTTATCCAGAGACGTCCCATCGCCTAACCAACAGGCGGACGTTCTGTTGTCGAGTCCAAGGTTTGGTGGCGTGGTTTGAGCTTGTGTGACCATCAGTCGCCCGTCGAAGCAATGCTTGCTGCGGCAAATGCCAATCTCTTTGCAATAGTCTTCCTTGGAATCTGCACACTGAGAGACTGGAGATTGGTATTTTCCCATGAAGTAATCAGGGTCATTGGACCATTGGCAGTTCTCGAAGGGGTCGTCTTTCGGGCAACAGAAGGATCTGAAATGCTGATGCGTCGTGGTACCACCTTGACCGCCGTTGCCCATGCCTGTTTGAGTCTTACAGATGTCTCCATCATCTTGATCATACCGTGTCGCGACACTGACCTCATCAGATGAGCAATGCCCATTTTCGTCCGCAGTCCAATCGCATCCAGTCCAGTGGCATTTCTGTACAATTGGGGTAGAGTCGCAACAAAGCTTACGAGTGCCAGATACACACGATGCTTTTCCGAGTGGGTCGATATAGGTGTCCTGGTTCAGTTCGAATTGCGATTTGCCGCATTCACCACTGCAACCGAAAACGCTCCGTTCTGGAGCACCGATCCATTCGCAATTCTTCGGCATAGCTTTGGTAGGGCAGCATACGTGTTGGAATTTGCCTTTAGGACAAAGGATGCTCGAGAATCCATCGCCTAGGTTGGCGTGCATTTCGTGGCCGATTTCCAATGAGGAGAACCCTGGTTTACACGATTTACTACCAGTCTTGTCATCTGTACAGGCGTATGTGTTGTAACAGTTCTGACCTGTGTACACGGCAAGATCGTCCACCAATCTCTTCTCCTCATCAGGGTTGAGCGAGCTGTCTTGTAGGCCTTGAGAGACGGCTTCTTGACCAAACAACCCAATCAGCGCATCATAATTAGCTGAGTCGAGGCCGAGGTCCCAAATCATCAAACCTTTAATACAGCGCGAGTACATGTACTTCACCTTTGCCTGGAAGGATTCGGCATCATCGAACGATACCCATTGGTTGGATCCGTAGGTCATCCACTTGACGGAAGAAGCTTTGTCGTATCTGACGCTAGTGCTTAGATCACCTTGGTGTGACAACACCTCTATAGATCAGTGCATTAGCAAGAGTCCGACCATTGTACTCTAGGATGTGAGGCCTTACCATTATATGAAAGAATACCCGGCTCATTAGTACAGTCGCCGGCGAAGGCTGGCCCGGAGAATTGACATGTTGGAGGTGTTGAGCAAGCCGGACTCTGCATGGTAAAGCCCCTACCGTAGAAGCCGAAGCCCATGACAACTTTGTTCGAGCTGATACCATTCCTCCACAATAAATCCAGGCCATCCTCAATCTCAGTAAGATTCGTATGACCTTTCAGGTAAGGACCGGTCCAAATGTTGTGCTGATCCCAGATGCCGTGGATGTCATATGTCATGACGTTGAACCAGTCCACATATTTTTCAAGGCGTACAATGTCAAAGTGTTTCAGATACCAGAGACTGGCAGGGAGAGTCAACGTCAACTGCCATCCAGGGTCGTATGAGTCGAATGCTTCTCTGATCTCGGCGCATAGCAGAACAAGATTCGAGTAGTCTCGAGGGAGTCCGCCTCGGTCGGGCGCTACAGGATATTCCCAATCTGTTCCGCATCAATGACTGCTGCCCGAAGTAAATAGGGACACTGAAGACTCACCTAGATCTATACCATCCAGAGAATACTTTTGCATATACTGGACGAGAGATTTCACAAACTTTTGGCGGTTCGGTACAGTGGAGGCCATATCTGAAAAACGTGTTTCTGTAGGTGGATCATTGAACACCCAACCTCCTGGTAAATACAGTCAGCCGAAAATGAGTAACATGTATGACCAAGTGTGCACCAACCGATCGCAATGTTTACTCGCAAGCCAGGATAGATGTTCTTCAGACGAGAGACTCGGCCGGTGATATGACCAACCTCATCAGTGATTTCATGGTCTGCTGAGACGAACTCGAAGGCTACGTTTATGTGAGTCAACACACCAGCGGGTATGTTCTCTGGTTGCATCTGATCACAGGAACGCTCGGCGCTCCAAGCCCCATAGTAGCCTATGCGAACTTCGGCTGCCATCGCATCTGTGCTCTCGCTGCATTGGCTAGGCCGACTGTAGGATTAATGTTAGGTAGATGCAATGCGTTGATTTCGACGGTTACATGCCTGACTGGTCCACATTCGCTCTTGTCTTTGTTCTGACATTCGTTGTTGCAGTATTCCGAATTGTATCCGCAAAAACCGTGCTTACTAGATCCACAACGTCAGGCCCTCCTACGAATGTCTGATGTACTAGTCTTACCTGCAGCAAACATTCAAAGGACATTCAAAGTTATCTTTAGTGGCATACTGTCCACACTCTGCAGTTGCACTGCAGGAACCTTGGCACCTGGGCATGTCTCAGTCCTGCAATCCTCTACGTCAATAAGTGAATGGTTTACCCTTTGCCGCAGAACTCGTCTCCAAACCCGCAACGACCTTGAAAATGTTAGCATTCTATGAATCATAGCCAGAATCTAAACAGTACCTGAAGAACTGCAGCAGCCAACTTTGCAAGGCTCGGCTAAACCACAAGTTGCCCCTTGTTGAGCGGCTGAGAAGTTTACAATGATAGACAAGAAGAGGGCAAAGAACATAGGAAGTATTGTGTAGGCCCAACGGCCTCGAGGCTTACCCATATTGAAGGTAAGGTACAACGAGTGTGAGAAGGCACAAAGGCCTCGATAAGGAGTGACTTGGAAAAAACAAGAATGAGAAAGAAAAACTTCAGACGTAGTAGCTGAGTATAGAGATGTACCAAAAACCCTAATGTCAGCGGTTGCTATGGCCTTACCCAACTTGGTCCGCGGGCCGTTGCGGACGGTGCTAGCCGCGTTCGAAGATCCCCCCTGCGTCAGCACTGTATCCCGTCCACGACCTCACCCGAAGACGATAGCAGGGACTAGCCGTAAAATCGGCTTTTCTCACGGAAGAATCGTAGTGGAGGGTACGGCAGAGAAAGCTTCATCTGCTGCTCGCCACGCTGGATTGCAAACCTTGTATCACTGTGCAGGTGTGCCAATTTCGGGTTAAGCGAAATGAGCATGCCTCGACGATAGCAAGGACTAGCCGTAAAATCGGCTTTTCTCACGGAAGAATAGTAGTGGAGGGTACAGCAGAGAAAGCTTCATCTGCAGCTCGCCCCGCTGGATTGCAAACCTTGTATCACCGTGCAGGTGTGCCAATTTCGGGTTAAGCGATATGAGTATGCATTGAACTGTGGGTGGTCTGAATAATGGATATCTTTCCCAACAACGAGTGAGAATAAGGCTGATACAACCAGACCGCGGCACACTTGTTTTGTTTCCTTCCAATTTTCTGCAGAAGTCGGGCAACAATACACTCCTTCGCTCACTATCCCACAGCTTCGTTTACCTTTTCCCCCACAATTGCAGTCAATCTCTGTAATTATTTCGAATATATTGTTCCTTCGTCTCAGGATGTTGGTCCTGCTTGTCCTTATCGGCATCTTGTCAGAGGCTGGTAATTGTATCAAGCTCTGGACGGCGCCTGTAATGCTGCCTGCAGCGGTACCTGCGACGTGTAAAGCTGTCATGGCTGCTGACATAGCTTGTAGCCCACGATTCGTTAGGCCAGCTGATATTGGGAGAGATGTGCCATTCAACGAGACATTCCTCAGTAAATATTGCAGTTCTTCATGTTCCTCATCGCTCAACACCTATATCGCAAATGTCAACACGCGGTGTGGATCTACCATCTACGATTTTGGAACTGGAATTCAAGAATCTGCAGGGTCTTTGGTCGCGCCTATCAAATGGGCACGCGATGTCGCATGTAGTACTGGAACTTCCGCGAACGATTTCTGCTACCCTAAGATCGTCAATCGAGAAGTCGGTTTCTGCGACGATTGTACTTTGAAGTACCTTGCTGGCTTGTTGAACTCAGACAGCGATGTTGGCAAAATTGACACCGAAGGCTTTACCTCAATCCTGTCATCGTGTCAAGTGTCATCAACAAAGTTTCCAGTCACCAAGACAGCTCAGCCAAGCACTGCACAACCGACGTAAGTGATTATGGTTATACATCCAGCAATGTACTGACAAATGAATAGAAGTACCAGCGAAGCTAGTAATTCTTGCTGGGGAGGCGAGAGATACACTGTCAAGCAGGGTGACACTTGCGAGTCCGTGGCAGCAGCAAATGGTCTGGCGATCGATAGATTCCTGTACTTGAACGGGATTGACTTCCATTGCAATGCGTTTGGCATTGGCAGAACGGTGTGCATAAGGGACGCTTGCAAACTCCACACCGTAGGTGGCTACGCTTTGATGTCACGAGTCCTACTGACTACTGTGATGTAGATAAAGCCACAAGAATCCTGCAAGGATATCATCGATAACTACGGATTTACAAAGCTTGAGCTCGTGCAGTGGAACCCAACCTTACAAACTGGCTGCAGCAATACGACCGCATTGGCTGGCCGTTCGATCTGTGTCACGTATGTTTTCCTTGGAATCGATGTTATGACCAAGCTGATGCTAGTCTACCAGGCCTCCTGGCACAGATAAATATGACTTCACCGCGACAGCGTCTTGGAACGATACGTGGACTTGGCCGGCTGGCAGTTGGGTACCAGGACCTACACAGGGTACTCCCTTGACCAATCAACCAACCACGTGGGACGTACCGACAACGACAGCGAAGTGGACAGCAAGCGTGGACCCAACACTTGCAGCTTACTATAAGAACTGCCCAATCACGGAGCAACATTGGGATGCCGGTTTTGATTGGAGTTTGCTCAGCAACGTGTGTTCGTTGCTACTCGAGAGGTATTGCGAGCCTGAGACGACTGGAGATCCACTACCTAGCACAACCTTCCCAAGCACTTGCTTTCCACCGTACCCTACTAATGCTGACTGAGTTACATAGGAACGGCGGGAAGAGTGTAGGATACCAAGATTGCGCAAATTCATAGGGTTGTTCTCTGTATATAATTTATCGGAACGATGTTTCATTCTTCAGCATACAGTAACGTTCCTGGATGCAATAAAGATGGATCATCCCCACAGTTTTCGAGGTGCCCTGACAGATGGCCTCCGCTAGGACCTGCTTCAAAATCTTGGATATGCTCTGGCCTGATTTTATTGTACCAAACTGACTGTCCATGAATGTCGAGAAAATGCACCTTGACCAATTTTTCTTGCACTGCTTCCTCGTCGAAAAGGTAGTAAATAGATTTCGACTTCATGACTGCGTTGTACAACGGCAGTCTCGCCTCATCGTTAGGTGGTGAGATTGCAAGCCGGCTTTCGTCGTTCTCCGGGTGCCCATCGTTGTAATAGACTACACTGTCTATGAGTTGAGGCAGACGCAGGAAAACCTTTGTCCAGTCGTGCCCATATTGACCATACAGACTTTCGTTGTCAAGAACTATCTCCGGCCCAAAGTCCGTTTGACCGCACTCGAACATTTCCTGGTAAGTAGTGTCGAGTTCAACCGCATAGCAAGTACGGATCCAGATTGGGTAAGGGACACGGCTCAGGAATTTCTGAGTTACATTGCGCTCGGTGATCGTCTGGTGCGCAGCCAATATACGCTGAATCTGCGATTGCGTTGGCAGATATGGCGCATCAGGAGGGGGGCTATCTGCGGGACTGCATATTCTCCAGTATTGCTAATGCAAATCTTAGTTTAGCACATTTTGCAGTACATTATGCAGTTCGTCGTGAACAGGGTACCCACACTGCGATCAACGTGGCTCATCGACAGCCATCTGGAAGCAAGGTCGTTCCACTGCTCCTGATCGTTCTCTTCCGCTTTATCGAAATTCCAATTAGTCTTTGCACATTGCGTTAGCAGATGGCAGACAGAAATAAAGTAAATACACTGACCAGGACAAATTGGTCGAATGGCAAATTGCCATACTCGGCTCCCGGATTGAGCAGTGTTGGTTCATGCTCGTGAACAGGCTCCATGGCCGATATCTCTGCTTAATGCAGCCCGGATATTGAATCTCACGCAATGTATGAGATATGTTAGGCCAAACATAAGAAGATATGTAAATACTGGAGACCCGCCAAGAGCCAAGCAGACGCTATGTAGCGAACCAATCCTATGAGCGAGAGCCCATGCGCTGTCCCGCCGCCTTGTTCTGCCACGATCCAAACAGGCAGGCCGCAGCTGCATTTTGCCGCCACGGTCCAAACAGGCAGGCCGCAGCTGCGTTTTGCCGCCACTAAGCTACGCGAAGCCTGTTGGTATTGCGGCACGGGAGGTAGATTATCAGGGTATTATCCACATCTAATGAAACTACTTTATTACGGTATACCTTGGCACGGGTGGAACCGCGGTCTAGTGAGAGTCTAACAAGAACTGGAAGACATGGGTCAGTGATACTTGTCTCAACACTCATGAACCATAATGAACGATGCCTAAGATGGATCAAGCCAGACCTTTCCATTTTCGTATATCGAAGTTATTGAAGCGGCTGTGTTCATTTCCCGCTATTGTTAGATTGGTGTGGACGTGAAAAGAAAATCTCAAGCCCGTACGTATATAACGTGCTGAGTGCTAGTATCAACATCTTTGCCTGCCACAAGTGTCGAGTGTTTCTGCTGTCATCTCAAGCAGTCTGATGAAATGAGGTTTTTCATCGCACTTTTGAGCTTCGCGGCCGTTGCGACCGCTGGTGCTATCAAGCGCCAAAGCGGCCCTGTCGAACCAGACACAGATCCTGACTGCAGTTACCACGACACTGCTTACAGTGAATCCGACAACTGCCAGTATTTCGAGGATTACTGGGGAATCGACCATGCCACCTTTGTTGCTTGGGTACAAACATCACTCTGCCAACGTTGCCCTGCTAACAACAATTAGAATCCGTCGGTCAAGGATGATTGTAGCGGAATCAAGGTTGGCTATTCATACTGTGTAGAGGTCACTCGTAAGCCAGAGCCAACGAGTTTCACTCCGACATCCACATCGGCCTCTCCGTCTCCCACCAAGCCGTCCAAACCGTCACCAACCCAGGAAGGCCTTATCGATTCGTGCACCGACTTTTATTTTGCCGTCGCAAACGACAACTGTCAAAAGATTGCAAAGAAATATGGTACTTTTACAGAAGCTCAGTTCATCGAATGGAACCCAGCAGTTGGTTCTGACTGTGCGGGCATCTGGGCCAAGACCTACTACTGCGTAGGCATCCCCGGAACCCCAACAGCACCACTCACCTCGACATCTGTGCAGCCCACATCGACTGCCCCTGCAAAACCATCGCCAACACAAGAAGGCTTGATTGAAAGCTGTACAAGCTTCTACTTCACTGTCAAGAACGACAACTGTGCCAACATTGTCAAAAAGTACGGCACCTTCACTCTATCTGAGTTCGTCATGTGGAACCCTGCTGTTGGAGAAGACTGTGGGGGTATCTGGGCTGCTACTTACTACTGTGTTGGCATTCCTGGGACACCTTCTGCTCCTCCCTCTTCGAGTATTGCACCCACGACGGTCAAGCCTACGCCCACCGGAAATGGCATTTCAACGCCGCTACCTACCCAGCCTGGCATGGTTTCCAACTGTAATAAGTTTCACTGGATTGCAAAGAATGTTGGGTGCAGCGATGTCATTAGCTATGAGAAGATTACTCTAGCTGAATTCGCCAGATGGAACCCCACAGTCCTCGATGACTGCTCCGGCATGTGGGCCGAAGTGAACGTTTGTGTTGGTGTTATCGGAGGCACAACTACTTCAACCCCTAAGCCGACTACAACCACGATAAAGCCGAGTGCTACTACTACGGCTGGAAACGGCATTCAGACTCCACAACCCACGCAGCCGGGAATGATCACAAACTGTAACAAGTTCCATTGGGTAGCTTCAGGCGTCACCTGTTCGCAGATTGTCAGCTATCAAAAGATCACACTTGCTGATTTCGCCAAGTGGAACCCTACCGTAAAGAGCGACTGCTCTGGTATGCAAGCATTGGTCAACGTCTGTGTTGGTATTATTGGAGCAACGTCTACAACAAATCCTGCAACTACAACAACATCAGCTGGCAACGGGATTCAGACTCCCCAACCTACACAGCCTGGGATGGTGACCAACTGCAAGAAATTCCATTATGTAGCTGACAACGTTACCTGCGGCCAGATCATCAGCTACCAGAAGATCACTCTTGCTGACTTTGTCAAGTGGAACTCTGGTGTTGGCTCTGATTGCAGAAATATGTGGGCTAGAACCAACGTATGCGTTGGGGTGTAAGGTAGCCTCTGGTTTCCGGAAAGTTGGGTTCAAGATCATGTAGATCTATTGGATTTGCTGTATTCACCGGTCTACGTACTTGAATCTAGTAGACGTTCTACTTCCATCTGCTCATCATCTAGTCTAAATGATCATCTATGATCTTATCAGGACTACTACCCGAATGCTCAGAAGATGAAAGGGTGATCGCGACATGCCGCACCGTTCACATCTCCACCTGAACATTAAGCTTTGAGGGGTGGGTCGTGGTGCAAAGTGACAGGATCGCGTTCCGCAACCATACCAGTAGATTTTCGGGGGGAACGCTGCTGCATCGCTCAAGAGCTTCAACAGCACAAAGACACAAAAAATACCTCTAGTATCTGCGGTTGCAATTCTCCATGGCCCAAACCATTTTGCATCCAGATTGTTCGCAAGAGCCGACAAGTCCACCATTAGCACCACTGGACCGATACTGATGGAGATATTACGATATCGACACCAGAAGATACGCTCCGAAAGCTAGAACTAGTTCGGAACTTCTAGCTTTTGGCGTGGAGAAGTTGTATGTGTCTACAGAGCATTTCGGTGCTATACTTCGTTCACCCTTCTATCTTCAGACATGCACAATAGCAGTATCAACAGTACCATATACGAATAACGCAGATGCTGACAAGGATAGCCTCGGTCAAGATCTCAGGGGAGCAGGACCTCAGCCTTCTTCCACTCCATGATGTGATTATCGTCCTTCGAAGTACTGCTCGGAAATCGCTTCTTCCACACTGGCATTACGGAACCACTCGCCGAGCTTTGAAAAGCTCCTTTATTCTCATCATTCCGTTTTTCGCGTCGACAGATGGGTGACCGAGAAGACTCAAGTCACTACGCCCAGCCGCATGTACGTCCCCGTCTCGCAGGCGATGCAGGAGTAAGGTATGTACATCTTTTCAGCCGTGGAGGGGGATGCCGCCGTCGTCGTGACATATCGCGCCGCCGAGAAGAAGGACTTTAAAGGACTCACATAGACATTGGCGCCGGAACTGTATTAGGGTTTCAGCGTTCATGGTCGAGAGACGCGGTCCGTTGGTATGGGCCACTGGACTGTGAATAGGGGGTCATGTCCTTCTCCGTGAAATTCCCCTTTGAACCAGACGTTGGTGACCCATTCGTGTGCAATAATGTATGGTTGGAGCAGCGTGATGCTGGTATTGGGGTCAAGGAACTGCTCGTAGTCCTCGAGTCCCGCTGCGACTTTCTGCTGAGATCGGAAGCTTACACGATGAGAGTGCGGGTCAGTGGGTATCGACTTTCGAGAGAATGTGTGGAGGGATCGCCAAGCTGCCCACTGCCATGATGGGAAGTCTAGTCGCTGGAACGCTATATGAAGGCTGATGAGATTGCATGTTTTATCAGACAATGCCAGCGAGGAAAGGAAGGACGCCCGCATTTCTTCGGGCGCGGAAGAATTGTTTGCGCTCTGAACGCCACGTCCTCCACCTCCGACTCTGCTCATTGGAAGTCCCCAGAAGTCAATCATGGGGTCCTCGAGCTCTCTGAATGCTTGAAAGATACCAAGGAATGCGTCGAGGGCATCAGATTCTTTTGTTAGGGAGCGGAATAGATACTTATGTATCCGCTTGTCAATTTCAGCCCCTGATCTTCCTGTTCCACCTGATGGGAACACACGGAAGTCTGATTGAAGTTTTTGAAGCGGTTAAGATCCTTGATATGCGCTCTTTTGAGGTAGGTTGGGATGGCTACATAACAGTGCATGTGTCAGCACTGGAAATAAGTCTAAGTCTCGGTGAATACTAGACGTCGTCGTGAGAGAAGATTTTCCTGTAGATTCCACCCTCGTGTTGACCAATTGCACTTCTGATCTCTTGCAAGGCTTCTGGAATACACAACAGTTGATAGCCGTGTGTCTTGACTGACAACTGGGCCTTTCGTGCTCTTGATGTTGTGTCTGGGAGACCAAAATCTGGCCCGTGTCCACATGTAGCAATGGTTGTAACGTAGGCAGATCTGTAGACTTTGTGCATGTTTTGAAGCTGTATTGGCTTTGCTGGTGATGTCTCGTCCTGCGTGATGCAGTAGCGGTTTACCCAAAGGTAAGGGATACCAAGTTTTCGCGAAGCGTTGAGCGCGTCCTTGATCACCAGAGGCACATTACTAAGCAGCCCGTTACCTTCGACGTTCTGTTGTGATGATGGGTTAGGAGGCCCCTAGCAATGGTTCAACGCAGCGACTTTGCTGTTCGATGGTGCGTTGACGATTGAGTAAGTAGTGCAGTCAATAAGCCGAGATGAGGGGACATCGTCGCATCCGGTCGCACCACAGCTTCCTGAATGGTTTGAACGTGTATCGTCACCCCCTCTTTTCATCTCCTCCACGACGCGCAACATTGATGCGAACAGCTCAACGACAGAGTACTAACAACGGCTAATCAATATCTCTGGACTTTGTATTCGTAGAAGCCAACTCACAATAGGACCGTAGCACAACATCTGTGGACTCAACAACCCAAGTGCGCAGCCGTCAACAAAGCCCACACTACTGGCCCCTCTCCGCTCCATTTTCAACACTCTGATTGTTGAATCGTCCGAGAGAAACCTCCAGGCTTGAATTGGCACTGGCATTGCCTGTAGTGTCACGCAGTTGGTGTCGATGCTCGATACCCACTATGGAATCGTCCGCGCGTGTGTAAGACTCCGAAGACACCGTCCATGGATTCTGAGGCAGTGCGGTAGAACGATCTGAGTTACGAATTAATACAGCGCTCACGAGAAAACAAACAGCCTAGTATACGTATGCGGAGGCAAGCGATTGAAGAAAGCATTGATGTCAGCTAGTGATCCTGCATCGTGTCCAGCTACGAAAGCGGACGCACGAGGAGGCTGGAGAGTATACTTGAGGCAGGGCATTGTTCATCTGAGAAGCTAGCAAAGGTATCTTCCCGCAATTTCCACACCAATGAGAGAAGTCACAACTCTAATATGCAGTCCACACAAAACCCTTGCTACTGCCCAGTTTCCTCCTGCTTCTCACTGCATGAACATATCGTTCATCTCCGATGTCTCCGAGTCTTATTCAAATTTCCTCCGTCAACTGGTATGGAGCTAGTCCTACGGCCGGTGGAGCTACTCGGAGTTAGCTTAATATTGTACGTCGGGAATGGATATCAACTTACTGACGTATGATGGCGCGATGACATCCTTACCGGTGATCCTCTTGATGTCTTGAATAACGATGTCCATAGGAAGGAATATTCCCTGCCCAGTACCAGTCACTCCGAAAAGCAGTCCGAGCTGTGTTCCCGATTCGTCGTGTAATAGAATACTGCCAGAATCACCGAGCTCGATGAAAGCACTTTGCCCGTCCTTGCTGGTCACCCCAAAACATGATCCCGCGTTCTTCGCATCGAATCCGTAGACGTCTGAGATCTCCTCGTCCTTATCGGGGTTGATGATAAGCAGGCAAGAATTGATGGTGCCGACCGTCCAGCCACTCGTGCGCCCGTATTTGGCAACATGGACTGTCTCTTTGTTGACATTGAACGTTGACCATTGCCTGCACTGCTGCTTTGCGAGAAGTTTCGTCTTGGTAGATCTAACATTAGGCAGACTGTTGATAACGTCGCGTTTTGTCGTATTGCCCATACGGACCAACGCCCAGTCGAGGGGGAAGAGGAACGTGGCCTGCAGCGCCTTCATCTTGTCTTTAGATCGGCCGGTGTTTGGATCTGAGGCGTACTTGTTGGCCTTGACAGTTCGGCGGCCTGAGCCTGCGTAGACGTTGCCAATACGCCGGTCGAACTTCTCAATCATCTTGTACTCTTCATCCTTCTCTTTGTGCTCCATCTTGGATTCCACATCTCCAGCAGCAGCGTAAGTACCATGAAGCTTGATCTCATCTTGGAGCACTCCGAGGTAGCCGTGATGGTCGAATGTCGCTGGCGATACTATGGCTTGAGGCATGTTGGCCAGGGTCTTGTTGTCGACACCTAGAGCCTTGTTGGTCGTTTTAGAGATGACTATGTAAGGGTCAGTTTGTATCTTGTTAGGGGATAATGAGTTATTACCGTTGTCAAGTCGTTCATCTCGGACGCAGTGCCAGTTGGTAATTCCGCATCTGATACCGCCGGACAGGGTCACGGATCCACCTAAAGTACTGCAACATTTCTCATCGTTCGCGATCCCGACGGATGATCCCATGCCGATATTTTTGACGAAGGACGAGCCATCGACGACTTCGGTCGCGCGATGACGCCTCCTTCCCCCCAGCATCGTCACCCCACAGAGTATCTCGATGTCAAAGTCTGGAGCTGCGTCGGCAATCTCGGCTTTGATAGAAGGTACCACGTTTTCGAACCATTTGGAATCTCGCGCTGTCGGTGTGGTGATGACGATGGTCGGTGAACACTTCTGGCGATCGTCGATCAATCCGCGACGCAGAACTTCCACTGAAAGCCACTCATGGTTGTCCAACAAGGACAAGACACTTGGACATGCGTTTGCCCATTGTTCTCGTACCTTGTCGTCGTCATGGAAGATGGCGAAAGACCACATGGAGTGCTTGGCGCGAAAATCGACGCACTCGATTTGGACATTGTCCGTCGATGTCCTATCGCGGAAGCTGGATCTGATTCTGATGAGCGCGTTCTCGACTTTGTGGGCGTGCTTGAGCATGTCAACGGTTATCAGGAGCGTGAGATACTCTGCATCGTCGTTCTCCTCGGTAGCATCGCGAGGAACGCGAAATGCAAATAAGAACGAGGTACCACTGGTCAGCAAGCCTTGTGATCCGAGAATATTCTGGACATCTTGCAGTCTCTGCGGTTCGTCTGGTATCATCTCCCTTACGCCTTCGATCACGGTGTCTAGTGGCAGAGGTGCGAGAGTCGGCCAGCCACTGCGATGTCGAACGTAGCCGGGGTCCATCTCCTCGCGGATCTCCTCGTCGGAACGAGAAAGATATCGTCTTCGCTTCCTTCGCTCTCCCTCAGCCTTGCTGTATGGTGATGGGCTACCGAAGCGTTGAGACATGGTAGAACGTAGTAGATGGTATGGAAGAGGGTGCTGGAAAGGTTGCGAAAGGGTTGCTGGTAAGGTTGTGGAAGAAGGAGTGTCGCCTTTTATATCAGACTTTTCGAGGCAAAGGCAAACGAAGTGATGGTCCAAGCGGGTGTGTACCTTGGTCACGCAAGCAACCTGCGGTGTCGGATTGGCCAACCACACATGACTTCTTCAATTGCTAGTGCGTCTCTTTAGGCGGCAACTTCTACGCCAATCAGCCCGAAATCATTATATTCTACTTCACTTAGCTTTGGTTACTGGGAAATAAAAGCTGGAACATACCTAGGTAACGAATCCCGTTACGTGGCGGGTGATAACGAACCATTCGACGAAATTCGCTAATCCCTTTTCATATCATATTTTGGGAGCGAAATTCGAGTTCTTTTGGTGGATTGAGGTGGAGAAACGAGTCTCGCGGTGAAGGAGGCGCTGACATAGAAAACGCACGCCTTCTGGGATTTATTATGAATGAGATCCAAATAGCCTCAGGGTTGGCTCAGTATTAGACTACCGCTGGGTGCCTAGTTAGCCTTCACTCGAAATTGTATTCCGTTAGGATGGACCTTAAAGTCAACAGTGCGTGTGAAAATACGTCTAAGTAGAGCAGATGCAGAATTTCTATGAAGTACTGAACCGAGGATTCAGCGCGATTCATTACATCATGAACTGACTATGGAACGTACCAACCTCATAGAGACCTGTCACCCTTCACGAATATCTAGTCAGAGACCAACAACGACAAGGCTCCCAGGCTGACCACGTGGTATCGAGGCTGCTAATCCCCCTTGCCACATCGTATCTCTATCCTCGGTACGTGGACCACACACTCATTTGCCTCCGGGCCCATATCCCAGACGTTCCGGGTAACTGTTTCCAAATCTAGTACCACTCTTAGGCATAGTCGTGTGTCCGTAATAGTACCAATCGACGGAATGAGGATGACGCCAGCGTTTTGAACCTGTTCGTCTGCTGATACGAGTCCTCTTTCGCATCTGCTCGTTACCCAAGTCTACGTCAAACTAAGAGAGAGAAAGTTAGCATTGTATCACTGGATGGTCCTGGCCTCGTGAGGAGACGAGAAACATGTCGATAGTCGCAGGCCTGCAGCATCATCATGTAGTAACAGCTCAGTAATATTTTGGGGGTATCTAGTAGGTAAATGGGAGGATAGATGTTCAACGGCCAAGTCGGATAATAATGGTGGTGCGAGAAGCTCTTTCGCGCAACAGCCAGTGTTATACGCGCGAAATCCACTTGCTCAACTCACTGATGGCTCGTTAGCCTCGTCGTCGGAGTCGTCGGATATCTCGATGAGGTCCTCGGCGTCGCGCCTAGGCCTCTTCTTGCTGCCTTTGCCGCCTGAGCCGACGGCGTCGAGGAACTCGTTGTTGTCGATCTTGGACTGGAGTTTGGGCGCGGAGCCAACGTCTGCGAGGAAGAGTCGGTCGTGATACGCTTCGAATGCTCGCTCGTCCTAGCACATGGTTAGTTTGCCTCCAGCGAGAATGGAGTGCAAGACGGCAAGGACGTACGTTCTCGTCGTAGTAGTCGAGCCTCAACCACTGCTCTTGGTTGGTCGACTTCATGAAGGCCTGAGTCAGCTCTGCGGCAGTGTCACCGCCCGTCTTCTTGACTTGGGCAAGGAAGGCTTTTGGCTCGGCGACCTTGGCGCCTTCCTGTGACTCCTTCTCGCGGCGGCGCTGGACAGCTTCGAGCTGGGCGGAGGCGTCGATCTGGTGGAACTGAGTTCGGAGCTGGACGAGACCATTGCAGCGTGTGAGGTGGAGTTCGTCTGCGCCGAGTCAGTCTTGGAGCGATGGTTGTTGTCGCGGGCTACTTACTGTCGCGGAAGGTGCCGAGCATGTAGCTAGTGCCCTTGCCGTCGTCGTGCATGATCTGACCACCGAATGTCTGCGTGTTGAGGACGTGGCCCTTCTCGTTGGCGTCCTCGAAGTGCGTGACGTACTCCTCGAAGTTGTCGTCGTCCTCGGTCGCAATGGGCGCTGCGGGGGCTCCTCCCTCGCCGGCGACGCCAGGGCGGCTGGTGCTGCGCGGCATAGTGCGCTCGAAGCCGGAGGCGATACCGAAAGCCTTCTGGCCAAAGCCCTTGGTCTTGCGCATGGCCTCGCCCCAGCGCACACCGGCGACGCGGTTGTAGTTGCGGTGGATGTTGACGGGCACGTCGACCTCGATGAAGCCCGACTCTTTCTTGATGCGCAGCTCCGAGGGCTGGCTCTCGGTGGCCTTGGTGAAGGGCTGGTCGGGCGGGCGGTTCAGGTACTGCAGCACGTAGAGCTGCTGCTCGGCCATCTCGGGGGTGATGTAGACGTCGTACTCGGCCACGACGGGGTCCTCGTCTTCGATATCCATGGCCGCTGAATTCGCCATTGTGTTAGCCGAGTCTGGTTTGGTGTTATAGAGGTCGAGGGCTGGACCTACAGGCCATTTGAAGTGGGCGTCGGGGTTGCAAGCAAAAAGAGTCGCGGTCACCCAAAGTTCCAAAAGTTCCAAAAGTTACGACCGCCCCGCAACGCGAAGTCGCGTGGAGCCGCGGCCCGTGCAGCTCAATGACGGAATGCATCCGATATCTCCAGCCCGGCAACAACCATAGTTCGAGTCCATACTTTGAGCTATCCACGAGCTGAACTCTGTACTATAACGCCGCCATGGCTTACATTGCACCTATACACCGGCCAAGCAGCGTCCGGCATGCGCTCAAGCTCAACTTCCTCGCCCCGGAGGAGGATTGCCTCGTAGTCGCGTAAGCAGTCCACGGGTACATGCATCAGTGTCTATCCAATGCTAACACGATTGCAGCAAATCCAACAGACTCGAATTCTATACGCAAACTTCCGATGGATTGGCCCTCCAACACTCCAAAGCCATCTATGGCAAGGTCACTATGCTCCAGAAGCTCCGCCCAGCCCTATCGCCGACCGATCACCTCTTCGTCGGAACCGATCGATATATGTACTTCACCCTGTCATGGAACCCCGACAAGAAACAACTACAGACGGAGAAATCATTTGCAAGCGTGGCCGATAATGCTGCAAGAGAGTCGCAAACGGGTGAGAGATGTCACATCGACCCAACGGGACGATTCATGACGGTCGAAGTCTACGAGGGCATTGTGACCGTCATACCGCTAGTCCAAAGGGGAAAGAAGAGGAAGCAAGAGGCTGATATCGCCCATCTGGGAGACCCTCAACCAGTCAGACTACCCGAGATGTTCGTCCGCTCATCGGCTTTCTTGCGCCCACGGTCATTCGACGACAAGCCCAAGATGGCTCTGCTATACGAAGACACACACTCTCAAGTCAAGCTGAAACTACGGGAACTGACCTACGCCGGAGAAGAGGTAGACCTACAAGAAGGCGAGACCTGCAAGAGCGAGCTGGAGCTTGGCTCGAGCCACCTGATACCCGTCGAGGAGCCTTCCCACGGCCTGGTGGTTATTGGCGAAACATCCATCGGATACTACGACGACGAGAGTGGGGAGCTTCAAACCGAGCCACTAGACGAGGCGACAATCTTTGTGGCTTGGGAACGCATTGACGCTCAGCGATTCGTGCTCGCTGATGACTACGGTCGCCTATACATGTTCATGTTGGTCTTGAGCAGCCAAGGCAAGGTCCAATCATGGAAGCTTGATGTCATCGGGGAGACTTCTCGTGCATCTACGCTGGTATATCTGGATGCTGGTTACGTCTTTGTTGGATCGCATCAGGGCGACTCGCAAGTCATCAAGATTGCAGAGAAGTCAATGGAAGTTGTCCAGACATTCTCCAACATTGCGCCTATCCTCGACTTCACCATCATGGATATGGGCAACAGATCTGGTGAAGGACAAAGCAATGAATACTCGTCTGGTCAGGCGCGAATAGTAACCGGTAGTGGTGCCTACCAAGATGGAAGTCTCCGGAGCGTTAGAAGCGGAGTTGGACTGGAGGATCTTGGTGTATTGGGCGAGATGGAACAGATCTCTGATCTATTCAGTCTCAAATCCACCGCATCTGCCCAGTATGAAGACACGTTACTAGTCAGCTTCGTCAACGAGTCGCGCATCTTCCGATTTGATCCGCAGGGTGAGGTAGAAGAGGTAGACGAGTTTGCCTCACTCGCCCTGGATGAGACAACACTGGCTGCTGCGAATATCTCACAAGGCCGCGTCGTCCAGGTCACAAACGGACGAGCCCGAATCTGCGATCTGGACGGCGGAATGATAACGTCGGAATGGATGCCAATGGGTGGTCAGGCTATCACCGCTGCTTCAATCAACGACAGTCATGTTCTTGTCTCCTTAGGAGGCGTCACTATCGTTTCTCTGAGCATGGCGGACGGTTTACAGGTTGTCAAAGAGAAGAAGTTCGGTTCCGAAAGCCAAGTCGCCTGTATTGCTCTTCCGTCAGTCTCAAGCTCGATATGCTTCATCGGCTTCTGGAGCAACTCCCAACTCGCCATATGCTCTCTCGATACCTTGGATGCGGTCAAGACTGTTCAAATATCCGAAGACTCTGTACCTCGGTCATTGTTACTGACACAAATATTCCCGGAGCAGCCCCCATCCCTCTTTGCCGCGTTAGCAGACGGGAATGTCGTCACATATGCTTATGATCCATCAACACACGAGCTATCTGGAAGGAAAAGTATCGTTCTAGGCACGCGTGAAGCTAGCTTCCGTGCCCTACCTCGCGGCAACGGCCTGTTCAACGTCTTTGCAACATGCGAACACCCATCCTTGATCTACTCTTCAGAAGGCCGTCTTGTATACTCCGCTGTTACAGCAGAGAAGGCGACGACAGTCTGTCCTTTCGACTCAGAAGCTTACCCCGGATCTGTAGCCATCGCAACCTCAGAAGACCTCCGCATCGCTCTAGTAGACACCGAACGGACAACGCATGTACAGACGCTAAAGGTCGATGAGACCGTACGAAGAATATCATACTCACCCAGTCTGAAAGCTTTCGGTCTCGGCACTATCAAAAGAATACTGAAACATGGCGAGGAGATCATGCTAAGTCATTTCAAGCTTGTGGACGAGATTCAGTTCAAGGAGCTCGACACCTATGCTCTTAACGAAGAAGAGCTGGTCGAATGCGTCATGCGCTGTGAACTACCAGATGGCTCAGGCGGCGTTGCAGAGCGCTTTGTCATCGGTACCGCATACCTTGACGATCAGAATGCGACTGCAGAACGCGGCCGCATTATCATCCTAGAGGTGACGCCTGAGCGCGTACTCAAGCTCGTCACTGAAATCGCAGTAAAGGGCGGTTGCAGGTGTCTAGCCATTTGTGAAGGCAAAATTGTCGCAGCGCTCATCAAGACTATTGTGGTTTACGATGTCGAATTCCGCACGCAGAGCTCTCCTGACCTGATTAAGCTAGCTTCGTTCAGATGTTCGACTGCGCCAATCGATGTCACAGTCAACGGCACCGTGATCGCCATCGCTGATCTGATGAAGTCACTCGCCGTCGTCGAGTATACAAAGGGCGAGGCGGGTCTACCAGACAAGCTTGTAGAGGTCGCGCGGCACTACCAGACTACTTGGGCTACAGCTGTGGCCGAGGTAGACACGAACACGTACCTTGAAAGCGACGCAGAAGGAAACCTGATGGTCTTGTACCGCGACCCGAATGGTGTCACATACGACGACAAGAGGCGGTTGAACGTTAGCTCTGAAATGCTACTCGGAGAGATGGTGAACAGGATACGTCGGATTGACGTCCTGACAACTTCGGACGCTGCAGTCATTCCCAAAGCGTTCGTCGGCACTGTAAGTCTACCCGTTACATTTACCAGATACAAATACTAATTTTCATGCAGGTCGAGGGATCAATCTACCTCTTCGGTCTCATCTCACCCGACTACCAAAACCTCCTCATGACGCTCCAGTCCAATCTCGGCGCTCTCGTCGCCGCACCAGGAGACATGGACTTTGCCAAGTTCCGCGCGTTCAAGAACACCGTAAGAGAGGAAGAGGAGCCCATGCGTTTTGTTGACGGAGAACTGGTGGAGAGGTTCTTGGACGTAAGCGAGGAAGTACAGAGGAAGGCCATTGAAGGATTGGGTAGGGAGCTCGAGGAAGTCAAGGGGTTGATTGAAGGATTGAGACGATTACATTAATACAGGGAGGTGTACATAGCCAGGCTATTATAGTAACATGAGTTGAAATTACTCATCGTACAAACGCAAGAAAGAAAAAAACTAAAATGACTTGGGCGCCATGTGAAGACCCACTGACTGCCTTCTCGCTGTGCCTCTTTTGTATTGTTACAAGTATTAGAAAGAAAAGAAGATACCCACTCGCAAACGCCTCCCACACCATGCCTCCGTGACAAACTCCGTATCGAGCCGCATTACATGCTCTATTCCCATTATCGCGCCCGAACTCTCTCACTTGTCAAATAAACGTACCATTTTCCTCGTACACAAAATTACCTGCATCGCCAGTTTCAAACGCCAGAACGCCTGTCACCCGTATAATCGACACAATCGTGCCTTTGTATAGAAAATCGCTGTATAGCTGTAGGAATCTCAGGACTCTTCAGTCCTATTCACCAAGCGAGCTTCGACTCCTAGTTCCACTGGCCTCGCCCCCCAGGCCTCTGCTGTTGCACCTGGTCTTGGTCTTGGTTCTGGTTCTGGTCTTGGTCCTGGTCTTGGTCCTGGTCTTGGTCCTGGTCTTGGTCCTGGTCTTGGTCCTGGTCTCGCGCCCGATTTTTGTAATTCTTGCGCTTGTTCTTCTTGGACTTCTTCTTGTAGGTAGCGGCGTTGGGGTCCATATCGTTGCCAGTCGCATAGCGGTCCCAGTGGGTGTTCTGGCTGGGCATCCTACCGGCCCGCAGGCCATGGATATCGCTGAACTGGGTTCCGAAAGCCTCGGGTGAGCCTACGGTGTACCCGACGTAGGAGGTCTGCTCTTGAGTCCACACGGGGCCTTGAGGCTGTGCGTAGTGCATGGGTGGGGTGGCGCGGAAGTCATAGGGGTTGTGGACCTGGTTGTAGTAATGGGTGTAGCCGTCGTATAGGGGGTATGGCTGATACCCGTAGAACAACGGGCTGCAGTACGGCAATGCCTGTGGCTGTTGCGGCAGCTGGTACTGGGGCTGAGCGTTCAAGGCCTGCTGGGGCGGCGTAGCAGGAGAAGAGACGCGCTCGCTCGGTGCAGGGCTGGGATGCGCAATCTGGCCGGAATAGAACTCAGCGGCCGTAGGGCTCAGAAGGGCGGGGACTGGGCTGTTCGACATTTTCGTCAAAAGAGGTCGGTGTAAAGAGACTGTGTGGTTTGGGGGATGTCGAGTTGGGGGGAAAGGTGCGCCGAATTTTATATAGCGAGAGTGGGCAGCAAGCGACCCAGAAAGTGAAATACTCGTTGGCCCACAGATTGCGCTCCGATTTGAGCGAAAGTGAAAAGTGAAAAGGTGTGCGTCCCGGCGCGAGGAAACGTACTGTGCCGGCTCAAGCGGTGATGAACCAAGATTGCCCTTCGTTTGTTCGTGAAAGCACTGGACCCTGTTAGCAAGATAATTGCACCCTTGCTGGACCTGTTGAGGGATTTTCAGCGTGGTGTCGGTGTCGGTGACGAAAAAGTGAGGAGTGGGAGCTCATGCGCGGTACCGCGGTATTGGTCGTCGTCACCCAGTAGGAGAGACCCGGATTGTACAGTCGCAGCAATGGATCGGTGTCCTGTCTACTTCAATACGCCATCTTCGTCACTACTGTCTCCTCCTGTGTTCTTCACGCTATTGAGTTCGACTGTATCCTCGCCTTCGTCTTCGTCGTCCCTAAAGCCATCCGCGTCCGCGTTCGCGTCACCATCGCGGTCGAGAAGTGGGGCTTCTCCCGTGGTAGCTACCACACTCTTCTTCTCCGTCTCCTCCCTCATTCCGATAATCACGCTTCCGGCTACAAGCATGGCTGCCCCAAGCCACCATAACCCCGGTAAGTTCTCGCTGAAGATGATGAAGCTAAGGACGGCAGTGACGATGAAATTCGCAGACGTGTTTATGATGCTGACGCGTACGGTCGAGGAGGCAAGGGTAAGGGCACGCGTGAAGAGCCCCCACATGATCGCGTTGAAGAGAAGGTTCATGCCAAAGAAGAGCTGCGCGTTGCGTTAGTTCTGTGCGAGTGATGGAAGGTATGACTGCCGGAGAGGACGTACACCTCGTATCGTATATTCAACAATCTTGTTTGACGCACTCAGCCCGAATGCCAGGGCTATGGAGCTTGACCAGGAGGCAGTGAGCTCTGTGGTTGTGCTACATCATCGTCAGTATGCATCGTGGGCTAGGGCGACGCGGCGGTGTCTTACAGCTTTGCGAAGACGCCATTGAAAGCTGCACATGCGCCACTGGAGATGGCAAGCATCAGCCATGCTGATTTGGTTTGCGGAAGAGACATGATCGCGGCCGAACTGGGGTGCTGCGGGGAATGAGGTCGATGTTCACGGATGTAAGTTGATGATCTGCAAGGTACGACCGGGTGCACTTCCGCGCTTAGTCAATATAGGGTAGTAGTACATGCAGGTTGCACCTTGACGCAATAACTGAGGCAGGTCGTGTGCAGTGGACATGCTGCATGGAGTATCACAGTTGACTGCTCAGCTCTTCTATCGACTACCAGTCAAGAAGAGTTCACTAGAATTGCACTCCACCCCGAAGTCATCACCTGGGTCTAGTATAGATGGTACGATAGCTCAGATATGCAAAAGATCATAATTGTTCCAATTTATCAGCGTCAAACCAAAGCGAATCACGCGCCCAGTCCCAAACTCCTATTCATGCCAGAGGTATCGTGAAAGCCTTCCAAGGCTGTTTTAGCCGTAACGCCGAAAGCATGTGATGGCACAGGTCTCTAAAGAGACAGCTGCTCTAGCCGGTAGATCGCATCTTGCGCAATCGCATTTGTTTGAACACGATTGTCTCCTTCCTCCCTGCTGCAGTGCATCTGAACGCCCTTTGAGTCGTCGTCGTCGTCTAGGCCTCGCCAGGACGCTTCGCGTTGCAGCTAACAATCTTGACGCGGTCCGCATGAACTTGATGGGTGTTGTCCAGCTTAAAGTTGATATCCTTGATGATGAAGGTCCATACGTCGTCGCAGAAGCGGTAGGTATCAAGATGTCCCTGCAGAGTTTCACGTCAGCACACCATGCTTCCCACTGGTCGCCCATGCGCAACTGACCTTGAATGTCAAGCGCGACTTGACCTTCTCCGAGAGCACATCGGCGACGGCCTTGTCAAAGTTGAGGAGGATCTTCATGGCGAGCTGGGGTTCTATTCGGCGCTCGGTGATGAGGTTGTCCAGCGTGTCAGTGAGAGAGCCGCCCAGGCTGTCCTCTGTTAGCCAGCGCCCCTTTCTACGCTCCCCCGGAGTTGCATGTAGTACCTGCTTCGGCGGTAGAGCTCGTAGTACTTGGTGTTGTCGGTAGCCATGGTGCTGATTGTTGCGACGAGCTGGTGGTTTGGTCTCGGTGACGCCTGAGCCGGAAGAGTGATGGGGGCGCCGCGCCGAGGTGGTTACTAAGCTGTTCGATGTTAGCGCGACGCGGCTTGTTCCGCCTGCATCATCGCCAGCTTCGCGGCGAGTCCATCACGACGAAGCTCCAGCTGCCTCTTTCACCATCCATCTCCGCCTCGAAGACCAACAACCCCAACATGTCTCTTACTTATGGAACGGGCGGTGCGACTGCCGCCCTCGGTGTGGTGGGCTTGTGTATGTACCGCGCGCAGGGGCGTAGGCGATAGCTAACGACCATTAGACATGCTCTTCAACAACGAAGGCGAAGCTTTCAACGTACGCACGCGTTCCTACCAACCATATACGGACAGGACTGATTGCATCTCAGGTCGGGGCTTTCCTCGAAAGCATATCGCCATACACATTTGCTAGTGTCGGAATCGCGCTGTGCATTGGTCTCTCTGTCGTAGGCTCGGCATGGTACGTCTGACCGTCAGCAACACACACGCATCGCATCTGACAATCGCAAAGGGGCATCTGGACAACCGGTGTGTCCATCGTTGGTGGAGGTGTCAAGGCGCCACGGATACGAACCAAGAACTTGATCTCCATCATCTTTTGCGAAGTTGTCGCCATTTACGGTGTCATCATGGCTATCATCTTCTCCTCCAAGATGAACCAGCTCTCGGACCCTGAACTGTTGTACTCTGGATCCAACTACTTCACCGGATACGCGCTGTTCTGGGCTGGAATAACCGTGGGCATGTGCAACCTGATCTGCGGCGTCTGCGTGGGCATCAACGGAAGTAGCGCGGCCCTAGCCGATGCTGCGGACCCTGCAATGCAAGTAACCGTCTTTTCTGGGTCTCTGTTTCCATGCTAACTTTGATATAGGTTCGTCAAGATCCTTACCATCGAGATTTTCGCCGCCATTCTCGGACTGTTCGGTCTCATCATTGGACTACTCATGCAGAGCAACGCAAAGGACTTCCAGTAAGCGAAGAATTCTCGCTATTCAGCCTCAGGGCACAATTATACGAACTGTATCGAACCTCGATCTCGTCTAGAAGGACGCCAAGGAGGAGTGTTTTCGAGTGCCAGCTTTGTGGAGCTGGTCAAGAGGTTACTGAAGGTCATTTGTAAAGGATGTACGATGTACATAGGGAGGGGCGCTTGTATAATGCATGTAATATGAGCGAGCATCGGCGTTAAATACCATTTATCAATTTCTGTTTTCACTCTCCCTGAATACTTCTCATGAGTGAACTTCTGAATCTGATCAACTCGGCGTGTAAGCAATGGTCCGTGCGCGAAGTCTACAGGGTGGGATGTCCGCTCTACTCCGCTTCGACTCGACAACATCAAAGATGGCCACCACAGATTCAAAGCTGAAAGCCGCGATCTTGGTAGTATCTGAAACTGCTTCTGAAGACCCATCAACCGATAAATGCATATCAGTCCTCAAGAAGGCCTTCGGAGATCTCGGAAACGACCAATGGGACGTTAGCGAAACCGAGATAGTACCCGACAACGCTCTCGCAATCCAAAAGACTATCAAAAGTTGGACAGACAGTCCGGAGCCAATCAATTTAATCGTTACTAGCGGAGGCACTGGTTTCGCAACCAAGGATGTTACTCCGGAGGTGCGTGCTCTTATTCTCGAAATGGCCCAAGACACGCAGCTGACAGGAAGAAGGCAGTCACACCGTTGATTGATAGACACGCTCCCGGTCTTATGTAGGTGTTCTCTCCCAACCCTGTATGCGAAGGCTTACAGGATGACAGACATGGCATGCTTACAACTTCATACGCTGTCACACCTTGTAAGTTCTTGATCACTAAGCTAATCATTGTGGCTAACGTTCGATCAGTTGCACTCATGGCGAGACCTGTTGCTGGAGTTAGAAAAAAGACTCTGATATTGACTCTGCCGGGATCACCGAAAGGTGCCAAAGAGAATCTAGAGGCAATTTTGAAGTTACTACCACATGCGTGCATCCAAGCTGCCGGTGCAGAGTCCAGACCGCTACATGTTGGTGGTGTAGAGAAGCTCGAGAAGGACGCTGGTGTTTCTCCAGGTAGTGCTACTGCAGGTATGTGGTGTGGCATTTTCCCCCGAGACACTGCAACTGACAAGATTAGGAACTGGAAGTGGGCATCATCACCATCACCACCATGGACATTCGCATGGTCACGGCGGCCACGCAGGGCCCAAAGCTCACACAAACCCAGAAGAGCGCCCTCAATCTAATGATCCTTCCGCGGGACCAACTCGCAGATATCGATCATCACCGTACCCTATGTTGGCTGTCGAAGACGCGCTCAAGCTGATCTCGGAGAACACCCCAGCTGCTGCAGTACAGAACGTGCCAGTAGACATGAGACTTAGTGGCTCGGTCCTTGCCGAGGATGTCAAAGCCACTGAGTCAGTCCCGGCCTTCCGAGCTAGTATTGTCGACGGATATGCGATCAAGATCCCAGCGACTGGCAAGTTCGAGAAAGGAACTTACCCTGTATCGATCATATCTCATGCGCAGGCTGGTGAAGTCAAGGAGCTGAAAGAGGGAGAGATTGCGAGAATCACAACTGGCGCCCCGCTTCCGCCCGGTGCTGATGCTGTGGTCATGGTCGAAGATACAGTATTGAAGAGCCTGACCGACGATGGCAAGGAGGAGAAGGAAATCGAGATACTGACGGATGAGATCAAGCCGAACGAAAACGTACGGGAGGTTGGCAGCGATGTCAAAGAGGGCGAGATCATTCTGAAGAAGGGCGAAGGTGTTACAGTCGTGGGTGGCGAGTTTGGCTTGCTTGCATCTGTGGGTACGACAGAGGTATCTGTGTACAGGAAGCCTGTCGTAGGAGTTCTGAGTACAGGAGACGAGATCATTCCACACAACAGAGAGGGCCCGTTGCGACTGGGAGAAGTGCGTGATACCAACCGTCCCACTCTCATCACTGCCGCACGAAGCCATAGGTTCGAAGTCATCGACCTGGGTATCGTCTCAGATAAGTAAGTAAATCTGAGCAAGAATCTCCGATTCGACTATCGCTGACCAAATGCAGACCCGGCACCCTTGAGCAGAGTCTCCGTGATGCGATGCGCAAGTGCGACGTAATCATAACCTCTGGTGGCGTCTCCATGGGCGAACTCGACTTGCTCAAGCCCACCATCGAGCGCTCTCTCGGCGGCACAATCCACTTCGGTCGTGTCAACATGAAGCCAGGTAAACCCACCACCTTCGCCACTGTGCCCGTCAAGGACAACGCTGGGAATCCTGTTACCAAGTCAATCTTCTCGCTTCCTGGCAATCCTGCTTCGGCCGTGGTGTGTTTCCATCTCTTCGTTCTGCCTGCATTGCATCAGCAAGCTGGGATAAAGCCACTCGGACTACCAAGAATCAGAGTTATACTGGATGAAGACGTGAAAATGGACAAGGGTCGTCCAGAGTATCACCGTGCGCTTGTTGTGACAAAAGAAGATGGGTTGCTATACGCCAGCTCAACGGGCGGGCAGAGGAGCAGCCGCATCGGCAGCTTCAGAGGTGCGAATGCACTGCTTTGTATGCCACAGGGTGAAGGTAGTTTGAAGAAGGGAGAGAAGGTCGAGGCGCTACTCATGGGAAAGTTGGGAGAAGTTGAGCGATGATAGACATAAACGTCACAATAGTATAGGAAATAATGCGCGTGCATTGTATCTGTTACATCTTAAATGTGTTCCACATCAACCATCCATGTGTTGTTCCTTCCCAACCGTCGTCGCTACATAACCGAATATCTAAGCCGAGACAAAGGAAAGAGAGTCCTGAAGGGTATTTGCAACTGCCGAAATAAACAAAGGAAATTTGGGCTAAAACCCAAGGTTCGGTACCAGGTGTGAGCTCAACATTACCCTAGCCCGTCATCACCGTGCCTGCCTGCCTGTACCCGCAAAAACACCGACGCTAAAGTAGAAAGACGATACGAAAGACTTTTTTTTTTTGAGTCTGTGTGACTCCTCATGCGGGACCGTGGCTGGACTTGGGCTTCAAGTCGTCCATCATGACGCTGCCTCTGAGGGATCCAGCGCTCGACGCCAGTGCCTTGCGGTACGCGTTGGTTTGGGAGAACTGCTCCTCGTAGTGTTCCTTGAGCTTGCGCTGTCTCTTCTCCCTCTTGTACATCCAGAAGATAGTGGAAGCCAGGCTTGCTATGATCAACGCGAAGACAGCTGTGAGGACACCGCCGACTATTGCCGTTTCCTTCTTTTCTTTTGAGCAGGTCTTGGGAGGTGGAGCAGTGGTTGTGGGGGCCTGTGTAGGTTCATTGGTTGGGCTCGGAGTTTGGAGTTGGAGGGTTGCGCTGAAGGTGGTTGTGACTTGGGGTGCGTCTAGGTTGTTGCAGCAGCTCTTCGTATCGTCGGCTCCGCGGCAGCAGTATGTTCCAGAGTCGCATGTTTGTAGTTGCCATGCTTTTATTGGCTTGAGACCAAGGAAGTCGTTGGAAACTGAAGTGAATTAGTTGTAGAACATAAGATAAGTCAAATGTTTGTGAACTTACCACCAGGGCACAAGTCTTGTTGGCATGCTGCATCTTTTCCTTCCTTGTCTGTACAACCTCTTGAGAAGATCATACCGATCGACTCATTTGTTGTTCCCATACACAACCCATTACTCATGCAGATGTCGGTGGACGCGCAGCATCCGCTGTGATTGGCGCTAGGGTTACATGGCGTGTATGTTTTGTCGAGTGCTGTACCGTCAACAGCATAACATTGCTGACTCGTAGCAACCGCGATCAAGGTCGCGAAGACCGTAAGGAGGGACCGACTCGACACCATATTAGACAAAAGACAGTATAAAATAAGTAAAGGAGCGACTGGTTGCAAAAGCAAAGGATTGCGATGAACTGAAGATATGTGATGAGCGAACTGGATGTGTGGAGAACCTAAGGATGTTTTAGAGCATTAATGTATCCCATATGCCGTCGACAGGACATGCAGGTCCATATTTAGTCTCTAGCCCTACATTCGCAATGTTATGCGGCGAAGCCCTGTACAACCTTCTTCAGCTGGCAAAGCTGATGGTTACAGGGTAGACCCCGCCGACATTTGAAACAGGACAATCAAACCTGGTCTTCGAAAGACCCATGGACCCGTACACGGAGGCATGGGTGACGCAGCTAACAAGCAGTTCGAGGCAAGTGTAACAGTCTCGACGTTGGAAGCAGTGGTACAAAGACGACAAAGTCTATTTCGTCAAGGCGCGACGGCGCTTTCTCCTTCCTTTGCTTCAAGGAATGCGCTCTTCTAGACCCACATACACGAACATGGCGCTTGCTGATGCGCGCCTCGCCTTTTGCTTTGTCGCTGGACAACGGGTCGTTTGATGATGCTTTTGCTCGCGTTTAGCCGCATGAGGTAGGCAGTGAAAGGGGACGGGAGGCTTGTAGCAAATGATGAGTCGAGGCGATGATGCGCCAGGTGTGGTGGAAGGTTTGAGATGCGAGGCGGAGTAGGCCACGGCTAGCATCTGATAGGTCAAGGGCCGCTTAGTACAGCACCACAGACCCCTTTCCGGCACGTACCTGCATTTCCACCACCGGACTCTCTTTTCCCATCGCTGCGACTTATCACCGTTGACAACGGCGCCGCGACCTGTCAATCGCGGGGATATGGATGTGGTAGCAATCATCAATCGTTCACTCGGTCGGTCAATAGGTCAGATGCTATCAGTCTCGCCGAACCAGAGACATCGGTGTTAGCTATCATCATCACTCTTCTCGGTGGAGATTACTGAGCGCAATGGCCTTCGACCATTGCTTCTTCTGACTGTTGGTGATCGTCCACCAGATCGAACTCGCCTGTACCCGGTGCGTGCAGATCTGGGCACCCTGGCCTGCGGCACCATCCAGAGTTTTTACCTGTTGGCGGCGTCGGCAGGGCCTCCGCGTGATGACGAACTACGGGTGCAAATTAACACACGGTCTCCAGGTGCCTCATCTCTCAAAATTCCACCGTCCAGTGTACTTGCCTACTGCCCAATCTGGCGCTCACGTCATCTTGCGACCAGCCTTCCGGACCCTTTTGAGGTTGGATCGGGCATGGTGACCTTAGCAACAACGTCTATTCAAGCACGGTCGACGGATCAGGGATGCAATGTGGGGTGTTCGGAGTATTCGGAGGCCACAACGAAGATCTATGGACGATGATGGACCGACCCGACCACGTCCTCTTTCACGGTCCACGTCACGATCGCAAGACCATGCTTCACTCAGCCCTGTAGACGTTCAGCCACCGCAGGCTTACTAGTACGACTATCGCGCGCGGACACCAGAAGCCCACCAGCGACCACTGGCGGAGTCTCTAAGCAATGATACATTTCCCATGAACTTTACAGTTTTTCCGGTCCGTCTTCAGGCATCTGTGTAGCCCAAGCCAGCAGCCCCAGCTATCAAACCGAGAAATGACCATCTTGACCTAGCCATCCAGCTCTCTGAGCAAGTCCTCTATCCTCCTTATCTGATTGCGCGGACCTCCATCAACCACCACCCATTCCAATAAACTCTCTTTTGCCATCTTTGCCCAACGTCGTGCATCTCCCATCATTCCATGACCTGCGTATACGTACGCCAGTCTCTCGTAGTCTTGGGCGAGCAGAGTATCCAAACCCTCTCGTTGACTAATCTCCATAACTTCTTTCTCCCAAGCAACAATCTGTTGGGCATCGTAGGTTTCTGCCGTCAAGTTTTCCAGCATCTTCCGCAGTTGGGCGAACCTCGTACGGCGCTGGTCACTACCAGCTACATCGTATTGCGAAGCAGTGCAGAGAGAGCATGTGCACCTGAAGTTCCAGCCCTCCCGATAGAGTGCTTGTCTGTCGGCGTGCTTCAAGTCGATTTTGCCATACGAGATACCGATTTCCTCTCCAGCGGCAATGTCCCGTTGAGCTTTGATCTCCATTGACAGAGTCTTCGGAACAAAGCGCGCGTGCGCATTGGGTTGGCACGCGTGATTGATCCGGGCAACGGAAGGGAAGAGACACATGTAAGCGTCGTCTACTTCGCCATCAGCGAGCTGGCATGCGAAAGCATTCGTCTTCATGATGTCTTCAACTTTGCTGCCACCCAGACTTTGATCTAATGCGAGTACCGAGTTCCGGTCGGCCTGAGGTAATCGCTCAAGTGCGGAACTGAAGAGTGTTTGGCCTTGCACACGCGTAACCTGCGTAGGAAAATGCGAGCTCGCAATGATACGTGCAGTATCGAGTAGTATCGTTTCTCCTTTCTTCAAAGCCTTTGTGGTGATTAGGCCTTTGCCCTTGCCCGGGAAGGTCCGAACTTCGAGGCCATCATCCAAGCTTTGGTGTTCGCCGTCCAGAGCTAGGAAGGTCGCAGATATCGCATCTGCAGCTACAGGTCTTGCGATGATGCTCAAAGCATGTCCGCCTCGTGTTTCGGAAGTCGTGTACGTGCAATATTTCCTTTGCTTCCTTTGAGCACAGGCTGGATCGTGCGACCACGGCGAATGTTGAAGTGGTGTCTCTTTCGGCAACAGCTCTGAATTGCCGGTGGTGTCTGAACAGTGTGGTAATTGGAGTGGCAGTTGAGCTTGGACTGCAAATTGATGCAGCGCGTTTGGGCATTGCGGTGACGCATCAGCGTGCAACCCAAATGCGCATGTCGCAAACGACAGAATCAGGACCCGCATACAACTCATGATGGTAATGGAATGTCTGCGGAACGCATCACGGAGAGCAGTTGAGGTTGTCTACTGTTCTCCTTGCGTCTGTAACACTTCTGAAACAGGCATCGCTGGGCAGCTGCATCTTTCGCACAACATACTCTGCAATACCTCAAAGCCCAACATCTCGACTTCATCACGACATACTTCCGTCAAATTGCTCGTCATCTCGCGCATGAAGACTGCGTGGGATAATTGTGAGCAAGTTGAAGCGGACCCATGACTCGGCTACCCCTACCAACCCATTTAAGGACACGCCAGCAACGCCACCTATTCTGACAGGGCCACGGTCAGCCCCGTGCCATTCGAAACATCACCACACCACCACATATCGTTCTTTTGATCTTCAGGGCGAACAGATCAGTGCACGCTATGCGGCTGATGCCGAGAGGGCCATGATGGGCCCCAGCCTGCTGATTGACTCATCTCCACACCAGCGCATCCTCGTCATACTTTGACGTAGTAACACACGGCTGTCAGGCTGTTTCATATCGCGGATCGTGCCACAGGTTGCCGGATGCCGTGCCACCAGTCATTGCACAGTACGAACTCTAGGAGATTGATTAAATCACAATAAGAGTACGAGGGCTTTTTGAGGCAGTGACAGGTGACACCCAGACATCGACGAGGATGGGCCTGGTTACTTAAAGGGGCATATTCATGTGTTCGACCTGGTACTGGGATGGACCTCCATCACGGTGAACACGTAGAGGGACTCACTCGCCCCTCTACCCGAGGGAAGAGAAAGTTCAGTGCAAAGTTTGGTAGAAGTCAACAACATGTTGGGCTTCAACTGCAGACGATGCAGGTTCGGAATGGAATTTTCACGACATGATCAGTAAATGGTGCTATCAAACACTGCGTGAGCATGCGTGAAGCCACGAGTAGTAGGTGACACGCAACGTATTTTGGGTAATGAGCAGCAACGGAGGAACCCTACTCCTACTATTCAAGACGAAACAAAGTGTGGTTATCCTATCAAGGTAATTCTTCCACAAATCACTATCTTTACTCTTGTAATACAAGTCCCAAGCTGATGGAATGAGTATTCGTATGCGATCATTACACAAGCATGCCGCTTTTGAAGTGTCGTGTCCAGTCGACGAGTCCTGCGATCACTATGCCGCGAAACTCTTGAACCTAAATCCTGCAGCCGCGTAACCTTTGTGCAGCTCACCGAATATCTCAGTCAAGGCGGCCAAAAGCGTTACGACTTAATGTGATGTTCTACTACTGTTCACAACCAATCCATTGATGCGTGCGCGTTCGACGTCAGCACGCCACGCGTCTCACGGCTCTTTCCCTATTACGAGTCACCACTTCCTCTCCCCCTTCCTTCCGAGAAAACGATGCTAAGAGCAAAGAACAAAGCCTGGGCATGAATCTAACCCGAACGCACCAAGGTATAAAAACGAGCAAAAAGAAAGCGGCAGTCAGATCGACACCAGAGAAGGCTTCCACTTCCAGTTATTGGAACGGAAGTAGTAGTACGTGAGAATGGATGCAAGATCCAATCGGCCGCGGTTCTTTTATCATTGAACGAGCACGAAATACATACTATTATACACTCGTGCACAAGGTTGAGTCCAGTGCAACTGCCTCGATTATGCCAAACGCTTGGACTACTCCTTCCTATCTCTCCCGCAGTCTTAGTTAAGCGGAAGAGAAAGCGCGTGGCAAAGCACGTGGATGTCTCCCCCACTTCTATCCTTACGGAAGAGGAGTATCCGGCATCTGAAATGTAAGACATAGGGGAAGCGGCGTCTACAGTCGGTACATGCGGTACACTTGTATTACAAGACGAAACCAACGGGTTCCATGCGATCAGGTGGTTTGAAGGCTTGTGATCAGGAACGTTCAATATTGACTACGAAGGTAGACGAATATCGACATGCTGTCATGACCAGTGTTGTAGTAATATCGCGCAAATGATCATTGTATGTATTCAACCTCAGTGGACCCAAATTTAGACAGATTATATGCGTCATGGTAGGAGCGTAGACAGTGCGGAGTGAATAGTGTTTGTTTTTGGCTAGATGTTTTATATGACATGATGAAGCTGAGAAGATGTTGCCAAGAACATACAGTTTGTTTGACCGCGCGACAAAAGAAATCAGCCCAGCCACCAGGGGCTCTCTCCAGAGCAAGATGCCATTGACATCGTTCGCGCAGAATCCCTCACAAGGTAAAAGAACGCCGTAGATGCAAGTAAGAGAACAAGTCGAGACAAGTTGTCAAGGTATCGATCGAAGTCGAGTAAAACACAGAGATCAGACTGTCGAAACCTCAAATTGGTGGAGGTCGAAGCAAGGGAGACCGCACTGGGTCAACCCGAACGTACACGCAAAGCAATGAAATATTCCGGAGTAGCATGGTAGCCTGCGAAGATAGCCAGGTGTGTTGTTGTCACCTTTCTCAAATAACGCCAATGTAAATGCAAGTCTTTCATCCTAATCCACCCACCCTTGACCTAATTGTATACCCTAAAGATGCCTTCATTTGAAGGAACCTTGGTTCGTGAATCATAGGTCGTCGTCGTCCAGATCGATCGCGTCAGGGTTTGCGGCTGCCTCTTCGGCAGGCTTGATGTTGCCACCTTGAGGACCGGTACTGGCGGCAACGAAGCCAGCTGGTGCGCGTGCTTGACGCTCGAGAGCGGCCATTGCGTCCTCACCAGCAGCATCGGTAGGGTCGGTGTCTTCGTCGGCGGGTGCGCCGTTCTGTTGACCACGAGCGACAGCTTGGGAGGCGATAAAGTTGACGTCGGTATTGTACTGAGCCTGGACACTGCGCTTGATGCGTAGCATCTCCTTGTAGGTGTCTTCGTTGCCATGCTGGACTTCGAATGACTCCCACTTCTTCCAGAACTCGGGGCTTGTTCTTGGGTCGCAGAACTGACTGGCATGGCCATAGATTGCTCGGGCTCGGTCGATTTCTCCCAAGCGACGTTCCATCTCGGCAAACTTGAGGCACATTTCCTTGGCTTCGCCGTCGGGTAGGGCAGCAATTGCGCGCTCGTAGATTGGTCGAGTGGAGGTGAGACCAAAGTTCGAAGCTGACTTGGTAATGTAGAAGTTGAACATCTCCAGCCTGTCTTCGTCGGCCACGGCACGTGTAGCGCGTTCGTAGATACGCATGGCATGTCTGGCTAGCCCGCGATCCTCTTCAAGCGCACCATACATCAAGTATAGTACCTTGGCAAACTTTGGTGGACAGTCTTCCACAGCCTGTTCGAACAGGTCACGCAATCGCTCCATGCCAATCTTACGGTCCACAGCCTTGGTCAGGTACAAGTTCCAGATCTCGAAAGCGACGGGGTAGCTGAAGAGGTCGAGGCCGCGCTCGTAGACCTTGAAGCAGTCTTCGTAGTACTTATTCTCCTCCAGCAGGTTCGCGTAGTTGACGATGGTTTGCGGTGTTGCGATGCGAAGCTCGAATATTCTTTCATACACCTTCTTTGTCTCCTCCAGGGTGCTGACACTCTCGACAAGATCGACATAGAAGCTCCACAACTTCCAGCTCTTGTGTACACGCTGTTGTGGCGACAGCGACTCATCGAAGTAGTCGACATTCGACCGCTTAGGGGCCTGCGTAGCCTTGGCCATGATGTCCACGGCCTTGTCGAAGTTTTCGTTGCGAAGCTCCATCTCAGCCCATTCGCACCACATCTCAGCCAGCTCGGAGACGGACTTGAAGGGCACCTTGACAGCCTTCTCCATAATGACACGGGCATTCTTAAGATCGCCACCTGATTCGTACAGTTTGGCATAGTTGGCCCAGAGCTCGTGAAACTTGCCGAGTGCCTTCTTGGGGTTGATTGCTGCGATGGCGTCGGTGTAGGTCTGGACCACTTCCTTCTTGTTGTCCCCCCAAAGAGCGACGCGCTTCTCCCATTCGATGACATTATGCGGGTTCTGTCGAAGCATGACATCATTCAGCAGGAAGGGCCTTCTCTGCATGAGTGATTCGAAGCGGACCATCCGGATATCGAGGTCCGCGTCGGCAGCCTCATTGACTTTGCCCTTTTCCGACCGAACAGCCGCCTCGTTGAGCTTGATGCCAATCATAGCCTCTTCAGCCTCCACGTATGTGTCGAAGACGATGGAGAAGTCGCGCACAGTCATGACTGTGGTGACAGCCTCCTCGAAGACGTCGCGCGCTTTCTCGTATTCGCCCCTGTGCATCCAGTACCGCGCCAGGCCGACCCAGAGTATGCCTCGCTGGTCGGGGAACTTGGAGATGCCGCTCTGGATGATCTTCTCCACATCGATACCGCTGTCGTCGCTGGTGTCGATTTCCTTGGCGTGGTCAATCATCAGATCGATCATCTCGGTCCAGAACTGGAAGGGTCCTTTTGCCTCTTTGCTCTTGAAGCGCGGGTTATTGAGGATCTCCATGTACTTCTTCACAGCCTCGGTGTACTTGCGCATGTCCTTCAACAGCTCGATGAAGTCCTCGGCATCTTCGGGGTGGATTTGCATGTAGCGACGCCAGATCTTGACGGCCGTCTCGCCTGACGCAGACGTCGCGAACGGTCGGTAGAGGGCCCATATGCGGTTGTGCTGAGTCAGAGGCAGGGCGCGTAGGGCTCGGTCAAACGTGCGGCGGGTAGTGGTGACGAGGGGCTGCTGCATGAGGAAGTTGAGGTACATCTCCCAGATGCGCGGCATCTTGTTGAGCAGGACGAGGGCGCGTTCGAAGAGGGCATTGACCTTGACATAGTGGGCCGCGAACTTGGCCGGGTTCTTCTTTGAGAGGTGCTTGGTGCGCAGCTCGAGGTACAGCTTCCACAGCTTGTACGAGCGCGGAAGCGTCGTGACGGCGCGCTCGAGCACAAAGGCCTGCTCCAAGATGCTCCCACGTGACTTCTTGAAGCTGTAGTAGTCGAGCCAGGGCTTCACGCTGCCTGCGTTGCGCTGAATGTCCTGCTCGTACGCGACGTCCTGATCGGTGATGAGGAAAAGGTCCGCCGAGGGCTCCATCTTCCGCTTGGTGGGCCGCGAGAGGCTCGCGGTGACGGTCCTGAGGAGTTCGCCGGGCATGATTGCGCCAGAGCCAGGGCGTGTGTTGCCCGCGGTGGGCAGGAGGGCGAGGGGGTGCGGTGCTGGACGGCTGACGGAGCGTGTCGAAGTGTTAAAGTTCTGAGGAAAGAGCGATGGAGTCCGAGCGGTCAGCCGTCTTCTGCAGCCAATAAGCAACGTGCATCCCGAAGACCCGCTTCTCAGAGTTGGCAGGCGCGCGCGCACGGTCGGGTCTCAGATAGCTCCCGGCATAGCTGCGTCACGTTCCGTTGGATTCACCTGGCCGCACTGCGCACGCTGACTGGCTCCGAGACATCTACCAGAATATCTCCGGCCATTGTCAGCCTCTACCCTCGGTTTTAGCCCCATAGACTTCTCCACCAACTGTTCGAGCCGCAAACATGTCTGGCAGCGGGGTACGCCAGCCCGAGCTATGCAATGCCGCAGGACATCTGATGCTAACACGACCCTCAGGCAAGAGAGGCCGTCTTCGCGACGCGGCAGTCGCTGGGTCTGATGAAGAGCAAGCTCAAGGGCGCCCAGACCGGCCACGACCTGCTGAAGCGAAAGAGTGAGGCCCTGACCAAGTATGCACTCGCCGTCTATAGTCCACTCGTGAAGCTATGCTGACCACATGCAGGCGCTTTCGAGGTACGACTACGCCATGTATACCCCCACCATCTGCCCATGTAACTGAAACCGTTTCCAGAGATAACGCGCCGTATCGATGAGGCCAAGCGCAAGATGGGCAGGGTCATGCAGGTCGCTGCTTTCTCCCTCGCCGAAGTTACCTACGCCGTCGGCGGCGACATTGGCTACCAGATTCAAGAATCCGCAAAGCAAGCCCGCTTCCGCGTACGGACGAAACAAGAGAACGTCTCTGGTGTCTTCCTTCCCCAATTCGAAAGCTTCACCGTCGAGCAGAACAACGACTTCGCCCTGACAGGTTTGGGCAAGGGTGGTCAGCAAGTACAAAGATGCAGAGAGACGTACGCAAGGGCCGTCGAGACTTTGGTGGAACTGGCTAGTCTGCAGACTGCCTTTGTCATATTGGACGAAGTTATCAAGGTGGTCAACCGCCGTGTAAACGCCATGTGGGTATCCTTTCCTTCCATACAACTGCCGAAGCTAACAGCCAACAGTGAGCACGTCATCATCCCCCGAACCGAAAACACCATTAAATACATCAACTCTGAGCTTGACGAGCTCGACCGAGAAGAGTTCTACCGCCTGAAGAAAGTGTCCAACAAGAAGCAGAAGGATGCTGCCGAAGAGGAAGCCGCAAGGGTGGCGGCGAAGAAGAAGAACGAAGAGACGGAGAGTGAGGCGCGAGAAGATGTTGCCGAGAGCAAGGACATGCTGGGCGATGAGGACAACGAAGACGTCATCTTCTAAGCGCTCTACAAGCGACTAGTAGGACCTGTCCGTGTAGTCTCGTCTGCGGTCTATTGGGCGCTCCATCCACCTCGCTAGCTCTCGCTCGTCAACTTCTCGCATGTAGACATGCACCTTCCAGTATGCTGAAATGCGGTCCCTGGTCCAGGTTCCGTCTGCAATCTCGCTCCGGGTGTTTTCGACCAAGCTAAATAAGAGATAAGCATTGTGCCATATATATGTAAACGTTGGCCTTTTGATAATAAGACTCTATTCTGCCGGCCTTTATCTGTGCCGAACAAGGTATCATAAAATGCATAAATCCATAGCAATAAATCCATACGCAGTAACCTACTGTTGCCGCTGGTATGTGACTTTCATAGGCTTGCCCTCTGCGCCGATCGGGGTGTTGGCCGTCGATTCTTTCGCTGTAATCGCAAACTGCTCGTTCTCGAACTCCGCAAAGGCCACCGCCCTGACCGAGACCAAGCGCACTTCCTTGAAGCCTTCGAAACGCTCGAAAATCGTGGTAAGGTCGTCCTCGTCGACATCGCGGGGAATGTTCTGCAGGAAGAGCGTCTTGTTGGGTCGTACGTATTCGTCGGGAACAGCGGCTGCTCCGGTTTTGGCTGCGCGAGGCTTCTCGGCGGCGACTGGGTTGGCTTGGGCTTTCGCGTCTTCTTCTGCGCGCTTGAAGTCTGTGGCAGTCAGTATGGAGCATTATCAGAAGTGGTAGGAGATGCGTACCCCTAAGCGTCAGGCGCTTCCGCTTGTGATCGTCGAACAGTTCCGGTGCCTTTCGCTTGACTGTCTCGTCGCTGTGTGTCTTCGCCCTGTGCACCTTCATGACCTTGCCGTACATCTCGAAGCCGTTCATTTCCTCCACCGCCTCCAGCGCAGCCTTCTCGCTGTCAAAGACAATAAATGCCTGGCCCTTCCGCTTCAGACTGCTTTTTGCGATAACATCCAGGATCGGACCGTAGTATTGGAAGACTCGTGTCAAGGCCTGCTTCATGGTATCGATCTTGACGCGCTCCTCGAGGTTGTTGACCTAGTGCTGTCAGCAATCGCGCCACCGAGTGCAATGTGAGTGCGTTGCTGGCGCGCTCGTGGTTTAACTCACGTAAATACTGTAGTTCTCCATTAGCATCAAGGGGACCTACCTTTTGGGCATGATCTTGCACTTACGTTTCAATGGGCACTGGGTATTTGCTGGGATCTACGAGACCGCCGCCCATGACTACGCCCTCCATCTTGTCCGCCATCTTGAAGCGACTGTTGTGTGAGTAGTGGAGTTATATGGCGTGGTCGCACTCACCCGACGAAGCTGTCGGGAGCTCGAATTCGAGATCCGCGCCAAGCACGCTAGGCTGCGTCCGCACGTGACGACGAACACCAGGAGTTTTGCGAGCACATGCAGACAACTGTTCAAGGGTCGACGTGCGATGTACCTCCAACTTTCGAGATTTGCGAAAGCTATCGCTATTTGTAACTAAGCAGTTCGACACAGTCACCGCCTCTCGTAAGTCGAAAGAACGGTATGGACGACCGAACTTTGGAAGGAGCATGATTGAGCAGGCCCTCACTACGCATAGGAGCATTGTTCTTTTGCTGCGGGCAACTATCAATTCTCCTGACCGATCACTTATGCACTTAGACAAGGCGCTTACTTCTTCATCCTGAGTATTGACGTCAGCATGCGTCTAAGCTGATGAGGCTCGTGCGGAAACTTCTCTCAGAACCCTTTCCAGATCTGACAAACATCAATTTTGCATCTCATTACGCCTTCGATTTTCAGAATTATCTTTTCAATGCCGCCACCAGGGATACGATGGCGGTCGCATCCATTGTTCATAGTCTTCACTGTGGGAATGGGTGCGTTCGTGGACCTTTTCTTATATGGGCTCATCGTGCCAGTACTGCCGTTCCTGCTGAAAGACCGCATCGATCTCCCTGACTCTCAGATCCAAAGCACGATATCAAACCTTCTAGCAGTCTACGCAGCAGCTTCCTGTGTGTCTTCACCCATCGCAGGCTTCCTAGCCGACACATTATTCTCGTCTCGGAAGCTACCCTTCCTACTCGGGCTAATCCTATGTCTACTCTCGACCATTCTTCTCGCTCTAGGACGTAGTGTTGCCGTTTTGGCCATTGCGCGGTTTCTCCAGGGAGCTTCGGGAGGTGTGGTGTGGACCATTGGCCTTGCTATCTTGGTTGAGACTGTAGGCCGCGAAAACTTGGGCAAGACTATGGGGACTATCTTCAGCTTCATATCGGTTTCCACGCTTGTCGCACCTATTGTTGGCGGTTCATTGTACGCGAAGACTGGATACATAGGTGTCTTTGGCGTGGCCATAGTGTTGATTGGCATAGACTTCATCTTGCGACTGCTCATGGTAGAAAAGAAGGTGGCTGCGAAATACTCTAGTCATGAGGTACATGACTCTGGACCGGATCGGAGCAACGAACAACAAGACACGGAACAAACACCTCTTCTACCAAACGGTTCCTCTACGCTCGTTCGGTACCGCCTTTCCAAACCAACGAATCGCTTCACCCGCAATCTTCCCATCCTCATGCTGTTTCGCCATCCTGGTCTGCTAACGTCCGTATGGATTGGATTTGTGCAAGCTCTTCTCCTTGGTTCTTTCGACGCTACTGTCCCATTGGTAGCTTCTGAGCAACTAGGATTTGACAGTCTGAAAGCTGGATTGCTCTTCCTACCACTGGGAGGTGCGGATTTCTTGCTGGGTCCAGTCTTCGGCTGGTGTGTCGATCACTATGGCACGAAGCCGGTATCAGTCTTTGGATTCATTTGGCTGATACCAACGCTTGTATTACTCCGACTTCCGACTGAGACGAGCATCATCGAGAGATTAGACAACGGTCACATCATCGCACTCTATTCTGCATTGTTAGCAATGAACGGACTCGGTCTGGCAGTCATCAACAGTCCTAGCATTGTCGAATCTGGGACTATCGTGGAGAAATACTACAAGGCGAATAGAGACATGTTTGAGCAGGCTCCATTCGCCCAACTCTACGGCATCAACAGTATGGTATGGAGCGGTGGGCTGACTGTAGGCCCACTGTTGGCTGGGTACCTACGAGATAAGGTTGGTTATGGAAACATGAACGCTGTTCTCGCAGGCATCTGCGCCTTCACAGCAGTTTTGGCGGCACTGTTCATCGGCGGCAGAGAAGAGGATCAGGATGCGTCTAGCGAGAATGTAGAATGAATGTCACTATCATCAAGTGTCACAGTGCAAGCTTGAATCTTTTGTATTCTTATGTAGTCTCGTACTCATCAAAGTCAGTACAACTGGCGAAAAGGATCTACATCCTACTTATCCGCCCCCCGTGAAAAGTTACCCATATATGGAACTACAGCGACTGATAGAGCTAGCCTGACGACCTAGTTGTCATAGCAGGTACACCTATTAGATGCACCACTGAAATTCTTCCCGCATTTCCCACAGGTGTTGGTGTCGACAGGAGTAGACTCGGAGCTGATGACAGACACTGCAATGTGTTAGCGAAAAGGGCACTGGAAACAAGCCCGAGGTTTGAGATACATACTATTGTGTTGTGTTGTTTTGTGGCTTGAAGAGGCGTTGATATGTGATTTGGTTAAGCTGGACGTGCAGGTTGTGCTTGTGGTATCAATGCTGTGTGGTTTATTCGGTGTTGTTGTCTGCGGATAGGGGGGAAGAGCTATGTTTTTTATACGCTATAGCATTCCCAGAATATCACTATACGCTTTCATAGAAATGAGTATGCAGACTTTCACATTACATTTGAGCAACAGGACGGAGTTCCATTGTCGTTGCTCACACCGCGCTGTGCAACGCCGTAGACATGGGACGTGTTAGGCATCAATCCCACTCGTTTACCATAAGGTTTGTTCACTACCCAGACAGTGTCATTTCAATGAACTGACCCAATTAGTTACATTAGAATCGGCTTTCACTGATCTCATACGAAGCAATTTCCTCAAGGCAGCAGGTGAGATTGTGAAGCATCAAAGCTGGAATGTAACGAGTCTGACGTCTAAGACCTAAAGTTCACTATGGCAATAGCATACACTATGTAGACACTGATGTCAAATTTTGGCGAGTTGTATCCTCCGCGAACGTCCCTAAAGTTGAAGCAGAAACCAATGCATTGAAATCATGACCTAGCTAGAGTTTTTCGCAGTCATCTGTATATGAGAATTCCACTCGCACCAGTTACCATTCCTAACACAGTGCTCGTTCCTCTTTGCTACAACATTCCGAAATCTTTGAGCACCTGATTCTCTAGCTCATCATTATCCGCCTTCGAGCAAGGACACAGCTCATGCTTTGTACCATTTTCTGCATTCTTCAAAATCCATCCTTCTAACGCGTCATCACTCATTTCCAGACCCTCTCTAGAAATCCAACGCCTTCGAATCTCCGTACCAACATTTCTTTTCATCTGCAGAGCCCGCGACTCATCGATGAGTCGAACAGCTTTAATCAGATTCTCGGAAGGCTCCCCACTATATAGCATAGCGCGCGTCTTTTCTTTGAACATAAGATAATAGTCCAGATACTGGTTGCAGCTGCCCAACGAGATGTCTTTGACTGCTGTTTCGAAGGCGGAAGGAAAGAAGCCTGCCATCTCCCAATCGATAATGGCAGCAAGTTCGTACCGTTGGCCGTCTTCGCTCTCTGCTTTCTTTACAAGCAGGTTTCGTGGTTCGAGGTCGTTGTGCGAAAGCACCAGGTTTTGTTCGAGAGCCTGGAGATCGTGAGAGGAAAGGTGTAACTCACCCAATTCTGGTAGGGCAGATCTGATGATAATGCCGTCGCCATCTAACGCGTCCTCTATGGAAGAGGTAGCGAAGTTCTTGGCTTGATGCTGAGCGACAAACAGCGCGATGAACTCGCGAATGCTTTTCGCGAAACCAAGAAATGGACTTCCAATACTAATGTTCTTCTTTTCGTCAACCGGGGCTATGTTTAGAAAAATCCGTTGAAGGAGTGCATGTGAAATGTCGAGCTGTTGAAGTTTATCGACTGCATTTGCAACAGCATCAATCAGAGACGTCTTCTCCGTAAGGCTGAGGGAAGGCCATACAGACTCCAGAGTCACAGTGTTCGGTACGAATCTGGTGACCATGTAGTCTACATCGCCGTGGTTTGCCGTCGCCACCTTTCCAGACCAGAGTATCTCGGGAACATAAGTCGGGATTTGGAGGGAGGCTGCCTCTTGGATTGCGGAAACGACGGCTAGAGACCCACGTAAGGTTTCCAATCGAACGATGACCGCCGGACAGTTTGGAAATTCTGCTTTGAATGTGCAGTTGGTGAAGGAGTGAGCAAATATTTCGATGAAGTTGGGTTGCGACTCAGTGAAAATTGACGAAATGATGGCCGCGTTAGGGCGAAGCATTCGATCAGCCATATCGAGTAGGGTGCATCTGCAGGTTGAGTTTTGAGGTAATATAATGGAAGGTATGATTGTAGGACAAAGCCAACCTTATACAATCGCCAAGACCCAGCGGTCCTCATTACCCATGATTGGGTCCAAACTCGTTCTTTCACCGATGATATCGCATGCGTGTTGCCTATAGCTGGGTTTGTTGAGCTTCCGCTTCCGAAGTGCGGGCCCATCCTCTTTGTTCTACACGTTGGATACTTCGAAGTCCATGTCTTCAAGGAGGACTGATTGGTCAGCAAAACTGCCCCAGTCATCGAAAGCTGCGAATGAATTCGATGTCGGCTCTTCTAGAGCTTCGAAAGGGGCAAGAGGAGCTGAGTACGGTGCATGAGGTTTGTCCGCGTCAGTGGCCCTAACCTCAAACGTAGGCTGATTTGTTGTCGGTACGTTTGAATCCAAACACAACAATTTTGTGTCAAAGAAAGATTTTGCCCACTTGATCTTCGCAGACCACTTCGCGAAGGCGTCGTTGTTCAGGTTCAACCCATCAGGATGAGCCTGCGATACAGCATCGTACCGTCGAGAAGCCTCGCCGAGAAGTGTCGAAAAGTCAACGAACTCTCTAAGAGCTTGAACATCCCAGCCATCCATCTCTATCAGGCTTGCTCGAACAAGCACAACGAATATGTACGCAAACTGCGCGAACACGCCGAATGGGACGACAAGATAGTCCTCGATGGGTAGTTCTAAATATATCTCTGTGTACCTTCTGGCCGCGTCCATACATTGCCAAATTCCGTCTAGTCGCTGCCGTAGGTCTATTCCTTTGACTGTGTAGGTGGCGAGATTCCCGAATGAGCGTTCCCAGATCGCAGTCCGGGTGCAAGCTTGCTGCAAACGCGATACCATCGCCGTCGCTCCGATTCCAGATTCTAGTGCAACCCTGTCGAGATCGCTCAAGAACGATTTGGCATATAGTTGCACTGGAGCATGGTCGCAGTCGGTAGCCATGGCTTCTTGCATGATGCGCTGACTCTGCGTTAGGTGTAGAAGCAAAAGATCGCTTTCGTATTCTCGAGTCTGCGCTAGTACATCAACGCAAGCTGTAAGCCATGGAGTCCAGTTCAGGGTGTCGATCTTACGGAAGGACGTGAATACCTGCGAGGTTAAATAGAACAGTCCAAGAACTGCACGTCGCTCGTCGTTCGTTATGACCTTCGCCGGCTGTGGCACGCCGTGCGCTTGTGACGCTGCCATTAGAGCTGCCTTCTCACAAAAGCCTGGTGCGCGATCGATATTCAGATCGTGAGCGAGCGCCATGGTAAGGTGCAGAAGTACTGTGTGGCTTGGTGGTGCGAAGAGATGCAGATTATACCAGTTTCCAATCACTAGCATACCCTGTAGCAGATCGAGTGATTTCTCACCATTGATCAACACCCTCTCCGAGATCTCTCGTATAAGATCCTTCACCATGATCTGTTGGGCTGCAGTATCATGGAAGAAAGCCGCTATCTTGATAGCCTGCAACAAGAACGGCTTATTCTTAGTCAAGTTTGAAACATCGGTACCGGTTGGAAACACCACAAAAGGCATATGATGTGCCATCAGTCTCTGGTAGCGATCGAATAGGGTGTCGGTACTTGTTTCGTTCGATTCCGTTGATGCATGGTCGGGATCGTCCATCCCCAGCGTTGCGTCGCGGACAGAGACAGTAGTACCGACAGATCCGGTAGCGCTTGGAGTCATGGTCAGTGGTGCCTGACACACAATATTACTCTTCTCATGTAATCTTGTCGCCTGCTGCAATGTGGAAGTATGCATTCCCGATTCTGAAGATGCCTCCAGCGCATGTTTGTTGGCTAGAGCTTCAGTGATGTCTGCAAGCTGTGCCTCCAGATGCTGCAATTGAGCGGATCGTCTACTTACAATTTAGCTTTCTGACACCAAATATTCGACGCCGCTTAACTTGACTCACGTCACCTTTCTTGCCTTGCGTCTGCGTTTCATTGGCTCCCGGGTCTGGCAGACCTTTCGTAGTCGTGTACATCTAAGAACATGTTGAGCTCATTGAACGCGTAGGTACTAATTCGTCAGACATATTGTAGCGACTGACCTATCGCAGCTGCTGTTCCCTGGACGCCTCACACATTTGCTCTTTGCCCTCGCACAGACCGCACACGATCCATAATGTGCATGAGTCGTGTTCTGCGACGTGACTGCGACTTCTTCAGATTCTTCGTATGCTGAACTCATTGTGACTAGGATGTAGCAATTAAAGATTGAGACCTCGTAAAGTAAGAATGATATTGAGGACGGCGAAGTAGATGGCAATAGGTGAATCGACGTAGCAATATGTCCGTCCGTCTAAACTCCGAAATCTGCAGTATGACAACATCAATCTCGGCTCAACTTTCAACCGTTCAGCAGCTTCTCATGCGCTCCTCCATATCTTTTACCTGCGACGGGAAAATTCACCTGGGCTTTTCGAAGGTCTTCCATATTCTCGTCGGTCAATTTTACCAGCTTGCTGTTCAGGGTAACGCGTTCGATGTTGGTAGACCCTGGAATGGGAATCGCCCCTTGCCGCGCCACCCAAGCAATAGCGACTTGTGCCGACTTGAGGCCTTCACTCTGGGCAATCTTCTCCACGGCCTCGGCAAGCTTGTAGTTCTGATCAAACACTTCAGGTCGAAAGCGATCGAACATCTTCGGGCGAAAATCGTTGGGCGAAAGATCATCCAGCGTCCTGAAACTGCCCGTGAGCCAGCCTCGACCGACCGGACTGTACGCAATCACAGGGATCTCGACTGTAATGGTGTTATCAGTGTCTGAAATGCAAGCAAATTTTTTCGCGGAAAGACGTACGTTCAAAGCATGCTTCCATGATTCCGTTGCGAAGGGGATCGGGTGTGAACAAGCTCAGCTCGATTTCTACGGCTGAGATGGGGTGAACGGCATGAGCTTTGCGAATGGTATCGGCATTGACTTCAGATAGTCCAATGCCCCCGATCTTGCCCTCTTTTACCAGCTCAGCTAAAGCTTTGATGGATGTTTCAACGGGCGTGTTGGGGTCGACGCGTGCTGGAAGTCCATTAGTCATCGCTCCCAGATCAACCTGTGAACGGTCTCATACCCATCTCAAAGATATCAATGGCTTTCGCGCCCCCTAGCCCTTCGAGAGCTTGCTCCACAGATGCGCGAATAGCTTCTGGACTTCCGGTTGGACCTGTTCCATGATTGAAGGCGCCCTTGATATTGAAGATGACCTTTTCAGCATCCTGGGGGTACTTTTCGAAGTAGTGGCGCATCAGATGTACCGAGTTTGACTTCGGCGTGCCGTAGTGAAGACCTCCATTCCATAGGTTTGCACCCTGGTGTAATGCCGTCTTCAGCAGACTGATTTGGTGCTCGCGCTCGAATTGAGGGAATGGAGGAGGAAGAGTCAAACCTGAAGGGTCTGCCGTCAGTAAGTTGCGTCTGGAATGTTCAGGCAGCGTGGGACGGACCTAACATTCCGAGCCCAACGTGGCCCACTGGCTTGCCGCATACGCGTGTAGCTGCTGATCTTCCGACACTCATAGCTGGCGATGTATAGTAACAGAAAGCTTTACAGATTGTCAAGTCAATGATAAGGGATGATTTGATTGAAATAGATAACATGAATGGCAAGCGACAACGACCATACTCTTATAGCTTTATCCTGAGCGGTGCTGCGAGCGACAACACCGTCCGCTGCCGCGTGTCGAGCATGCAGATTCAGCACCATTTCATTTTAATGGGAACATAAGAAGCGAATGTTGTTGCGCCGTTCCCGGTCCTCGTGGCATGTCTGTGTGGCTTGCTGGAGAAGGAACGAAATGCAGCGACCGCGCGGTGGCAGCTTGGTGGGCAGTCGGCGCTTGGGGTGCTGTCTTAACCTCCGCCCCCGTCCCAGCGGCGACTCAGCGCCCACCTGGCACCCAAACTCAACACACAATAAGCCCATGTTACGGTCCTCCTCAATCGCAAGCTGACGATTCCCAAAATCAGACCATTGAGAACTTGTTGTTCTTGTCATATACCATGACCCTCAGCAGCATACTCGCAGGATCGTCATCCGCATCCGGCTTAATTACCAGATTCTCCAACAGAACGAAGCCCATATGCTGGTACAGTGGAAATCCCATCGGACTTGCCTCCAGGCCTACGTCAATGCCAGCAGCCAGAGCCCGATCAACACCCCATTGAGTGAGCGCAGTGCCCGCACCGCGCCGACGATAGTCTGGATGTGTTGCAAGCAGAACGAGGTAGTAATTCTGAGGATACATCTTCTCCCAATATTTTGAGTGGGAATAGTTCAGCGCTTTCTGGAAGGCCATCATGCGCCTCGGATCGCCATCGCGCCGCTTGAACTCCTTGCCTATAGCCCAGTTTTCCAGAAAGGTGATGTAACCTGTCATTGCTCAGTATGGCATTCATCGAGCTTCGCGCGTGCATGCTCACAGTGTAGCGCGTTAAACACGCCCTTACTCCACAGGTCTGTCAGAGCCTGTGTCAACATACTCTTCCCGTTTCTCTCCCATAATGCGAAAGCGAATATTGTTGCTACTGCTTCGCCCCGATCTTCGCGTTTTTCCTCCAATGACGCTACTTCTTCAGCCACGATTAACGTGATTTTGGGATGGTAGAGGTAATGTTTGAATACTTGCAACCAAAAGAATTGACTGTCATCAGGATATTGGCGTCTGTACCTCCAAATGAACTCGAACCCTGGATCATCAGGTAGACTGGCAAGAGCGACAGTCGTTACCCGTGGAACGTCGCGAAGTTCGGCAAGCCTGACCCTGAAGGACGATGTTGGCGACATGCTGTTTGAAGCAGGACGGGGCGGACGGCCGCCTGGGCTGGGGCGAGCCCCTCATTTTATCGCCAGATAAAAGCCGCGGTACAGTACGCGGTTGGGTCTGTAGGATCTTTCTGCTTCTCAGGCCTGCCACAGTATGTGTATGTGTAAGACGGAGCTGCAGCCACCTGATTGCAAGTCCGAGATGATAGGCTGATAAGGTCCAAGGAGTCTCGAGGAAGGGATGGTCGCAGGCACGGGCCATATTGCCTGCCGCTCCTCATCGATAGCCTCTGTCGCATTTTCCACTAGGCATCAATATGAGGATGTCTATATTGGATCGGCTCTCTGTTGACCTCATTGACGAGGTATATTCCTCATCGCCCGATTTGCTACTGCAGGCTTATCACGAGTCCAGATCTTCTCTTACATCGCAGATGCCGCCACCTGGATTAAACCCGAATATCCCTGGGACTGGACCTGCAATGTTCACCATTTTGATTATGTATGTGGCCTCGACGGCTATGACTACCCACACGTACTTCATCGGGAGCTGGAGCTTCGGCTAGTCTGTAAAGCCTTCGACTACGCTATCACCCATCTCTACTTCCAACATAATTATGCGACATTTCACACCTAGGAGAACACAGCTATCTCGAGACTTCAGAAATATATCATTGGAGAAGAAGCTAAGTTTGCGCCTTGCATAAAGCGCTCACAGATCATGTTGTCTGAATTAAGACTGAGCCCAGAGGGATTGTTCGAAAAGAGGGACACCGAAAATGGTACTGGGCTGGCTGGAAAGTTGGCCCTTTTGGTAGCAAACACGTTCGCCTTTATCCCTCGGATCGAAGAGGCTGTCTCCAAATTACCAACGCTGAAGCGCCTTGATGTCGCGCTCGAAGAAAATTGGCGTAGCGCACCGTTAGAAGTTGACCAAAGAGACGGTGAAGACTACGGCCTCAAGCTTGATCTCGACTTCCTGCAGCTTGTTCGTAGCAACATCGCGAGCATATTCTCTTCCCCGCGCGTGCATCTTCCCTTGCTTACTCACCTTCAACTTACGCTTCCCTCGGCATACGATATCGCAATCATCGGGGCTTGTATCCAGAATGACATGGCCATGCAACTGCGGCATTTGTTCTTGGAATACATCGACGGTACGGGTCCCGGTGGTGATCGAGCGTACGAGTTTGACACGAGGTATAATGACGATGAACATAGCGGCCCGCACTACTCCAACTTCCAAAAGCACTTCCCAAATACGGATAATATGGACGGCATACGCTCTTTCGTGTCACGTTGTCGCAATCTCGAATCTCTTGGCCTAAGAAGCACTCAGTGCTGCAACCTTAAATCGCTCATCTGGCGACCGATCAAAGATGGGCTCAAGAGCTTGTACATCAACCGTGCAATAACGACTTCTTCAGCCCTACTCTCTTTCCTGTCTCTATCCACCGGTATCTCGGAGTCTGAATCGACCTCTAAGATTGTTTCGGTGGAGCTTGTAGACGTGGGACTCCAAGACACTGCATGGAGCTCGATCTTTGATTACTTGGGATCTAGTGCGCTGCTCTCTTACGTTGACGTGAAAGATGTCGTGATGGAGAGGAGTGACCGACGAAGCGTGTTCAACGTGATCAACAGAATGAATGCTCAGAAAGGTCACGTGGGCGAGGAGCTGCCGCTGATGAAGCCGGAAGAGTATTGAATTGTATCAAGGGGTAAATGAGATCATGAAGTACTTGCAGGTCATTGAATGTGCATAAAGTGTCCAACCACAATCTCTTCAAAACGTTAAGGTCTGTCCTGCCTCCTTGATAACAGCCGCCTTGACGTTCGCGCTTCCCAAAAGTTCGTATTTGTAGGGAAAGCTCTGCGCATTCAGTTTACCCAAAGGCGCTGTATTGGCGCTCTGCCCACCAAACAACACGTCCTCAACGACTGCATATCCATCTTCCGCACTACTCTCCGTGTACACCATCTTCTTGCCACTGTTCTCAAATACCGAACTTTGAACCAGGGCTTGCGCACCCATGCGGGTATTCACGCCTGTAGACTGCTCATTGTAGTAGTTGTTGAAGATGTGCGCTGTGCCGAATCGGAGTAACGGGCCGCGACTGTTGACGCGGTAGAAGTGATTATTCGCGTATGTTACGCGGAGATGGCCAGTGTCTTCGGCGGCGTTCTTGTCGGAATGGCCTACTAGGGTGCCTTTGGACTGCGTTGTGTTAGCCACCGCGTATTGTTGAGGGTATTAGTACAACGACGTACGTGATTGTGAAAATAGGTGTTGGAGATGGTTACGAAGTCGGCAGCGTGCGAAAGATCGACCAAACCATCGTAGGTGTCTTTGCCAACAGTCTCGTCACCGTAATAGTCGCAATGATCGACCCATACATTGGTCGAAAGTTGAATGGTCGTGGCATCACCGTATTCGGCAAGCACCTTGCCAATCTTCATATTGCGCACAATGACATTCTTCTGGCCTAGAATTGTGAGACCGATGCCAGTCAGGGCTGTAACGTGTCAGTCAAAGCTCATATGGTATAGAGAGTCCAAGGCGTACAGCTTCCGGTCTTTCCAATAATGGTCTTGTCAGAGCCGACCTGTACTTTTGCAGCACCACTGATGGCTCCTTGAACTACGATGTTCAAAGGTCCGGGAGAGTTGGCTACGGCCGAGAGCTGGGGTAAAGTGCTGACGGTGGTAGTAGGACCACCAGCTCCCCCTCTTGTCCCGCCATTTGCCATCGCGAAACCAATATTAGCAGCATCTGTAATGCTGGCTCTCTTCTCCAAGGCTCTTGCTGGTGTGTCTTGATAAGTTAGGGTAGGCGATGCTGTGACTGCAGCTACCGCAACGAGTAGAAAGGAGGTAGAAAGCTTCATGTCTTGTATTTGCTGCGATGTGAGATGATGGTGCTTGGTCGTTCTGGAAGAAACTATGTATACGTCGAAGCTCCATTATGTATAACGAGTCGGCGTTTGGACCGCAACAATTTTCGCTGATTATCTCCGTGAAGCTCAAGGGGTGGCTTGATCTCCACCGACTTCATATAAACAATGAGCCCTCTTAGGTGGGATTCGATGGCGAATGTCGCCGCGGAAACACCTGCGTACATGGAGCAGCATGAATCATTCCGCGTGACCAATGTGTAGCTCGATCGGGTAGTTTGGACGTGCATCACGGGTGTGGCCGAGAGTTGGCTCATGCATGCGAAGCATATCGGTCCGGAGAAACTCCTGGTTGGAGGAAGTTAGCTCAAACTGGTGACCCCAGATTTGCATCTACCTAGCATCACAATGCCAAGTCTGGGGAATGTTGTTAGCTCAAGCGAATGTTGCGGGGAAGTCAACGTGTTGAAACCATTGATGCTGAAGAAATGTATTTGTGGATGATGCGCATGGCCATTTTCTCGACTCTGGTGCGAGCCAATATCGCGACATCTTCAGTGTCAACTCCTCGAGAGCGCAACTTACGACGACCGTTTTCGAAAAGATCTCTGTATATAGTCGACAATAGCTTTAGAAGTCGTTGCTCAGACGCTAAGAATCATACCGCGGGTCCGACTTCATCGACCCCGACACCAGGAGTGAACACGACTGCAACAATTGAGGCAGCCGCGATCTTCAACCCCAGGCACGATTTTCATAATCGGAGTTAGTACCTCCGACCATGATATTTCCATTCCCATTGGCAACCGCGAAACCAGCGCAACTGTGATCAGGTCTCGTGCAGCCATCAATGACAGCCAAGACACTTAACGACAGATCGATGCTATACCATATATGTCAGGTCTGTCCAGTCTCACAGTCGATTGTTGGAGTAAAGGAGCGAAGGTGAGCATACCAGTAACTGCTCTAACGCTACCCGGTTGTACTTATACCAACGACAACGCCATTGAACCCGTGCCAACATACAGTTCTCGGCTCTCTACTGTCGAACTCACAGGGAGTTTTGCCGAGGATCCGAAGATAATTGAAGCAGGAAATGAGATTGTCGACGTCCGTATAGGAGCCATCTTCCGGGCCGCATACCACTGTGTTTTCTGAGGTGATTATTTGAGCTGCGCAGATTATCAGACGAGGTCTTACGTGACGATGGGACAGATGATTGGAAGAATTGAGTTCTCACCGCTGGTGTCTCGTACTATCGGTAACTCCAGTAGGTCAACTGAAGTAAGGTTTAGAGACGCCAGAGACAGGAGACCTGATCCTGGAACGAAATCGGAATGCACGTCTGGGATTGAATCTGTACAATTTCCGAGCATAAAGAGGAAGAAAACGTGAAAGCTGATTCTTGAGAGCATCACGAAGAGGAAAGTGTTTTGAACATGTCCAGTGCCTGAAATGGCATCGAATATTATATCCGGTCACGCAATAGCCGTGTTTCCATCAACTTCGCGCTAATTGTTGCCTTGATGATGGTGTGATTGCTGCAAAACTGGATTATCACTTTCCTGTACAGATTGCACAGGTTAGCTTCGGGTACGACTGATGTAGAAGGATAAAACGTACCGAGAAGTATCTCCAAAGATGTTCATCAATGTGCATCTCCTGTGCTTGTTCCACAGGATGATAGACTGATTTCGCACGAAGTTACTGCGTGTGGGCGCTATCGATTGGCAGCCATGTGATCACAACTCAGCACATGCGCCTGGGGAACGCGAGTAACAGTCTGACGAGAGAGAAAAAAAGACCCACAAACACGGTTACATTTGTGTCGTGACGATGTTCGGCTCGCGTGATTGTGAACTGCTGCGCCTGCTGTCAACGGGTTCTCTGTCATTGCAGTTACACCAAGATACTTTTCAAATACCCGTCCGTTTGAAAATGACCCAAGAAAAAGGCAGAGGAATGGCGCTCGGATAAGTCTTGTGCGAACACGAATTGTAGTAAAAGACCGATGTATTCAAATATCAATCGTGCGAGCGGGGATATGTGATGCGAAGTATAGATGGCTGTAAGGTAAATGTGATACACCAATCCAGCTCGTGCTGACTAGCGTCATGTCTCAATGCAGTGACCAGGTGTATCCAGGGAAGCGATCGCTGCCTGCCGAGTAGAAGGTGCTTCTGCCAACCGGGAACAAGTGCCATCGCGCGAAACAACAAATCAATGCAGGTGCAGTGGAAATGCAGTACCAACATGTGTCTACCTATCTCTTCCTAGTCTTTCCTCGTAGTCATCCACCAGTTCGTATGCCGGCCTAAACCTCGGCTTGGAAGCGCTAGTTCCATTCCCAGTCTGGGGCACTTGTGGCGTAGACGGCTGGCGTACGAGCTTTGGATTTGGGTGGGTATCAGTGGTTCCGCCTAGTGAGGTATATCCACGATCGTATAGCGAGCAGTAAGGTATATTGAGGAAACGTATAAACTGAAGACGTCAGTAAGCAGATAGTACATGATGTGCATTGCACGTACCGTCCATATGTCCACATAGTGCCAGTCTATGACAGGATGTATCCGAACAAAGGCCGGCCACCCAGAGTCGGTCGGGTCAAAGTGCTTCAGATGTTGGCCATGCGGATCCGTCCGTCGTGTCCCCACCAATATGGCCTTGACGGATGGCGTGTCTTTTAAGTAGTCGGCGAAGGCAGCCTTCATAGGTTTCGCATATTCTAACAGGGCAAGCCAGTATATCTTGCTACTATGCGCGACAAACTCCTCAACCTCGGGAAAGGGATGCGCATCCTGTATGTACACGCATTGTACGGCGGTCTCGATGCTGGACGAAGGATTTGTAGTCTGCGTTAGGCCCCGCCTGTGCATGGCGCAGAGGTATAGTATAAGAAGAACTAAACAGTCTTTGCCGCCATTATACGATAAAGAGAGCTCTGGTAGGCTACGTAGCTGTCAGTCCCTAGCTTCCGCACGTCGCCTACATGGTCAGCACCAACCTGTACTTCTCCAAAGCCTCTGCTATCACCCTCAGCGAGGTTCGCGTCTGCTCCTGCACATTCTTGACGCGATCGGATACATCTGTCGCGTCGAGAAACGTGACTATGCGGTCATTGATGCGCGTGCATAGCTCGTCGAAGGGCAGCGGGGTATCGGAGACGAGGGGATCTGAAAATCCGGAGGCGGTGTTCATTGCAACAAAAGTGCGCTAATCACGACATCAGATGCAGATGTAGGCGATTACGGTAGGGGTAGTGTCGACGATTGGTCGTACGGGGGTGCTGGTTCATGCCATGATGCGTGTGTCGGCCATGCCAGGAGAGGCGAACAGGTGGAGGTAGCCGGTGCCTTATCGATAAGCGGAATGGATCCTCGGCACATCTCCATGCGGCAAGGCGGCGGCTGCCTCACCTGGCCACTCACGCACCAGACAGTAAGCATCACAGCGGCCATCGGACGGGGCTCCACCACGAGATGCACCATGGGAGAAATTCGGTCTTGAGGCTCGCGTCGAGCTCTACAAGGCGATCTAGGCAGATTGATTACACCGAACGCGCATCTATGATGGTCTGATTCGCCGCTCTTCGGCCCTCGCCCCAGACCCTGACTTGCACTAAAGAATTGCGTGCTTTCGGCACGCGTTGTCATGACCTCTTAAAGGGAATTTTTCCACTGCCGTTGCCGCTGACTATGAGGACTGTCGCCGACGGACCGAAGTATTACTACTGCTCGTCTCCCCCGTAGACATTTCCTTACTGTTACCGTCAACCCTGAATTCGCAGTCAATATGGGGTCTATCTCGACTGCAGGAGAGGCTGGTACGTCCCCGCAACCATTCGCCCCACCACTGCCTCTACCCCAACATGTTGCCATGGGAGAGTAGTTGGAGGGTGCAAATGCACATATACTGACCTGCATGCTGTGTAGTGGCCCGAATTGCCCACTTGGCCTCCGACGTGATCGTATCGGTCGTCCCTTCCTTCACAACCGAGTCCGAGTTCTCTGAGCCTCTGCGGGGACTCCAGAAGCACAACGCGCCCAGCGTTGTTTGCAAGACGCTGCCAGAGGTGAGTTTGCATATTCACTACATCCAACTACATTGTACTAACTTTCTCTCCAGGTCCTCACTGTCCGCCAAAATGCTGACCCCCTGCTCTCCGTCTTCCAGCCCATCCGCTCGGGCAAGCTCACCAGCGTCACCACAACCTCGTCCATTCTCGTAAAGTCGATACCGCACCTTTACAAGCTCGCGCAATATCCCGTCGTCCTCCACGTATCAGTGGCGCCCTCAGGCTTTCCCGACTTCTCCGACATCACCTCAATCAGGCAGTCTGGATTCGCCTTCATCCAATCCGAGACGCTACAGGAGCTACAAGATCTTGCTCTCACTGCCCATGCTTTGGCCATCAAGTCGGGCAAGGGTGTCATTCACTTCTTCGATTCGGGCGCGACGGCTTTCAAGAAGACTGTCGAGGTAGAGGATGCCGACCTGGTCCGAAGTGTCATCGACCTGGATGCGGTAGCGGCATACCAAAATACCAAGTCGGAGGAGACCACACTATACGCCGATGATGGCAGGAATTCGACACTGTCCTTCGCTCGGAGTCAGGCCGTCAACGCCGCTCCAGCAGCAGCGCCTGTCAGCCTTCCCGAGCACCCCAAGTCGCTTCCTGCATCGGAGAGGAACAGCCAACGCGCCGATTCTTCTTCCGGCTCCTCACAGCGCGATGCTAGCACGAGCGGTGCGTCAGTGTCGTCGGCAACCACAGTGGAGTCATTGATCTCCAAGCCTGTTTCGTCCGAGGATATCTACCGCTTCGCCACACAGATTTGGGGAACCATCCGTGATGCGACCGGACGAAGCTACGATGCATTTGCTTTCTCTGGCACTGGTAACGAAGAGGCTGCCATCTTCCTCTTTGGTGCCGACACTGCCGTCTGGGCCACCGAGTTGGACAGCGTGGAGGAGACCAAGGCATACGCCAACACAGCCGTTATCACAGCCAGGCTATACCGTCCCTGGTTGGGCGCCTCCCTTGCTCCCTTGCTACCCCGATCGCTCAAGAGGATCGCCGTGCTGGAGCAAGTTCGACGAAAGACCACCCGATGGGGCCCTGTACTGCTCGACCTTCTGATGTCGCTGAAGTCAACCGGTGGCGCCTCTCCTATGGTTGTCGGATACCAACTTGGCTACATCAACGAGGATACTGTGTCGCAAGCAATGCGCGGCGTTTATCAGAACTTGATGAGCGAGACGCCTGTACAAAACCTCGTCATCGGCAACCTCGATGGCCCGGAGCCCCAGGCTATCAAGGTCGAGCAACCAGGGTTAGAGAACGCCTACATGAAGATCTTGAACCAGGTCTTTGGTGAGAAGCTTCACATTGCTAACCAGCTTGGTTCGCAGCACGCCGGTATCTCCAACGAGATCTCCTCCACCCCAGAGTACGGATTCGGCTCGCTAGTAGCGCGCAAGGAACATCGTCAGCGGTTCGTGGACGAGGCTGCCGCTGCTTCCAAGGAGAACGCTTTCACCACACAAGCGCCCAGGGAGTGGCTTTCGAAGTGGGCACTGGACGCCGATGACACCGACAAGGCTAACGATCTGGCCTCTGAGGTCATCGCCCGCTTGGGTACTGACGGCTCGCCCGCTGCCAGTCAGCTATTGTCATCGAAGAAGTTGTTCTACAAGGAATCGCCATGGCTGATTGGCTCGGACGCCTGGGCGTACGACCTTGGTAACTCTGGTGTGCACCACGTCCTGGCCTCTGGCGAAAATGTCAACATGCTCATCGTCGACTCAACACCATATTCCGAGCGCGCAGCAGCCGACGCTGCGAGGCGGAAGAAGGACATTGGTCTGTACGCAATGAACTTCGGCAACGCTTACGTGGCATCGGTCGCTGTATACAGCTCTTACACCCAGGTTCTGGAGGCCATGATCGAGGCTGACAAATTCAACGGTCCCTCCGTCGTGCTTGCTTACCTGCCGTACGAGAAGGAGAACGACACGCCCCTGACTGTCTTACAAGAGACTAAGAAGGCTGTTGACCTTGGTTACTGGCCATTGTACCGATGGGACCCACGCGCCGAGGAGAAGGGTGAAGAGAACTTCAAACTTGACTCGGAGCGAATCAAGAAGGAGTTAGAGGAGTTCCTGTCCCGTGACAACTACATGTCTCAGGTCATGAAGAGACATCCTGAGTTCTCATCCAACATCTCTGGATCCTATGGAACCGAGGTCAGGCAACTGCAAAAGCGCAAGGCCAAGGACGCTTACAGTAAGCTTCTTGAAGGACTCCAGGGCGACCCTATGACCATTCTCTTTGCTTCTGACAACGGTAACGCTGAGAACCTAGCCAAGCGTCTAGGGAATCGTGGCAAGGCTCGCGGTCTCAAGACTATGGTCATGGCTATGGACGACTTCCCAATCGAAGACTTGCCTAACGAACAGAACGTCATCCTGATGACTAGTGTAGCTGGACAAGGAGAGTTCCCTCAGAATGGTCGCACGTTCTGGGAGACCGTCAAGGACTCTACGGATCTGGATCTTGCAACAGTCAACTTTGGTGTCTTCGGTCTCGGTGACAGTCACTACTGGCCGCGCAAGGAGGACAAAATCTATTACAACAAGCCTGCAAAGGACCTTCATGCTCGTCTACTCACTCTAGGTGCTAAGCCTTTGGCCGACTGTGGTCTTGGAGATGACCAGGATCCAGATGCTTACCAGACTGCGTACTCTGAGTGGGAGCCAAAACTCTGGGAGAAGCTTGGTGTTGCCAACGTCGAAAACCTACCTGAGGAACCGGCGCCGCTGACCAACGAGGATATGAAGGCCGCTTCAAACTTCCTCCGAGGAACCATTGAGGAGGGTTTGGCCGACACTAGCACCGGTGCCATCTCCGCAAGCGATCAACAGCTCACCAAGTTCCACGGAACCTACATGCAAGATGACCGTGATCTTCGCGACCAACGCAAGGCTCAGGGCCTCGAGCCAGCATACTCCTTCATGATTCGCTGCCGACTACCTGGTGGTGTCTCGACGCCCAAACAATGGTTACAGATGGACGAGATCAGCACGAAGCTCGGTAACGAGACCATGAAGCTAACCACCCGCCAAACCTTCCAATTCCACGGCGTTGTCAAGGGCAAGCTCAAGCCGGCTATGCAGGCCATCAACAAAGCCTTGATGACCACTATCGCGGCTTGCGGTGATGTCAACCGAAATGTCATGTGCAGTTCTCTCCCAACTCAGTCGAAGTACCACGGCCAGGTCCAAAACATTGCACAGAAGATCAGCGACCACCTTCTTCCTTCCACCACCGCCTACCACGAGATTTGGCTGGAGGATGATGAGACAAAGGAGAAGCGCAAGATTGCTGGTGAAGCTGTCCAGGACCACGAGCCACTCTATGGCCCTCTCTACCTCCCGCGAAAGTTCAAGATCACTATTGCCATTCCACCTCACAACGACACCGATGTTTACGCCCACGATATCGGTCTCATCGCCATCAAGGGTGAGGACGACAACCTCGTAGGTTTCAACGTACTTGCCGGTGGCGGTATGGGTGTAACGCACAATAACAAGAAGACATACCCGCGAACTGGAAGCATGTTCGGCTACGTCCCAACCGATCAAGTGCACCTTGTTTGCGAGAAGATCATGCTCGTCCAACGTGACCACGGTGACCGCAAGAACAGGAAGCATGCCCGTCTCAAGTACACCATTGATGACATGGGTATCGATATTTTCAAGGGAAAGGTCGAAGAGCTCTGGGGCCAGAAGTTCGACGAGCCCAGGCCTTTCAAGTTCCAAAGCAACATCGATACCTTTGGCTGGCAGAAGGACGAGACTGGTCTCAACCACTTCACCTTCTTCATTGAGAACGGCCGCATTGAAGACACTGCCGACTTCCCAATGAAGACTGGTCTGATCGAGGTTGCCAAGGTACACAAGGGCGAGTTCAGGTTGACTGGTAACCAGCACTTGATCTTAGCCAACGTCGCTGACGAAGACCTGCCTGCTATGAAGGAGCTGCTCAAGAAGTGGAAACTTGACAACACCAACTTCTCTGCAATGAGGTTGTCCAGTTCTGCCTGTGTTGCCTTCCCCACTTGCGGTCTTGCCATGGCTGAGTCTGAGCGTTACCTACCTGAGCTGATTTCCAAGCTCGAGGGCACGCTCGAAGAGTCCGGACTACGACAAGACAGCATCGTCATGCGTATGACTGGTTGCCCTAACGGTTGCGCACGTCCATGGCTTGCTGAGATTGCTTTCGTTGGCAAGGCTTATGGCGCGTACAACATGTACCTTGGCGGTGGCTACCACGGTCAAAGGCTGAACAAGCTTTACAGGAGCTCGATCAAGGAAGAAGAGATCCTTGAGATTTTGCAGCCTATGATCAAGCAGTACGCTAAGGAGAGGAACGAGGGTGAGCACTTTGGTGACTTCGTCATCAGGAAGGGCTACATCAACGAGACCACTCACGGGACAAACTTCCACGACAACGTAAGTTCTAAGAAATCAGACCATCCATGAGATGCATTGCTAACATCCTCATAGACTGCGGAAATGGAGTCAGATGGCGAGTAAGCCTACCATTTTGGTGTGAAGTGGGAGGTCTTACTGGATTTCGTCGCATCTCGTCGCTCTTATGAAAATTTATGAACATTTTCTGGCGTTATATGGAGAGGTCTAAGCGGTTGGGAAACGTCTTGTCTATACTTTATGACTTATCGCATGATCAAAAGGAATGAATGATACCATAGCATTTTCGTTGCTTCTGTTCGTAGCTTTTACTTCCGTTGACTTTTCGATCTGATGTTTGAGCTCTCAATAATCCGTGAACCTTCGCCTAACACGGAAGCAGCTAAATTGAGTGCGAGTCTTCCCCTCTTACGGGCTCAGCCTCTCAATCTTCCACTCTGCCCCTTTCATCTTCTCGGTGCTGTTCTCCCCGCCAACCTTCCTGTAAACAAAACGATCGTGCAACCGACTTGGCCGTCCCTGCCAAAACTCTACCATATCCGGCACAATCCTCAATCCGCCCCAAAACTCCGGCACCGGAATCTTATCCTTGCCGTCAAACCTCTTCTCCGCATCCTCTACTCTCTTCTCTAACTGCTCTCTACTTTCAATCACACTACTCTGTTGACTTGCCCAAGCCCCAATCCTCGAACCGCGAATCCTCGTATCGTAGTAAACCTGCGACTCCTCATTCGTAAGCCGCTCTACCTTTCCCTCAACGCGAACCTGACGCTCCAATTCGCGCCAGTGGAAGGTCAATGCTGCATGAGGATTGCTTCGTATGTCGCTTGCCTTGCGACTTGTATCCCAGTTTGAGTAGATGACGAAACCGCGCTCGTCCAGCTCTTTCATGTAGAGCGTGCGTGCTGAAACTCTTCCGCTGGGTAGTTCTGCGGTAGACAAGACGACGGTTTCGGGCTGGTAGACGTTGTTGGCCTGAGCTTCCTGGAACCATTTGTGGAATTGGTCGGTTGGCGAGGGCAGGAGGTCCTCGCGGTCTAGCGCGCCTTTGTTGTACTGGGTGGCATGTCCGGGGTCTTCGGAGTTGCTTGTTGGTGCGAATATCTTCTTCGCTGATTCGGTGGCTGAGTGCAGCATGCTTTTCGGTTGGCGTTGAGTTGTTAGGGGAGGTTTTGCTTCGAGAGGCAATGCGAAGTAGCGTATGGAACCTGCAATTGGAAGAGTCCTCGGATATTTACTCAGAATGCTTGTACACCTGGGTGGGGGCATTGGTCACTTCAAGCTGTGGTGTAGGTTTGTTACGTTGACTCACTTCGTGGCGTGATCTGAGCGATGCAGTGCTCGGAATGAGTCTTCTCACGATCGGAACGAAGTGGGGTGACGTAACCAGATGCTAGCGCGATTGTCCACCAGCCACCTCGTCGCTCTTGAGCTATGACACGAACCTCACGCGTTTACTGACAGCTAGTAAAAGGAATGAAACATCGAAACTCTCGTGCATTGATGTCGTTATCATGAGAACGCGACTTCCTTCCAAAATTGCCGCCCCGAAGGATTTGAAGCTTTCCCAATTCAGAACGCGCTAAACCGATTGTACCTCCTCGAATATCGACGCGTCCGAAGAAGACCAAATAGCCATTTACTAATCAGCCATCAATCTCAAACAGTCCTCCTGTTCATCTAGGTCATATCTCACACTCGTCTTGACCTTCTTATCTCCTTTGTAGTGTGCCCTCTCCCTCAGCAGCCGTTGAGTCTCGTTATCGAATCCATACATGAGAGTGGGAAGAGCACTTTCCTTCCATACCGGTATTCTCAGTCGCGCAGACTCGAATATAACGAGAATGACGTACATTATCCCTATCAAGAGCATACCGGCCGGAAACCCCATGTATGCCCAGTCGACACGCACGTGTGTGACCCAGCGTTGTGTGACGCCTTCGAGTCGATTTGGAGAGGTGTTGCGCATCTGGTTCGTGAGACTGCGAGCCACGTTTTCGAATGTTGTGGTCAAGTTTGTCGACTTCCATAACGCGTCCACGAAAGCCGGTGCGTCTCTATCCGGAAAGGCGATCAAAGAGGGTGGTGGGTCGCCACTGAACTTTGCAGCATAGCTTGTGAAGACGTGGAGATAATCGATAGTACTGCGAAGAAGCGCGTGAGATATGTTCACCTCTTGCGCCGCCATTGGAGAGAAGCCCCCAGCCTGTTCGGGAGGAATGAGAAGCCGGAGGTCATGTCTCGGGAAATCTATTGTAGGATTGTATAGGTCGTACCCGGTGCTATCAATGTACTTTTCGTCTTCCGAATCTAGAGATCCGAGGGTCTTGTATATCTTGTGTGAGTCAGGGTCTCGAACAGCCCAAGACCCGATGACGTTCTCTTCGACTAGACCGTTCCTGCTGCTGGCTTGGTAGATGTTCGAACAGAAATACAACGCGCATTCTGTTGCAACAGGATGTGACGACTCCCATGGCACTCTTGATTTGACCCAGTCATCAGCAGCTCTGATGATTTTGAAGCTCATCATCAGAGTTTGCACATCCGAATGTTTTAGAGTTTGCCGTGCAGTAGACCCAGTCTTTACTGTCATAAAGGTTCGGGGGACCCCTGATTCAGCGCCGGTAGTGTACTTGTACCAATCGTCGTCGTCTACTTTCGACAACCCGTTGAAGTTCTTGATCTCAGTCTCTGGTAGGGAGAACACGGAGTACGGTCTGAGTTCAGTTTTACAAAGTCAGTGTATGTCTCACATACAGTTCGTACGGAGATGCTTACCCATCGAAGTGAATATTGGTGGGGCCTGGGATATTCGACCCATTCGATCCTTGCGTCCCATTGAACACGAGGGTATCAGAGACATCTTTGCAGGAACTGCACACAGCAGCCGAGACAAATGCTGGCCAGATACAGTTACCAGTAGCGTAAGTAAAGGCGACAGTGTTGGGGGTGTTCGTGGATGCATTGTAGAACCCTGCATTGACAGAGCTGACAATACCAAAGTCTGGCCGACTCTCGGTATACGTGTATGCAAAATACCAGACGGTGTTCTACTAGCACCTACGGGTCCGCCTGGATTTTCGATTATGTATCCGCCGTCAACTCTCAAAGCTCGACCGATGGTAGCGTTAGACAACGACCCGATATCGACAGCGTTAGAGCCTACTGCTATATCATGGAGTTTTCCGTAGGTAGAAATAACCGCCTGGAAAAAGGGATCGAATGCGACTGTACCTACAAAAGCGCAATTACGTTAGCCCAATTCTAATGCACCTTGCAGCATCTCAGGTTAGCAAGTGCCAACGTAGGTATAGTGAAGTGCTGTAAGCTTGCTATTAAAAGTGGTGTAGGTCGACTGGATATGACATACCTACGGTGATCAGAGCACCCAGCGCTGCCCAATGTCTGCAACTAAATTAGTCTTGTGATACGTGTTAATGCCATCAGATGTCTTTACCTGAAACGCAACCAAACGAAAAGACGAGATCCGCCCCAGGGTCCTCGGCTCGCTTCGTCGAACCTTTCGAATGCTAGCACTGAGTCTGACCTTCGACGAAGCCAGCTCCATTTCTGCTGTCCAACGCAGGCACTCATAGCAAACGCCGGAGTAGTTCTTGCTACCGTGCCGAGAGCGGCAACCCATGTGTTGAGCGTGAAGATGAATGTCCAGGCTGTGATCGGCTTGTTGTTTTGGCCAATGAGAATGATAACTATCGCGGAGATCGAGGCGATGCTTGCGATCAATGCGAGAATCTCGAAAATCCATGAGAGCATGGTTTTGCCAAGTCGGTAAGACGTTTTGCTCGCTTTCTCAAAACTTACGACATCCGGGCTGTGATTCGAGACTGCAGTTGCTCGCTCGGTGGCAGGGTCGTTACTGAGATGACGTGTAGAGTTGCAGTGTACGAGAGGCTCTTCAGAAGTATCCAAATCGTCTGCGAAGCTATGGATTGCTGCTGGGAATGGCATAGGTCGCCGCGAAGAGCCGAACCTTCCTGTCGAAGTTGCAGACGAGCGACTGAATTGGGGGGATATCGATCTTCCGTCGTTCATGTTGTAGTTCGTGTGTACACTAGGACCTCAGTACATAGTGAGTGAGAAAGGTAAATTGCATCCAGACGGTTTTGGAGTGGAAGGCTGCTACAAATGGCTGAGTGAGCTGAAACTACAACAGCGTAGAAAGCGCCCCAAGTCTAGTCAGTCACGCCCATGGGGATCTGAATGAGCGGTTCTTGTTGGAACACCAGTGGTGCCAACCTCAGCTGTGTGACCTCACAATATGCACGAACGGCAAGGGCAGCTTCTGGCCCCCATTATTCACTTTCCTCCCGTGCGTCGTAATGTGCACTCAATAAAAGGCTGACGGGACCAGAACTTGCGCATTGTGTGTATCTATAGTAGAAGAAAGAAATTCGAAGAGCGCTTGTCGGAAACATGGTCTTACATACATAGGTACCTGTGTTGGAAGGGAAACAGTCGGGACGAGACAAGTACGCTTTCCCGCAGGGCTTGCACTGCCTCGTCGCCCCCTTTCTCGCACTCCCACACCGCGCTGCATTAATATACAAACAACGTCGAACATGATCGTAATTACTACGATGCGCGTCGGCAATCAAACGAAAGCTTTCCGTCAAAAGACAGCGCGGACTTCTACGTGAGTCCACCTGTCTGAAGCCCACGAGTGAAGTTTCAGGCGCTATACATAGCAACGCGTGTACAGCATTGGGGCCAATTCGAACAAACTTACCTTACTGGGTGCCTGGGTAGGTAGGTAGTCACACAGAAAGCAAGAGAAAGTCCATCGGTCAGCGATGGCTTGATCACGGCAGGCCGGGTATCGATGAGATGGCGGTGGCCTGCAAGTGATGTTTGGTTTGGGGGCCATCCTCGCGAGAAATCAGAAGACCTCGGGAGGCTTCCGCGTCATCACGAAAGCCAGATGCACTACAAACGCATGATGGACCACCTTCTTCTTAGTATCACATACTGTTTATCCTACTGCGTAGAATCATATAGTCTATCCATGGCTCATAGTTCAGATCGTAGGATACGATACCTCTGTAGAGGGCTAGATCCGATTGGACCTCGGCATAGAGACTAAGGAAAGCCCCCACTCGTGCCCCACATCCAGCCGACCCGTCGGCTTCCCGCCTTTCACACACCTACTGTACCTGGTAACAACTACAATGCACGACTCAACCTCCTACCAGTACGATCTGGGCCGTTACCATCGCAAAATTAGCACTTCCAGCCCGGAATCGCAAACATGGTTCGATCGCGGTTTGATCTGGTGTTACGCCTTTCACCATGAAGAGTCCGCCCGATGCTTTGAACGAGCAATCGGCGAGGACTCGAATTGCGCGATAGCTTATTGGGGTGTAGGTCTTTGATAGTCTCCCCAGGATGTCTTGTATACCCAGCTGATCGGCGCAGCTCGCATTCGCCCTCGGACCGAATTACAACAAGCCTTGGGACTTGTTTGACGAGAAAGAGCTCAAGGCCACACTAGGAAAGATAAATGAGGCGAACTCAAAAGCCAAACTACACGCATCCAGTTCGTCGGGTCTGGAAAAAGCCTTGATCGACGCCGTTCAGGTGCGCGTGCCGAAAGGTCTAGATGAAGCTGCATTTCAGGCATGCAACGAGGAGTATGCCGAAGCCATGAAGGGTGTTTACGAACGTTTCCCCGACGACCTTGACGTGGCGTCTCTTTACGCAGACTCTCTTGTCTGTCTCTCGGCATGGAATCTATGGGATCTCAAGACCGGCGAACCGACGCCAGGTGCTCGCTCTTTAGAGGCTAAGACTGTGCTCGAGAAGGCTTTGCAGCAAGACGGCTCACACCTGCATCCAGGAGTTCTCCACCTGTACATTCATTTGATGGAGATGTCAGCAACGCCTGAAGTAGCTCTTGTCTGCGCAGATCAGCTAAGACACCTTACCCCAGACGGAGGTCATTTGCTGTACGTGCATCAAGCATCCTCCGTAAAGCCCATACTAACTCTAGAGACCTATAGACATATGCCGTCCCATCTAGACATCCTGGTTGGCGACTATCGACGTGCCATAGACGCTAATGCATCCGCTTGTCTCGCGGATGAGAAGTACGTCTCCAAGCATGGAGCACAAAACTTCTACTCATTTTACATGATGCACAACTATCACTCACTCATATACGCAGCAATGTTTGCGGGGCAACTCAAGGTCGCGCTAGATGCGGTTGACCGCATGGAAGCGTCACTGCCTGTCTCGCTTTTGCGCATCGAAAGTCCGCCCATGGCAGACTGGCTAGAGAATTTTGCATCAGTTCGTGTACATGTTCTGGTTCGCTTCGGGCAATGGCAAGATCTCATCGCACTCGAGATGCCATCGGATAGAGATCTTCATTGTGTGACCACGGCAATGACGCATTATGGCAAAGGCATCGCATATGCCGTTACTGGCGACATCGTGAAGGCACAGAAGGAACGCGACGCCTTGGTCGAAGCAGTTGAGCGTATTCCAGCATCTCGGATATGCGGGGATTTTCCGAACAGGTACAGTGCATACAGTCAAACTATCCAGAATGGCGGGTTGTAGAATGATATACTAACAGAGGCAGGTCTAATGTCGTCCTTCAAGTTGGAATAGCAATGCTGGACGGCGAACTTGAGTACCGCAAAGGCAACTACGAAGAAGCTTTTAGACACCTTGAAACAGCCATCCAGCGTGACGACGATCTAGTGTACGCCGAGCCATGGCCTTGGATGCAGCCAACACGACACGCCTATGCCGCTCTGTTGTTGGAGCAGGGCCGAATAGAAGATGCGGCATCGGTTTATAAAGCAGACCTAGGGTTTGATGATACGCTACCGCGGGCAAGGCAACATCCGAACAACGTATGGGCCCTGCGCGGCTACCATGAGAGTTTGATAACCTTGGGTCGAAAAGACGAGGCGGGAATCATTGGGCAGCAACTCAGAATAGCACTTGCTGTAGCTGATGTTAGTGTCAAAGCGAGCTGCTACTGCCGACGCATTCCTGAGTAGCGGGAACTCGTAGAGGGACGGGCAGTTCGTGATGACCCGAAACATTACGTTAGGATGCGATCGTCGTTGAACGCATATGGTTCCTGGCCAGTTGGGCTTCATTCCGTGTCCTCCGTATCCACTTGGCTAACGAAATCCTCCGGCTGATTATGAGGACGATCTTCCATCGTGGTGCAGAGAGGTGCTGCGGTGTGAAAGATACAAGGGTGGCTGACCATCATCGTCCGTGTTTGATGGCTTTTTGAGCGGATGGATGCAGCTCGTTTCCATATCGGACTGATCTGTCCGAATCTGTCTACGATGCCAGTACGACTCGTGGTTCATCGCTCGTATCTTTCCTTGAGCGTTCCCCTTTCGATCAGATGTCAACAGCCTTACGTGCTGTTTCGGAGTCGCCTCCGTCGTCATCCAGGGGTTAATACTGACCCGAGTGACAGTTCCGCTACTGAACAAGCCGTCTCCAAGTGCCTTGGTATGCATTGCTGATGAGTCGTGTCCCATCTCCCAATCATCACCCAGTCATGCCTCGGCATCTGGATGCTCAGGTTTCACGATCTGCCGCTAACGGTCGCCGACGTCCTCCGCTACCATGTAGCTTCCACGTGTCTTACCAAGATCGTGCTAGATCACCTCGCTTAGGACGCCCCGCCGGAAATTTCGTCCCCAACAGAGTCACATCTTGTATGCACCTTCGCATGTAAACATGCGTCGACTATCGTCCCCGAAGGAACGCGGATCCTTCCCATCTTTGTGCCACGCGACATTGACGCTTGGCATTTAACCGGCATGCACTGATGTTAGAAATCAAAATCGAGGTCAGCTTGTGGGACTATAGCGGATCCATAGGGTTGCACACACGGGAACTTGAACACGGGAACTTGAGCACCGAAAACTCTGACATCTGCAGCCAAAACGGGCACTTGATTGTCGGAACGGAGTCCGTCGACGTTAATTGTGCGCGGGTAGTCTAGATTGCGGGAGCTTCACGAGCCGCAATCCTCTATTAACAAATTATGATCGTCTTTGATTCAGGCGGATAACGTGGTAGGAGAACTCCCAGAACAGCAGCTGCGAAGCCGCGGGAACAATCGCCACAACATCCCTGATGTCCTATCGCGACGTCTGGGCGTTGATCAGCATGGCGTGCAAGCGGACCCTGCTCTGACATGCCGGCGGTGTTTTCCATTCCTGATTCAGTAGCACAGGGCAGGCCCACGAGCCGCCCTTCCCCCTGGGTACCCATCGAATCGAGACTCGCTTGAGTGTGGGCTGACTCAACTTGGCTGGTACCCAAGGGCCCGGGTACGAAGTATATGGAGCCAAAACCCGCCGGATTCTTCAGAAACCTGGGGGTGAACCAGATTTGCCCGAATTCACGCCTTCACCATGGCTTCAAGGCACGAACGTGAGAACCGAGGACCTGAACTGCAGGCGGTATGTTCATAGACGCTGAACAAAGTGGAGACCATTGACTGACATCCGCAGGTGTGCTCAACGTTCGTCTCTCTTGCATTCATAACCACTGTCCTGCGAGTTTACGTACGAGCCCGCATCGTTAAAGCTTTCGGAGCGGACGACTGGTGGATGGTGGTCGCATTGTGTGCTCATGTTATGTTTGCTACTTGCGCAATTGGCGGTATCCACTATGGCACTGGACGCCACATGGACACACTGTCGGGTGAGCAACAGTACAAAGCAATGAGGGTATATGCGAACCTGCGAACTCGTCCTGATCTTGATTCTAACAGGATGTATAGTACTGGTGGCTTTGCTACATCGCATACTGCTGGGCGATGATTACGTCAAAGATGTCCATCGGCTTGTTCCTTCTTCGTGTCACTGTCAAGAAACTGCACAAGTAAGCCCTGTCTTTGCGCTAGTTCCATGAGATACATCTACTGACTTCATACGCCTCATTTAGGTACATAATCTACGCTGCGATGGGCCTCACAGTAATCTGTGGCCTCGTCTTCTTCTTCGTCACCCTCTTCCAGTGCCACCCGATTAGCTTCTTCTGGGACAAGAACATCCCAGGAGGGACTTGCATTAACGTAGACGTCATCATCGGTCTTACGTTCCTGTACAGTGCAATCTCGGTCATTAGCGACTTCACGTTCGCTATTCTACCCTTCTTCCTCATTTGGGGCTTGAACATGTCCGTCAAGACCAGGGTCCTTCTGATTCCTATTCTCGGGATGGCCTGCGTGTGAGTTGCCTTGTCACCACCTCAGCATACTACTTCTAACAAACTTGCAGTGCCAGTGTCGCAGTCTGCGTGCGCATGGGTTACGTTATGGATTTCAAGAACCCAGACTTCCTCTGGGCCACTGTCGATATAGCAATCTGGTCGGACATCGAACAGGGTCTCGCCATCACGGCTGGTTCCCTCGCTACTCTCCGTCCCCTTTGGCGACAAGTTTCCGAGAAATTCGGATTCAGCAACTCCTCCTTCGGCCCGTCACGTCCTTCTGGCATGCGAACACCACAATGGGTCAACGACCCCAACAGAGAATCGAAAAAGAAGCCCAGCCTCTTCAGCATGACAATGTCTCTGCTGAAGACTGAGAAGGGAGCGTCCACGAAGTCGGAGATCGACCAGGACTACGGCATGGGCAACCTCCAGCCAGTCAGGCTCCGCGACGATCTGTCTGCCGAAAACGAGAAGAGCGACAAGGTGTTTAACACTTGGAGAATAAAGGGCGGAGGGAAGGTATCTGACGAGGAATGCAGAGTTGGAGAAATCACTATGGAGACGCACATCAACCAGAAGAACGAGAGACGGTAGCAATGGAAGGCGCAGCTGTAGTGGACAGCGAACGATATGAACGACCTTGTTATTAGCTAATTTAGATTCATGATACCATCCTCATGGCGGCGCGAGCCAGTCAAAACCAATACAAAAAAAAAGGATATTCACACAGCAGACTTCCATGTGCAACAGCAACTTTAGGGATGTTATGATGGTTCACGTGATGTAGAGCTCAAGCAGGGTTAGTAGGATGCTCGCGCGCATCAACACAAGCAAGTTGAAGCGACTGTCACTGTCGGCGTATGTAACCTTGGAACGTTTGACTAAAATAATCTAATTCTCCATAACTACATGGTCCAGGTCAAGTTGCAGCGCATAAAAGACTCAAGTTTCACCATAACCGCTTACTGTACATTGCTCGTTTTCGCCCTCAAGAAATTCTCGACCATCTCATCACTTACATCCGCCACATTAGCCGGCTGACTACGCGTATCTCCTTTGCTCGCCACTGCCGAATCTGGACGTTTATCGGCACGTGGGCTCACGTCGCCGACCATTGTGCTTGGTCCCTTCTGAACCGGCCCATCCGGTGCAGAGCCGTTAGACGTCGCTGCCGTGCCCAATGCGCCAGCAGCCCCACTGCGTTGCTGATCTTGATCATTTATTGATCGTCTGCCCTCTTGCGTCTGCCCCTGCGTTTGCGCTCCACCTATCCTTTCGTTTGATGGTGTGAGGTTGCCGTGGAACGGGCGCTGTCGCTGCTTCGCGGCTTCCTTGTCGACTTTCCAAATGCCGCCTGACGGATCGACAGTGTAAGCTTGGGGATCGTGCTTGACTAATCTTTCGAAGATCGGGTCGTTGGGTACCCTTCTGAAGAAGATGTGCTGAAACTCCTCGCCCTTGGCTTCTTCGTCCTTCCGCATCTGCCTTTGGCCATTTTCGACTACATTTTTCGCAGTTGAAACGCCCTTCATGTCGCCTTTATGCAGAGATGATATGACATCACCCCATGCTTTACGACTCTCCCATGGGTCTTGTTCTGACAGGTTGGGCACAGTCATGGGTTTATGCTTGATGGTTCTGACGTCGAATGTCTCCACCTCGGAACCGTTCCGCGCGTCCTTGATGGTAAACGTGCTGTTCCACGCTCCCTCGATTTCGTAGATGGTCTCACCAGGCTTGTCTGCATGGAAAAATCTTGCGTGGAATCCATTCTTGTGGCCAGATCCGAACAAAGACTTGCCCTCAAACTTGATATGAGATATGTATCCGTTGGATGATATGAGAGAATATTCGCCGTACAGCTCCGGATGTGGAACTCCACCTAACAGACCCTTGACCTTAATGTTCGGCAGTGGAAGGAGATAATCTTCGTCGTATTTGTCGACATGTACAATAGCATATCCCTTTTGCTTGATACTGACGTTTCCAGAAAAGGTGATCTCTTGCTCCGTAAACCCTTCCGCTCGGATGCCGATTTGATCGTTCCACAAATAGCACGCCGTTACGGGTGGATGATGGCCAACCTGCTCGGAGATTAATCGCGTCTCGCCCAGCTCCTCAGTATTCCAGCTTCCGAGGAAGAGCTCGCCGAGAAACGCGTTCAACGGCTTCTTGACACCGTCCTCCTCATTTCGCCCCGCATATTGCTGTCCTCGTAATGAGCCTAGGAAGTTCTTGAGCACAAGCAACGCGCGTTTCTCAGGATCCTCTTCAGACGCCGGTGCAGCCCAAAGATATGGATGATCCGCCCAGTACTGGGGTATCTCAACTGTAGAGTTCTCGGCCAGTACGAACGGCGGTGCAGTAATGTTTGAAAGATCTCCCGAAATGGTCGCTATGGAAGAAATAAATTCCTTCAGCCCAGAACGATTTGCTGCGATATCATTTGACATAATTGCGAATTTGGGGTTGACTTGACTATCACCAATGCCGGGCAATAAACGTAGTTATGGGGAAGATGGGTGACTTCCTAAAGTAGCGCCAAGTCATGACGTCGGTGGTGCAAGACCCTACGGCCTGCGGCTAACAACGCGAGATCTGGCTTGCCCTGGATTTTGGTAGGCTGTGCACCAACGACTTCAACGCTGCATCGCGCAATCTGCCGTAAACGCGTACGCGATCGATGTTGGTCCGTCGCATAATCAGCCCGACCTAGCGTAGTCCGGCTGAGCGACGCGATGGCGACGTCGCGTATTCCTCCCTAACGGTCTCATTCACGACAGATTCAAGCCCATTGGTACGAATAGCAGCTGGTCACCGAAGACCAGGGCAAATTGTCGCCAGTTAGGCAACCTACTGCAGACTTCACTCGACGTACTCTGCCTGCCACTCATCCGACATATCCGTCTTGGCATCATCACCACATCGGGCTTGCTAGCAGGTGTGGAAAGCTGTGAACGAGACGGGTTAGGCTGCAGTTGCTTTGCCTCATGAACATTTTCGATTCTGCTAAAAAAAACAACGAACACCTCTTACGGCGCAGGATAACTCAATGCAAAAGCTTCTCTAATCTCCTCCTCGCCCCATCCCATCGTCAGTCCCAACTGCAACAAGATCCTCGCCTTCTGCGGATTGTAAAACCCACTCGCAATAGTGAAGTCGTCACCGTCTGGTACGAGTCCATCTGCACTTCGATGGCTAGCCACGATCGGGATACCCGTCGCATTGTAGAGCTCCTCAGCAGCCAGACCCGCTTTGCTAGATACGCCTCCTGCGCCAACTCCAGCGTAAACGATGCCTTGGGCACCAGAGGCATAGGAGGCGTTGAAAAGAGTGGGGTCCATATCCTGGTGGGCGTAGAGAATTGGTACGGAGGCTAGGTCGGTGATGTTGGTCACATCGAAGACTACACGACCTACAGGTTCGGATGGTGCGAAGAAGAAGAATGGCACTTGGTTGATAAATACACCGAGTTGCCCGGCCTCAGTTGAGAAGAACGTGTCGAGAGTGTTGGCATTGTTCTTTGTGGTGTAGAATGCGGAGCCGATGCGGTCGTTGAGTACGATCTAATGGTACCGTTAATTTGCGATTGCGATCTATGGTCGGGCTTCGATTGATTTGCTTACCATAGTTCCTCGATTCCGTCCAGCAGGCGATCCGGCTAGGGTAACCGCTTGGTACAGGTTGAGCGGTCCATCCGCACTCAGTGCTGTGGCTGGCCTCATCGCACCGACGACAATAACAGGCTTCGTAGAGTTAACAGTACTCTCCAAGAAGAAAGCAGTCTCCTCAAGCGTATCCGTTCCATGCGTAACTACAACACCAGAGATCTCATCCTTCGCCAACTCGGCATTGATCATATGCGCCAGACTCAGGCTAATAGTCTCATTGATGCTACCAGAGCCGACATTCGAGATCTGGTAGCCGGCAATGTTCGATATGTTGAGGAGTTCGGGAACGGCATCTACAAGTTGCTGTACTCCGAGGCCGATTGAGTAGCCGGTCGTCTGTGTGTTGCTGTTGCCCTGAGACGCAATAGTACCACCGGTTGCGAATATGGTAACATTGGGAAGAGAAGCATTTATTGGTGTTTGAATATCCTGGCGTACGAATAATCGGTGGACGTTTGATCGACTGAGATCAATTGGCGAAGCTAGTGTCAGAGTTGTGAGAAGAGGGAGGAGTTGGGTTGAGAGCTTCATCTTTACGTATGAAGGAGGCACGCAGCTGGATCACAATCGACTTTTTGCAGAACTCGAATTGACCTTTTATACTCTTCCATGACCTCCAATTCATGCAGCTCCAATGCCAAGCTCACCGTCGGCCAACCTGCAACGCCTATCTCCACGGCCTCTTATCAAGCCATTGTCGAGCTACTGTCAAGATACTGTCGTCATACCGTCTTGGTATTTCTACAAGCAGCTCAATTAGCTAGTTCTACGAGTCGTAGTCAAGCTTCGCTCTCTTGGCTATGCATGTCCTCCGAATGCGTCTTAGTATGGTCGGGTCTTATCAGTAAGCCTTGCATGCGATAACCCACCCTTTGGATCCGCTAGAAGATATCTAGTAAGAACGCCAAGTATGTTTTTGCAAAGCTCGATGACTGGGCGCCGTTCTTGATAGCCGTTACCGGCCTCTAGTCGTGAGGCTTACGTTTGGTTTGCTCTGGGATTTGTGTGGGCGGTACATGGACGTGGAGGTGCGAGAGCTGTATCCTCGGAGGTATTGTGGTGACCCCGCTCACTCACGCCTCTCGTCCCGATTAGGAACCAAACGACAAGAAGGCGTGACCGAAGCAATGTCCTGACAAAAGCTACAACAATACCGTACATATTCTTCATTAATCCTCATACTAATATTCTATCTCTATAGCAGTCATGTGCCCCCCATCCGACCTAACCATCGCCAAAGCCAAAGATGCAGACGACGGAGCATACAAGCACTTTCCCAAGCATAGCCTCAATACAGAAGTATCAAAAGCGGCCTATGCACATGCAGCCGAGCTACTGCATCCTGCAATCCTCAACCACAGCATCAGAGTGTATCTCTACGCCGACGCATTGGCAAAACACGAATCCTCCAAATACTTCACAGACGTCCATCAACGCGATCTACTCTTCACCGCGTGCCTTTTCCACGATATCGGAACTACTCGGAGCTATGACGGCCCACAGCGCTTCGAGATTGAGGGCGCCGATGCCGCAGTGAAGTTTCTATCCAAATTTGGTGTCGGTGGAGCGGAGGCGCACGATGCCTGGACCGCAATTGCATGCCATACCAGCCCACAAATCGCCGAGAAAATTGGGGAGCTTGCGAGGCTTGTTCGCATCGCTGTTATTACGGATTTTGGACGGAGAGGCGAGGAGTATGAGGTGCTCCAGTCACTGACAGAGCAACTGGAAGCACAGTATGAGCGAGCGGGAGTCGAGAAGGTGCTTGGTGATGCGGTGGTGGAGCAGGCAAAGCGAAAGCCAGAAAAGGCGCCGAAGGTTTCGTGGCCGGGTGCGATGTATGCGGCATGGGTCGCGGAGCCAGAGTGGGACGGTGTCAACAAGGCGTTTTGAGAGGCTGTATACGAGCTTCGTATCCTACAGTCTTGTAATCCACCGGTGCTGTCACGTCTTCAACCTCCATCGCTCCTCTCCAAGAAACCCGGATCCCTCTCGATCTTGCCCTCGAACTTCGTCCACCATGCCTGGAATGCCTTCAACGGCACTGTGTCTCCTGAGCCCCAGCTCGTCAAGAAGTCGTAACAGTTCTTGATGATCCTCTGCGCCAGCACCTTGGTCTCCACGCTTCTTTGTCCTCTCAGTACCAGCTCGTTGCCTTGCCCCATGTTCGGTGTGGCCGATGCTGCGGCCTCTTGTGCCTTGTTTTGCGCCAAAGCTGCAGCGACTTGTTGCGCTGGTTCAACGCTGATTCCAAGGGCTAGCGGCGCGGTGTTGCCGTTCGACGCGTCCATCGAGACGCCCTCGTCCACCATGGCATCGTCGTTGTCGCCTAGGCCACCACCTGCAGGCCCACCGGCTTTCGCGTTGACTTTGAATATCGCGCTGGATTTCTCGTTTGCGATTGCGCCGAGTAGCTTGAACTCGGTTGTACCGGGTAGTTGCGCGTAAACGGCGGCGGCGGTGCCATCTGGTAAGGTGATGCCTGGCAGCAGGAAGACGACGATGTGGGAGAAGGACGGCTGTGAAGGGATTTGGAAGGCGAACTGGGTCGGCGATATGACTGAGGAAGGTTCGGTGATGACAGGCCGTCCTGAGATGATGACACCGACTGAAGACATGTTCGCGTGTCGCAGGCGCGTGATTCGAAGCTATACGAAAGAGAGGTACTTGAGAAGGCAGTAAGGCTGCAAGCCGAGCGTGAAAAGTTCTGTCATGCAATAGTCCTTGTTGCGCAGCCTTTGCGATATTTCGAGATGCTTCGGCGTCATTCTTGGTCCAAGCTTCACCCCACATTCACTCTGAGCTCAGACTGGCCGTGAGTTGAGATGCTGTTTCGTGCTGCGTCACAACAAAGTCAATGTTCTAAATTTAGTCATTCTATCCGACTTCTGAGCATAGCGTGCCCTTGACTCCCTTATCGTGAACAACGCAACCTTCCCTATGCTTATTTCACATCCTAAACCCATGCGCAGCGCTGACCCACTCTTGGTCTATCAATTCGCTCGCCCTCATCAGAACACGATTTCCACCCATCAAAGCTTGAAAAGAGACCATCCGTTCCTCGTCACTCATCAGCAAGAACCGGGCAAGACCGAATGCTGGGACAGTCTTTGCGTGATGGGTCGGGAAACCGGAGGTTGAAGAAGGAGCTGTCGGCACATCCAAAGGTTTTCGAAGCCATGCCATCATCGCTTGGGCAGCGAACGGGTTGAGGCCGACTCGACGGAGAAACACTTCCCAGCTCGTCTCTTGCGCCACAGGCTTAATATCGCCAATGTCTGCTGAGCCATATGCCAGTCCGTAGTTTGCCATCTCAACGACAGTAGACCGCGCCAGAGCCTGTTCCCCTCCACGAACATACCGAACAAGGACTTCGCCTTCTAATTTGCTAGCGAATATCTTGAAAACTTGCAGAGCCTCTGTATCTCGCGAGTCATCAGGCCGGCTCGATCCTAGCTCTTCCATCTCGCAGCTTAGGCCTTCGCTCACCAGAACTATCAGTCTCTCGTATCGCGACTGGAGCTTCAACATGCGTTCTTTCACTGGGGATTTGTCTGGCTGGCCAGGGAGAGCTCTTTGCTTGACCTGCTGTAAAGTGGTAAAGATAAGGCCCGTTGATGGTGACAGTATGATCTCAGCTTCTTTGGCTACCGAGTGCGGTAAAGTGTAATCTCGATATACCATTTCTGCGCGTGGATGGATGGATTCGATCAGTTTCAGCATTCCCCTTTGTTGTAGGAAGGTTGATGAGATCACGAAAGAACAAGGCGCCAGGTTATTCGGAATAGTAGGGAGTATGGGTAACGGCTTATTGGTGGTTTGCGCCTGCTGAGTCTGATCCACTGGCTGGTCGGACGAAGACCCCCTTGATCGAACCGGTAAGGCGTGCGTCCTCAGTTGAGTGAGGTCCCTAGAGTTAGATACGTTCTCAGTACTGCTTTCTACGGGATCTACTGGCTTCCCGCGTGTCTGCATGAACTTGTTGAGAGCGGTTGTGGCTGAGAACCCACCAAACATCAGGTCTCCACTCGCTTGTTTAGGAGCTTGCGGTTTCTGGGAGGCATGGTTCAGCCTCCTCGATCGGGTCTTCGACGACTGATTTTCCATTGGCTCGTGTTCTCCGAGGTGGTGGCTCTCTTGCATCTCTGTGGAGGATCGGATCTGTGGACGCGCAGTAGACTGCGAAGAGGTGCGCCTGCGATGCTTCTCCACGACCTCTTCTTCCATTTCAAGTTTTCGCTTGCGTATCAAAGCCTCCATGTAGTTTCGCTCATCGTATTTCTCTGGATCCAACTCTTCCTCCTCCTCCTCCTCCTCCTCCTCCTCATCTTCTACAAGGATACGCAGACCTTCACGTTTCCAAACTTGCGCTGAGCTAGTCGCGATATCGCCTGTAGTCAGTTCATTGACAATCTTAGTCACTTCCGACTCGCCATGAAGCTTTTCTTCGAGACTGAGAGTAGACACCTTGGTAGTGAGAAAGCCCCACTTCAACTCTCGTTCCGGGATCGAAAGCCCATGCCAGGACTTCGCCGACCTCAGATTCTCGCGCTTGATGCGTAAGAGGAACTTCATCTGCGCTTGCAGTTCCGTGTCATCAGGTCGATGGTTGCTACGCTTGCGCCGACTGTACGCATTCCATGGTTCCATGGGCAGCGAGAAGTCGATGTATGGAATATCGACTCTTGCAATCGTGTCAGCGCCTGATAGCCGTTCGTTTTCGATCTTTTTCTTCGCGCGCTCAGCCTGTTCCTCGATTTCGTGGAAGAATTGGTCAGAACCGACCCCAGCTTCATCGTCCTCACCCCATGGCTTGTAGAGTAAAGATTCGTCCGTGAAAGACACAGACTTGAGCTTCTTCATAGGCGAACTGGAACACATTGATGGTGTAAGCGGACCTTCCACTTTAAGATCCTCAGCTCTGCGTTTCAGTATGGGTGAACTGGTTGGTTCTAAATGAGGACTGAATTGAGGTGGATGAGTAAGATCAAATAGCATCGAATCACTGCTATTCGACTTTCTGCGAAAAAAAGCGTCCGCTACCATGATTTGCTCCTCTAGAGCCTGAGCCTCAATATCGACCGAGTCAGCATCTGAAGCTAATGGCAGATGATTCGTGGGTGAAGATGGAATGTATGGTGTCAGTGGTGGCGATACTGGAAGTAAAGGTGGCGTTACAGGCCGAATAGTGGGCTCCTGAGTCGGTTAGGAAGCGGACATAAACAAGACTTCCACATACTTGTTTTCGTATCAGGCTCTCTGTCTCCAGTTTTTGGCCGTCTTCTGGTACGTACGCGTCTCTGATAGTATCCTGTAGAAAAACCAATACCTCCCGTGAGATGGCGAACTTTTCGGCCTTGGCCTGCGCATCGCACTGAGCAGGGTAGGCAATATACGTGGTTGGCCATTCAAAGCCCTCATCATTCTGATCTACGGTGATCTCGGAAGGGATTGGTAAGTTCTTGAAGTCAGGCACAGCTGTATGACCGAAGTTGAGAAAATCGAGCTCATGGTCTGATTGTAACACAGGTAGCTCTTGACGTAGATCGCGTCTCCACATCCGGCTGACATTGACCGTCGAGTCCTTCGCAAGTTCATCCTGAAGAGAATGCGCTGCCTTGAGGAGTAACGCAGTGTCCTTGTTCACCGTAAGCTTCTCCTTGATGAGCTCGCTGATGGCCGTAGTGATGGTCGCGTCGGAGGGCTCGTGAAGATGTCGATCAAACTCATCGTCTGATGGTAACTGCGTATCACGAATATGTGGTAGCTCTGTCTCGTAGTTCACGCAGATGCCTTGCGCCCGCGCCCATTCGAGGACGCTTGGCTCCGGTGTGTCCAGGCCGAGGTCCAGTTCCATGCTGACCGTGCCCGAAGAATATTTCCGCTCAATAGATGTGGGTAACAATAGTCATTAGCTGCCTGTTGTTCTTAAAAGAGGCACAGATGGTGAGTGTCGATTGCGAGGCTTGCACCTTCTTCATGCTATCTTCCTTGGCGTCCACGTGGTCACGCGCTTCGCAGTCGCGCAATGTCACAACAAGGAGCAGGGAACGTTTGATGATGATTTGGTTTCTTTGTTCATTAACTCGTGGCTTATCTGCGCCATGATATGTTCTAGGCCGTCCTGTATATTTTCATGTGAAGGTGCAAAGGATATTGAACTATGTACACGCGAGTAGGACTGTGTTTCCTTCCACTAGCTACGCCCGTCTATTTGGGAACTGGCTTCTGACCGAAGCCGAGAGACTGGTTTCCTCCGTTGAAGGCAACGAGCTGGGCCTTGAACATGGTATCACCGTAAATCTGGAGACCGGCACCCTGGTTGCCTTGTACACCACCGAAGCAGGTCGTGTTTGCTGCGTCAACTGTGGCGAAGGTGATCTGGCTACCGGGTATCTTGGCCATGTACGAGTCACCGATGGCAACACTCATGTCGGGCAGCGCAGCACCGCAAGGGTAGATGAAGCCACCGACTTGAGCGTTGAGCTGAGCGCCCTGGACTTGCGAGTAGTATGCCTCGGCAACCTGCTGGTCGACGAGGAGGAGAGATGTACCGGTGTCGGCAATGGCGTCGGAGCCTTGAGGGTTCTCAAACAGCTGGTCGCCGACAGCAAACTTGGTAGAGCCAAATTGCCAGAAGCCAGTGTCGGCCTTGACAGGGATCCAGGCCATGTCGCCTTCGAATTTGGTAGCATCAATCTTGCCGAACTCGTAAACACCGGTGCCATCTGGGTCAAGGTCGGCAGTGAAGACGGGCATGTCTAGGTTGGGCATGACGTTATCGAAGAAGGTCTTTGCGGGGGTCTTCTTGGTACCATCGTTGACAGTGTTGAGGTTGGAGAATGCAAGTCCGACAAGGCCATCAGTGTTTGTGTCCTGGACGAAAGACTGGGATACTTTGTTGGCAAGCTCGACAGTCTGACCCTCAACCTTCACACCTCCAATAGTAACAGTATCAGTTCCAACAATACCAGCAGCGCCGGAACCATCGCCGTAGCTGATCTTCCATTGAGCACCGGCAGTGGCCTTGAAGGAAGTAGACTTGGATGCGTCGAAAGCAGTGTGCTGGCCGATCAATTGCGGGTCGAGCTCAGTGCTGAAGCACCAGCTGGGCGATGAGAGTCAGTGAACTGCCCTGCATAAATCTAAGGCAGGGAAAAAGCTTACAGATCGGAAGAACCGGAGTCGAAGTCCAAGTTCAGGGTCTGACCACCAATATCGACGGGCGACAAGAACAGAGCAGCGTTATCCTCGGGGTTGGCTGCAACAGTGCCAGTCTTGTTGCCACCAGTGGCAGCAGCCGCGGTCACATTCTGGCTCTGCTTTGAGAACGAGATGAAACCTTCCTTGACCATAAAGTCCTCCTTGACCTTGAAGTTGTACTTCCTGAACACCTTCCTCATAGCAGCAGCGCCATTAGGTCCAGTCGGGTGAGCCCTGTTGATTTGCCTGGGAACTTTGAACGAGCGTTTTTGGAGACCCCTCTTGCGGGCAGGGGCGGGAGCGGCTAGCACAACGGCCGCCAAAAGAGTGACGAAAAAGAGGAATCGTAGAGAGAACATGTTGAGCTGTTGAGCTAATGCTGACCGGCAGCCGGACTGGAAGAACCTGTCGTTTGGAAAGAAGAGAATGAAGTAAAGAAAGAAAGGTACGAAACGAAACACAACTTCCTCGAAAGAAACAGAACAGAAGGCTCGGCCTGATGGTAGTCCACGGTTCTCAAGGAGTGTGCGAGGAGAGTGCTTTTAAAGAAGGAACGTCTACGCGACTGACAATGTAGAGACTGTGAAACTCGAGAAGGATGAAACCTGAGCCTGCAATCCGAACCGATGCCGACGCATGATGAATGATCTGGGAGCGCTAACTCGACACTCAAGGCCAAGCTGAGATCCACGCGGCAGCAGACAAAACACTACGCGTGCTGCATTGTCGATGATCCATGGGGAACATCAAGCCTAGCTCCTGTCAGGTTTTCAGGCACAGAAATCTAGAAGCCCGTCTAGTTGGCTACTAATCGTGCGAAACGGGGACTATGGGTCTGGAGACGGCGATGTGATTGGTCCAAAAGCATTTCGAGCCTCCTCGGAGAGGTATCGATAAGGCAATGGGGGTCGTTACGCGTCCAGCTTGACGCTGTTGAAGAAATGTGGAGAGGGCTAGCATCAGGCAGGGCTCCGACTGCAGGTACGTTTCAGTACCATGGTACCGACAAACGTCAGAGTCGCACGAGAGGCTCTCGAACGATAGTGCTAGCTTGCGTCTGGCAATGCTAGAAAGTTGTTTCTGTCAGCCACCTCATCTCAATTGTGACTGCTCTGCTGTTCTGGAGAGGTACGCCTCTTCTCGCGGAGTCGCCTGGACTTGACGACGCGCGGTCATGCCGTCAACGAGCATGAACGGGTGAGCTGACGAAGCCTGGAGAACGGTGTTTCGCAATGCCAAGACCAGACAAGCTAACTGGGCGTCGCCGCAAGGATGAAACAAAGGGCCCGCCAACCCGCAACTCGAGAAGCCGGAAGTCTTCCCATGTCTCTCGTACATCCGGGATGTCAGACAAGCAGTCGCGGCGAAGCTTAATTGTCATGTTGCGGGATCGGATTTGCAGTTGCTCCAGGACCAACCAACCTGATGCGCGTCTTCCCAAATGTTCCATCATTACAAACATGCTTCATCGCGGTTTCGCGCCACTTATCTCGGCAAACAAACAGACTGGGCGTCCGCCGATGCGAGGTTCATGTTTCGAACATCAAGGCTTTGAAGCTGTTAGGGAGGCCGGTGCGGCATTTTCCCTGATTTCGCAAGCCGTCGCGTTCAAGGGCGAATGGCCGGCGCCAGGCGGCGTGGATGATCGAGCTTCTCCACTCCATTCTTTGGTACAGCGGCGTAGGGGAGATTGCGCAAAGCATAATTGAGCGCTGTTGAGGATAGTCCGCACGCTGCGCAGGGGGCGTTGAAAAAAGCAAGTTCATCATTCTAGACAAGCGAGAGAGGGTGTCGTCACGAGAGGGAACCGCAAGTGCACGGTCGCGGAAGAAGGACGCTTTCAAGGTTTTGACACTGACAGGTGAGGAGCATTGCATGAAATCAATGCGTATATTCGAATATTGAAAGAGGGCGCTTTTGTTCTATCATAAGTTGACATTCCGCCTACGTCGTCAACGCGCCACCAGATGCCTTTTCATCATCATGAGCACGACATCAACGCCCACCAGCACACCCCACTTCACCGTTGCTAGCTTCCTAATATTTCGCTCTGCGAAAATCGTGCAACGTACACACCACAGCCAAGCGACGAGTGTGCAACTTGGTGGTGCACCTTCGAGTGCGGTGGCGTCCAGCCCCTTGGGCATAAACTTCGTACTCCGAACATCGGCCTACTGCATAGCGCGATGCATGGCGTCTGGATGGCGTTGGTATGGCTCAAATGTTGATCATCAAACGTGTTCATCCAAGCAGTTCCACATCTAGACCGATGGCTCTCATGAAGAGGTTCACGTTGGCTGTACGTGCACTTGCCATCTCAGCGGGCAAAGCCTTGCTAACAGAGACCGTCTCCATGACACGGTCTTTGACGCCAAGCACCAACCTCTGTTGCTGCTCAGGACTGGCGCCGACACCCATTGCAGCCAGGAACTGCCAGATGTACATGTCGTCGGTGTCGTTGATGGTCCCTGGGAATAGATAAGGAAGAACAGGCTCGATGACGTCGAACAGACGGTTGTAAAGTGCGGTCCATTGTTGCCAGTCGGTAACCATCTCGGGAGCTGACTGCTTAAGAAGCTCGGCGCGAGAGATGAGGAACGTGAGGAGAGTGAGACCGATCTTGCTTCGAGCCACGACATGGAGGTTGGTGCGGTCCAGGACAAGACCAAGAAGACCGATGACAATGTTCAACGGCGCCTCTGAGATGTGCGCGTGGAGAGGCGACATGACAGTGCTAGAGAAAAGGTCGACCTCTTCTCGGATGGCCGCGCTCAAAGGTTCCTCAGGCGTAGCAATAGCACGACCGACCACGGAGAGAGCGTCTAGGTGGACAACGATCATAGTTACGACAGTAATGCGCTCCTGCTCGTTAATGTGGCGGAAAAGTCGTGGAAGTACCTTCTTTCCCTTGGCGTGTGAAAGGATGGAGATGAACGGATGCGGTGTGCTAGAGTTTGTTAGCAAGAAAGAGGCTTTAGGAATATTACAACATACGCAGGGTTAATGGGCTCCATGATCTTTGTGTTCAACCACAGTTGCTGGTGAAGCGCTTCGATCTTCGAACGCCACTCCATATGTGCCTGGATGGCTTCAGGAGGGCTGCTTTCTTGGATCGGCGGTGGCATTGCCCGCTCGTGGTCTTCCATTTGCATGAGTGTCTTATATACCGCCTCGATGTTGCGAAGAGCCTCCTTCCGGTCAGCGATGGAAGACCGGTGGTTCTTCGGCAGCTTATCGTTCGTCTCTGGCCGCTTCAGGTTGAGCAGCGGTCGAGGGGTCTTGGAATTGCTGAACGCAATCTTTCCAAGACTACCTTCCACAACAAGCTGCCTGGCCTTTGGTCTTGCTTTGGCCGCCTCAACTGCGCGCTGAATCTGCTGCTCCATGCGCTGCATATGGTTGTCCCCGCCTCGGCCTTGTCTACGGTTGCCGAACCTGTTGTTGGTCTGGAACAGGTATGTTTGAGCAAATTGGCTTGCTGGCTGCTGGGGGTTTTGGCGTGGAGCGCCCCGGATCTGGGTGAAGACCTGGTAGTAGAAGTCCTCAGCAATAGCTGCCTCGGGTCCTCTCTCCTCCAAGTTGCCCGTCGCGGTCATGAGTTGCTGCAACTGGATTCGGGTGATGAAGTTCTTGTCCTGTGGCGTCATCAGGCCGTTGTCCTTTGCTAGGAGAGCAATCTTGTGGTTCCGCTTAGCCCGCTTAGCATCTTCTTCAAGGAAGGCGGCACGCTCGGCCTCGGATAGCTGCAGAAGCTGCTCGGGGTGGGTTATGACCATTCCCGGGAACGATGGACCACGGTTGTGTCCCGCTGGAACGCCGCGAGGACCCTGTGGAGCATTCTGAACCATAGGCTGGCCTTGGCCTGACAGCCGGTTCGGGTTTTGCAAGATCTGTCGAGGCTGGGTGGGTGTGCCCTGGGCCTGAGCCTGGGGTGTTGCTTGGCGCTGCTGCTGAGCGCCGGGCTCGTTGGATTGGGGCCTTTGTCGCTGTAGGATGGTGGGCTGTTGGAGCGGCTGGGATCGGACGGGTTGGTCCGGGAGCTCAGCGCGGACCTGTTGCTGTTGCTGTCTAGGCGGCATTTGTTGAACGGGCTGCTGCTGTTGGGGCCTTTGCAAAATCTGGGGCGCGAATTGTCCTGGCATGCCGGGGTACTGGGGCTGTCCATGGGGGAACTGCTGCTGCTGTTGTTGCTGCTGGGCGAATTGCTGTTGCTGCGCAAATCCTGGAAAGCCCGGAGGTGGGGCTTGTTGTACTGGAGGGGTGCCTATGGACTGAGCGCGCATCATGGCCTCAACCTCTTCCATGCTCATGGCCTTTCTAGTGGGCGCGGGCTGTTGCGAAGCGGCGGGTGGCTGCGGCGAAGGCTGCCTCTGCGCAGCGGGCTGCTTAGGCTTGAGACCCCAGATGTCGGCGCGCGCCTCCAGCTGAGGGATGTACTCGGGATCCTTGTAGCTCTCGTAGCCAGTGCGGTTTGGCTTCGATGCCTGGGGGACGGGTGGTCTCTGCTGGTACTGTTGGGTTTGCTGTTGCTGATATTGCTGCTGGTGTTGTTGCTGCTGCTGCTGCTGCTGCTGGGGGTACTTCTGACGGGCCTGGTACAGCATCTGCTCCTCCTGCAGCGTGTTTGATACCATCGACGTCTGGCCGGCGAAGTCGAAATGTTTTCCAACCGACTGTTGCGTGGCAGGGCCGCCACCAAAGGTGTCGTCATTGAGGTCATCGGCATCGTCGTCGAGCTGATCGCCTAGGCCGTCGTACGTCTCCTCGAAGTCGATGCTGTGGATAGGGTAAGTGGGAGCTGTGGGCTACGTGAGACGCGACCTACACATCGTCATCGGCTGCCCCTCCACCCAGTGCGGCGAAGGCATCGTGCTGGCCAAAGCCGGGCGCATTGGATGCGTGGCCGCGGTCCCTCGGGCCGCTGGGGTCAAAGCCAAAGAAAGACATGGTGGGCGGTACCCGGCGGTGGGGGTGGTGTGGTGGTGTTTATACGAAGGTCGAAGTGATATTTAACACGCGAAAGTGGTGACGTTGGGCTACTACGGTAAAGGCAGATTGGCAGGGCGGCGGTCGCATGGGCGCACCCACAACTAAATGGCGGCAGATGGGCAGATAAACCGCGACAGGCGAATGACGCCGCAGGGCACAGTAACGGCGGCGGAGTGGGTGGGTGAGGTTGTGCCTGTGGTACTGCGAACCCAGGTTGGCTCCATCGCGGCTTGCTCCCAATTGGCGGCAAGGCCCGGCCTTACCCAAAGAATCCATCTCCCTGCGAAGTGGCTACATTACTACGGCGCCCGTCGACGACTCCTATCCACCTCGTGTCCTCCATCCTTCACGTCGCTTTTCACCTCTACCGCAACCTACTGGCTGATGCGCATTCCCCGCGTCTCGCATCCGCTCGTTTTCCTATAGTCCTAGATTCCGGGGACCCAACGCGCCGACAGCGTCCGTCCGGCACCACCCCTAGGGCTACCCGTAGACGTCTCACACCTCCTCCACGCCTCATCCGTACCCCACACGTCGTCCACAGCGAAGGCAATTGAGCAGCGAAAGTGGAGGGCCCCGACGTCCCGGAAAAGAAACAGCCCCCCGAGCAGCAGCCTCAGGGCCATTCCGCCATGGCCGGCAGCCAGCGGTATATCCGCTACATTGTCTTTGCCGTAGTGGTACGTGCCGGCATTGTGTGACGGTTGCGGAAGCAGCGACTGACCATCTGCAGGCCCTCGTCCTCCTCTACTTCATCGGCTCCTCGTCGTCTGTGCCTTCCGCAAGCTGGCCAGTCTACCAAGACAACAAGTCGCCCGCGACTCCTCCCCAGGGCAACGCTCCCGTCGCCAACGATGAAGTCCAGCAAGTCACGCCTGGCACTACGCCCAACGAGCAGGAGGGCCTTCCTCCCGCCACCGCCCCTGGCGACCGCATGAACGCAACCTTCGTCACCCTCGCCCGTAACTCCGATGTCTGGGAAATCGCCAAGTCCATCCGCCAAGTCGAAGACCGCTTCAACCGCAAGTTCCACTACGACTGGGTTTTCCTCAACGACGACGAGTTCGACGACCAATTCAAGAAGGTTACATCTGCTCTTGTGTCCGGCAAGACCAAGTACGGCAAGATTCCCAAAGAGCACTGGTCCTTCCCCGAATGGATTGACCAAGACAAGGCCGCCAAGGTCCGCGAAACCATGAAGGAGAAGAAGATCATCTACGGCGACTCCGTCAGCTACAGGCACATGTGCCGCTACGAGTCTGGCTTCTTCTTCCGCCACCCCTTGATGCTCGATTACGAGTGGTACTGGCGCGTCGAGCCCAGTGTCGAGCTCTACTGCGACATCAACTACGACACTTTCAAGTTCATGGCCGACAACAAGAAGAAGTACAGCTTCACCCTCAGCCTTTACGAATACGTCGAGACCATTCCCACACTCTGGGATGCCACCAAGAACTTCACCAAGCACTACCCTCAACACATTGTCAAGGACAACGGCATGAAGTTCCTCAGTGACGACGGCGGTGAGACCTACAACCACTGCCACTTCTGGTCCAACTTCGAGATCGGCAACCTCAACTGGCTCCGCTCCGACGCCTACATCGACTTCTTCACCTCTCTCGACCATGCTGGTGGTTTCTTCTACGAGCGATGGGGCGATGCTCCTGTACACTCCATTGCCGCTGGTCTGCTACTACAAAAGGACGAGATCCATTTCTTCAACGACATTGCCTACTATCACGTCCCATTCACACATTGCCCAACTGGCGAACAATACCGCCTCGACCACAAGTGCTCTTGCAACCCCAAGGACAACTTTGACTGGAACGGATACAGCTGTAAGTTGCCACTACCCTCAGCCAACCCTCTATACTAACACATCACAGGCACATCTCGCTTCTACGAAATGCAAGGCATTGAGAAGCCAGCAGGGTACGAAAAGGAGCAATAAGCGCTCAATCTCACGTCTGTCCTACTTCGTCCTACTTCGATCCGAACAACCTTCAATTTATCCCATACTTCTTGACACACCGGTTCTGACTTATCGTCAAGCGCACCACTCTCGACTGCAGCCAAGGTTTGGCGTGTTGTGAAAATTGTCTTCTTCGTCTTCGCAATCTTGATTCTACTGGCCACGTGCATCATCAGACGGCGGCGGCCTAGCGGGCGCTTCACCCAGGTAAACCAGGGAAAATCTTCGTTGCCCAAGTGGCCCTCGTAGGGATAATCCGAACCAATATCGGTGTGTATGGTTGGATTGGCGTTCGTAGCGGTTCAAATTGTTGACTGCTTGTTTTGGCACTGCATGCCGATGTGGGCGAGGGAATGGCGGTCATCTATGTATTGTCTTGTTGAATCGATGTATGCGTGTAGTTGATGACTGTAGACTAATGACCTCATTCAGACCCAGACATTGCAGAATCAGTAACACTTTCTTTACCCGTGGCCCAAGGTGATCATATCTGCAGAATATGCTTACAACACCAGAATCGCATGGGAAAGGGAAGAATGTGAGCTTTCCCACATCCTTTTTATGAATCTCCTCGCTATTCACAGACATGATCTCGTCCACTCTGATTTTCAGACAGACTTTCTCCCAACACATGTAGTCGATACGGTATCATTTTCGGGTTGGATTGATAACCAACTCGATGTGTGATACTGAAGAGAAGTAGAAGACGCAAGACAGGATTTTATACGTCTCGATAGCTCAGCTTGGCTTTGGCCGTCAGTCGAAAACAACCTTCGGAAAAACCGATGAGCTCATTCAAGTGGCCTGCAGGGCCGCTTTCATGATATAAAAAGGTCTGATGTACCTGCAGACATTGCACGACGAGCTGGTCTTTTTGGTAGGTTTCTCTTGATGCGGCAGGCCAAACATCCGGGTGTTGAAGTAGTATTTTCGCACTCGCTTTTCTTCATGTGTTTTGCATGCGTGGATTTTGGAAACTCAAACCACCCATAAAGAGTTCTCTTCTGATTTTCGGTAACCTGAACACAATGTTTGGTGAAGAGGAGGAGGAGGAGGAGGAGGAGGAGGAGGAGGAGGAGGGTGGTCACAAGTCTGGTTTGTTTGGCCGTCGCGGCTGGTACAAAGAAGATGTGGGGTGACTTACGAGAAGGCATGATGGTTTCCTAAAACTGAACGCGATGTTATGAAGTGGGGAATCCAACTCAGTTCTTTCACAAACATGAGAGTTTTCCTTCCAACTTTGACTGCCACTAGTTGGCCAAAGGTGAACGTGTATTGATGATATCATTGTTTTGGTAGATGTCATACGCAGATCAGAAATCCACATAACAGAGTGTGCCAATTCCACACATAAATCTTTTCGTATTTGAACTTCGTGCTCAACTCGCTCTCCAGCCATGTGGCTACACAATTCGCCTTGTTGGAAGATCAAGAGGAATGTGTGAATGATGAATGGACGGAGAAGTGGTGTAAGAGCATCATTTTATATGCACACCAGCATTACAAGCACATGCTCGCTAAAGAACGCTCATATCATCAAACCGAAACACAGTTCGCTCGCTGATCCACAGATTATTACTCGCTCAGTCGTTGTAGTTCACAACGCCACTTCCATCCTTGTTTGCCTTGCGTATCCCATACTTCTCACTCAACTCATCTTCCTGTGATCGACTGTTTGGATTAAGATATGGCCGTTCAGCACGGACGGTGATCCGGACTGCGTGTCGACGGTGTGGCGCAAAACCATATGTCGCAGAGTGGTTCTATTGCATGTCAGTACAATCTCTTGTAGAAGGGAAGACTCAACATACCGTAACCCTATTATCCCAAAACGCGACATCCCCCTCATTCCACTGAAACCTAGCATGAACCTCCGGACTAGTCGCCACAATCTCCGTCAAGAAACCGATGATATGATCCGACTCCGTCTTCGGCACACCAACAATCTTAGTCACGAACCCAGGGTTGAAGAAGATGCTCTTCCAGCCCGTGACGGGGTTCGTCCGGACGAGTGGGTGCTCGGTGGTGACTGGCTCGCGACGGACTGTTCGGCCGAGATCGCGTGAGCCTTGGGCTTGCAGTTCAGCGGAGTGGAGGGCGGTGAGGGATTCGAGGTACTTTTGCATGTGGGGTGAGAGCATGTCGTAGGCTGCATATTGTGAGGACCAGAGAGTGTCGCCGCCGCCGCCACGGGGTGGGCCGGTGAGGACTTTGAGGGATGTGTAGGAGGGAGGTTGGAGTTCGTATGTTACCTGATTTTTGTTAGTAAGACCCTCGTCTTGATAGATGCGGTATGGAAGTCTTACATCAGAGTGCCAGAGGAATGAAGGCGTGAACAAGGCCCTCAGGTCCGGGCTATCCTCGCCGGTATAGATGACGTGAACGTCCTCCAACCCCTCACGCTTTGGCACACCAGTTGTAGCATGCTTGTGCAGCTCACCAAAGTACTTTCCCAGCTCCCTTTGCTCATCAATACTGAAATTCTTCTGGTTCCTGAAGAAGACAACCCCACGCGTGGCAATGAGTCGTGCAAGGTCATTCTTCTGAGCATCTGTGAGGTTTGCTAGATCAACGCCGTGTATCTCAGTACCAATCTTTGGGTTATAGTCGAAAACGTCCGTGGCGGTTGCGAGGAGGTTTTTGAAGTTGGGATCGCCTAGTTGACCTTTGTCGGCATAGGGAATCTCGGTGTAGGCTGGCCATGTGATATTGGGAAAGTGTGGTCGTAGGTCTTCGTACTTGTACGGTTCGACATGCTTCTTCACAGTGGTACGCCCAGGGACGTAGCTGTGGGCATTGCTAGACTTCGCTGTTGGGAGAGATGTGGATGTAGCGGAGGGTTGGTAGTGAGTTTCGACGAGTCCAGGCGCCATCGTTGTTGCTAGAATAGAGTCAAGATTCGTATGAATGCGGGTACTGGGCGGTCCACTGCAATACGTTCTTGATACTTGAATCAGACGTGATTATAGTAAGCAATGAGCAAGTATTGCGGTGTGATGTGGCTGCCAGTGGATGCTGGTGGATGATTTATCGTCAATCGGCGAAGGGAATATATGTTAACGTGAGCTCTCTAGGGATTGCCAGATGATTGATGAACACCCAGAGAGAAGAAAGACGCTCTTATATGTACTACCTCAGTACAGTATACGTGTGATTCATGTCACCGTGAGTTACTGCCATATCGGGCCAATTGCGCCATCGCACACAATACAACAGCCGATCGACCTTGACGCTGAGCCGCATGCCACTAGCATCGAGCTGCAACCGCATACGGTCAGGGTATGCAAGGCACAAGCTACTGAAGCTGCAAGTCCAACGCTGCAAAGTTGATGTATACGGAGGAAGTTGAACGTAAAAACCGTCATTCCTTGGGATCCCGCCTTCCAAGTAATGTTTGCCTTGACTAGTAAAGCTAAGAGCTGTTCTCTCATTGTACTTGCAGTAGCTGATCACAATTGGTATGTTGGAGTTGGAGTGGGATCGACGCTAGTAGATGATGCAATTTGACGCGATCCTGTGCTTCGAATTCAACATCGTGGTGCTCGGACCACCTTATAATGCCGACGGCCCTTTCCAGGATACTGACTGAAAGTCGGTGTATTGAGAAGCATACTTGCAGGTGCTCTCGAATCTTCCATTGAATCGCAGGGCGAGATGTAACAACGGCCTCGGTAACATGGAAGTTACAGCTGTACGATAATGCTATCACAACACCACGGAGGGACGTTTCCACCTCTTACTTGTTGCACTGTCCTTTTTTTTTGAGTCCCCATACCAGAGCACAGTATCTCAAGCAAGTGTCCTCACTCGAACACTGCAATATCTGACGCCGGTATTTCATGCAGGCCGCACCTTAGAAAACCCACTGATAGCTGGCACTTCGTGAGAACCCATCCCTCCAGGCATCAGCAGCACATGACTGTGGTGTACTTTGGTCGTTGAGATGAGATTTTACTGAGTTCCATGGTTGCGAAACACTGAAGCCAAGGCTTACATTCGACACGTGATGAAAACCCAGTCAAATACTTGTCGATACACCAACAAAATGTCGTTCTCAGTCGGTCTACTTGGGTCCGATGAATGGGATGGGTACACCGTTCACGTTCATCCACTGAATCGAAATTCCGCCGGATTTTTGTTCAGCTTCCACTCGTGTCCTTGCAGCAGTGTCCGGAGCGTATGTATGCGCCCTTTTGCCCTCGGTCATCGTGCCCGCTTGTACCATTTCCTCCTGCTTTGCTATGCGCGCTCGTTCTTGCGCTTGTTCGATTATTGGGTTCCAGTAAGAGATGACTCGATAACCTCCGTAATTGAAGAGGAGCAAGATGAACGTAGTCTTGAAGGGTTTCTGTAACATTCTCTCATTCGTCCTCTGGATAAACTGATGTACGCGTGAGAACACCATCGTGACTGTGATCGTGAGTACCACTAGGTGCGCTGAGACAGCTGGCAGATTAAGCGATACGGGCGAGGAATTGTATGTCGGTGGTTCGAAAGATCCATGGATGCAGGATATCGTGGAACCTTGGAACGGCGCCAGCGCGGGGACTGGAGCCTAGCGCGAAATCGCCGCCGAGCCGCATCAACTTTCTTGACGATCCAACAGCTTCAGTCATTCGCACCACTCTTTCGCAGCCACACCGAGAGGAAGAAGAGCCGCTGCATAGCATTCTGGCGCGACATCCCCAAACCTAAAAACAGCCAGAATCCTCCCTGCGACCACGGCATCCCAATATCCTACACCCCGACTATCCAAAGAAACGCGCGCCGCGGACGAGGCCAGGCCGACCTAGAGAAATCCCGAACAGCCTGGAGCCTACGTCGACGTTGGACCACCCACTTTGCATGTTTTCATCTTGATGTAGTCTGCAGACCATATCCTACGCCCCGACTATCCAAAGAAAAGCGCGCCGCGGACGAGGCCAAATCGCAGCCATGGACGATCTCGCGAACCTCGAGTTCTTGTCGCTCGTCTCGAAAGTCACCTCCGAAATCCAGAACCACGTTGGTGTGTCTGATAAGACGCTCGCCGAGTTTGTCATCGATCAGCACGCGAATTGTAAAGGCGTCACAGACTTCAAGAACCAGCTAGAGGCCATGGGCGCAGAATTTCCCCAGAGTCTTGTGGAGAGCATCGACCGTCTCATCTTGACGCTTCATCCAAAGTACAAGAACAAGGGAGCAAATGGGAAGGAAGCTGGCGCAAATGGACAAGACGGCGGCGATGCGACAGACCGCAAAACGCGCGTCTTTAAGGGCCTGGCGATCCCGGATAAGGACGTGGAATACGAGGTGGCAGACGACGAGCCCGAGAAGGAAGCTACACAGATCGACGCGTTGGACGATACGTTTGCGATGCTGGAGGGACTGGCAGGGAAGGGTCCAAGCAGCAAGCCCAAGGAGAGGTCGCGGAAACGAAGCATGAGCCCATACGACAGCGACGACGACATGAGCAGGAGTAAGCGACACAGGCAGAGAGACCGGTCGTACTCTCGCTCGCGGTCGAGGAGTCCGCGACGAGGCAGACAGCAGAACGACGAGCTGGTCTTCGAGGACGAATTTGGCCGCACGCGGACCGTAAAGCCGAACAACAAGCAACGAAACCGCAAGAAGTACCGCGACGAAGATCTAGACGAGTTCCGACGACCACCCACCCCCGAGCTTGACGACGAGCCCGTGTTATACAAAGTGTACGATGGCAAGGTCACAGGTGTCAAAGATTTCGGATGCTTCGTCAATCTACAAGGCGTGAAGGGCAAGGTCGATGGGCTGGTACACGTCACACAGATGATGGAGGGCCGGGTGAATCACCCTTCCGACCTCGTATCGAGATGGCAAGAGGTCAAGGTCAAAGTCATCAAGAACGAGAATAACAGGATTTCACTGTCGATGAAAGAGGTGGATCAGCGGACCGGTCAAGATCTTGACCCTGGCAAGCGCATAGCATCTTTCGGCACAGGCGCGAACTCCCAGGGACTTGGAGGAATACCAGGGCTTGACAGCTCCGTGCCAGTTGTGGAGGACGGGTTCAACAGTCGCAAGAACGGAATGCGGAAGCGCATGACCTCACCAGAACGTTGGGAAATAAAACAACTCATTGCTTCTGGTGTAATACCGAAGTCCGACTACCCAGACATCGACGAGGACTTCAACGCGCACATCAACGGTGAAGGCGGTTTCGAAGAAGAGGAGGATGTTGATATCGAAGTCCGTGAGGAAGAGCCACCCTTCTTGGCCGGTCAGACCAAGCAATCCCTGGAGCTGTCACCGATTCGAGTTGTCAAAGCGCCTGATGGCTCGCTCAACCGCGCTGCAATGGCTGGTGATACATTGGCGAAGGAACGTCGTGACCTCAAACAACAGGAAGCCCAAGAAAAGGCTGCCAAGGAGGCAGCGAATGTCGACTTGAGTAGCCAATGGAACGATCCCATGGCCCAACAACGACAATTTGCCAGCGATCTCCGCAACACTCGCACGAACGAACCCAGCCAAGCCTTACCGGAGTGGAAGAAGATCTCCACGAACAGTAGGGAAACCTCATTTGGCAAACGTACAAACATGAGCATCAAGGAGCAACGAGAGTCCTTGCCTGTCTTCAAGTTCAGAAACCAACTTCTTGAAGCTGTCGCGAAACATCAGATCCTTATTGTCGTCGGTGACACTGGATCCGGAAAGACGACGCAGATGACCCAGTATTTGGCCGAGGCTGGCTACGGTAACGAGCTGGTCATCGGTTGTACTCAGCCTAGGCGTGTAGCAGCCATGAGTGTTGCTAAGCGTGTCGCTGAGGAAGTTGGCTGCGCTCTCGGTAATGAGGTTGGTTACACGATTCGTTTCGAAGATAAGACTTCGCCAGACACCCGTATCAAGTACATGACGGACGGTATCTTGCAGCGTGAGATCCTGTTGGACCCCATGCTGTCAAAGTACAGCTGCATTATGCTTGACGAGGCCCACGAACGTACAATCGCTACTGACGTCTTGTTTGGACTGCTGAAGAAGACACTCAAACGACGCCCGGACATGAAGCTCATAGTGACCAGTGCCACTTTGGATGCCGACAAGTTCTCGGAGTACTTCTACAAGTGTCCCATCTTCTCAATTCCAGGTAAGTTTTGGCTGTACGAAGTGCATGTGAGACACAGTACTGACTTCGTGAAGGTCGAACTTTCCCGGTAGAGGTCATGTACAGTAAAGAGCCAGAGTCTGACTACCTCGATGCGGCGCTGGTCACGGTCATGCAGATCCACTTGACGGAGCCAGCAGGTGACATTCTGCTGTTCCTGACAGGTAAAGAGGAGATTGACTCCTCATGCGAGATCATATCAGAGCGAATGAAAGCTCTGGGTCCAAACGTACCAGAATTGATGATTCTGCCTATTTACGGTGCCTTGCCGTCGGAAGTGGCCTCTCGTATCTTCGAGCCTGCCCCCAACGGCACGCGCAAAGTCGTCATTGCTACCAACATCGCTGAGACCAGTCTGACTATAGACGGCATCTACTATGTCGTGGACCCTGGTTTTGTCAAACAGAGTTCCTATGATGGAAAGCTAGGAATGGATCGTCTGCAGATTACCCCGATCTCGCAAGCCCAGGCTCGCCAAAGGAGTGGACGAGCAGGTAGAACAGGACCAGGAAAGTGCTTCCGTCTGTATACCGAGGCCGCATTCCAGAACGAAATGTTGCCAACTACGATTCCGGAGATCCAGCGTCAAAACTTGTCAAACACGATTTTGATGCTCAAGGCTATGGGCATCAACGATCTGTTACACTTCGACTTCATGGATCCACCGCCTACAAACACCATGTTGACAGCCCTGGAGGAGCTGTATCAGTTGGGCGCACTGGACGACGAAGGCCTGCTAACGCGTCTCGGTCGACAGATGGCTGACTTCCCAATGGATCCATCCCTGTCAAAATCACTCATCAAGTCCGTTGAGCTTCAATGCTCAGATGAGATCTTGACCATTGTTGCCATGATTAGCGCTACTCAGAGCGTCTTTCATCGTCCACGCGACAAG